GACATGATGATGGCGACTGAAAACAGGACAATAAAATGCCTGGATGAAGATTTTTTTTAATGACGTGTGGGAATCCACAAAGACTGTGTGGAATGAAAAGAAAGCGCTTCCATGTTTTAGATATAAAACAAGTGTTTAAGGTGTGATAAAAGAGCATCTGTTAGATTAAGAGCACATCTGGACACCAGATGTGTCCAACATTAGAAAAAGATTTTTCCCTAACAGCAAATGATGCACGTCCACCACAGCGAGAGCAGATGTGAGGAAAAATAATCTCCCTGTAAGTAACTCTTACGACGCACTAACGTCTTATAGAGATTTAGACATTTCTGCGTGCCTGAGGTCTAAAGTTGCTGAGACGCTGACCCTTGTGTCTTTGTGTGATGCTCAGCTGTGTCTCTTTTCATTGTTAACAGATGTGGTGAAACATCTGCAGCTATTTATGCAAATAAGCTTCCTGGACTTTTTAAAATAAAAAAATAATTAAAAGCATACATCACTAAAAGAGTCTCCCTGAGCACTTTTAACCTACAAGTTTATTCTGAAAGTATTTTCTCTATCGTGCTCAGCTGTCCTCCATGCTTGGTGACGTCTAAGTATTGGTGGTGCGGGTGCGCTGCTGTGCGCTCCAGACCTGCGTTTAAGTCCCGCCTCCCCAGTTCGATTAAACAGCAACAGGCAGCTTTCTCTGCACAGTTTGTGCAAGATCCAAACTAGAAACGGGAGACTGTCAAAATTGCGGGACATGGGTGTCAATTTGCGAGACGTGAGAAAAGTGATGAAAATGCGGGACATCTGGTCACCCTTGTTGAGTAGGCTCTAATCGGAAAAGGAGCATTCAATTACAAATGGAGTTCCTCAGGGGTCCATCCTCGGTCCCTGTTTCGTTTGTCATATAGTCTTTGAGGTACATTTAAAAAGAAAACCATGTTCTTACTACTTCTATGCACATATCTGTGACTCAAAAAACTCAAACTTTCATTTTCTTAAACTCTTTTCCACAGTAGGGTTGCAGAGGGGCTAAAGCCTATTTTATACTTCTCCGTCAGCAAGTTTACACCCACATGCTCATGTATTGATGGAGACATTTTACTTTCATACTTCCCCCTTTGCTGCTGATGGAAATAGTTGAAAATATGATTACCCACAAAACTCTGGACAAACCAAACCAAATACATTTGGTTCTAGGCAGCGTTTCAGTCCTGAAGGATATAAATGCTAGTACTCTGAACAAAATCTGTTTAAATCAGGTACAACTGTAATTTATTTTAACATTCGCACGGAAACACACTTCAAAGTAACCAAAACATCTCTATGTTTTTCATGTTATTTCAGTCTTCTACCATCCATGCTGCATATAGCTTTAGGTTAGTCTTTGTGTTGTTGTCTGCTGCTGGTACAAAATGTCCAAAATGCAGCTGTTCGTCTTATAAAAGGAGCGAGGAAGCGAGATCTGGCTTCTCTCCATGGGCTTCCTGTTTGTTACAGGACATATTTTAAGATTTAATGGATAGTTTACAAGGCTGTAAATGGTGGAGCCTCAGTTTATTTAAAAGAACATTTACATAATCATCTCCAACATGAGAACTCTGGTAAAACTAAAAAAATAAAATAAAATCAGATGTTCCTAGATGGTCCACAATCCAAACTCAAAACCAGATATGGTTGAGTCTTTGCAGTGCTGCATTCATTCTGTGGATTACTTTACTAATTCGTAATATTAGAGCTCAAAATACATCAAAATAGACCCAAGTCTTTTCATGGATGTTCTTGTGGAGCTAGAACTGCATTTTTGAGTTTTTTTTAAGGGTTAACGCTTCAAGCTCACCAGGGATGTGTGGAATGATGAGCTGGTCATCTGAATAAAAGAATAATTTCCATTTTGGCATTATGATGCCCCTAAAACCCATCCATCTCCACATGAATGAGCATTGTGTTGCACTTTTATATACATTAACATGCAAATTCACCAAGTATACAATCACAAATAGCAGAGGGACAGTGTGTGAAAGGCTTTATTGTTCAACCATCTTGCTAAAATTCAGCATCCTGATGTAAATGTAAAGTCAATGAGTTCATCACATTAAAATGTTTCATGTGGCACTTATGAAGAGCATTGTTTGATTCAAAGCCAGTCTCACAACTTGGTTGAGCCATAATAACACAAGAGTTATCTTCATGTGTCACTGTGTTGGGTCAGTTTGCTCTTTTGCTTGGTTAACGGTTGCTGGAATGATATTCTTGGGTGTAGTTATGTTTCGCTGACCTGTTTTGCATTGATCATCTGATCTTTTGGGTAAATATGTTTCTGATAAGATCATTTTCTGTGCTTTATTTACTGAACAGCTAGTCCCGATCACTGATGACTTTCTTATGAAAAAACACTAATATAATTAAGGTTTATAAGCTCCATTTAATACAATAATCACTTTAAGGCTTTGTGAGTGTGTACTGCTCCAGTTTGACTAAAATGTGTTTCTGTACAAAAGAAATAAAAAAAATCACATGAGACGAATCTTATGATAGCAATTCTATAAAAATACAGTGCAACGTTTAAAGGCTTTATCCTTTGCAGCATAGGATTCATACATTATTTTAATATTAATTCAAAATAATCAGTATTTCTTTCAGATTTTTCCACAGTTTTCAACAACATACGCAAGTTTTAGAGTTTGTGTGTAAACAAAATAAAGTAGGAATAATATTAACAAGTGGAGCAGAAAAGAAGATGAGTGGATCTGAAATGTTGTGATGTTGAGAAAAATAAAAATTCCATCAAAGAGCTGAAACAAGACCTCAGAGGTCCATTGGTCGACCCTAACAGGGCATGTTTTCAGTTACTATCTCTTTGGGAATCACCTTTTGATCTGAAATAATGTGTCATATTTGTATATTTAATTTTTTTTAGTCATCACTAATTTTAGTTATTAACACACAGTTCTAATGCTACATTTAGTGGCACCATTTGTAGCAGGTTCAAATCCCGACTGTGGCCTTTCTGCATGGATCTAGCATGGTCTCCTAGTGCATGAATAGGTTTACCCGGGTACATTTTTCCCCTCCTCCAGACCAAAAACGTACATGTTTTTACTTGTGAGTTGCTTAAAAAGTGTCTGCTGAATAATCATAAATAAAACATGTTAATGGCGTAGTTATTCCTAGCTAAAAAAATCCTTTAAAAATAAATTATTTGCCAAGTTTTCTCCGCGGTGTCAGTGCAATACCGGTTTATCTCTCAATTTGGGAGCCTGCTTATTGTGTGAATCAAAAGATAGAGTTAACAAAATTAAAACACCCCTTTGATTCGGGACCCAAACTGAAGTTGTATCATTTTTTTAATTTTTTTTTTGCAAGACCATCAGAAAGCATGAAGATCTGTTGCCTAAAACAACTTTAAAAGAAGAAAAAAAAAAATCTAAAGAAGTGGACCACTTCAGACGTGTGACCAAGAGCTGAAGCCCTCCAAAGTAGCAGAGCATTTTTAAGATTTTACAGAACCAAAAACCTTCATAAGGGATAAAAAAAAAAAAAAAACAGAATCAAACAAGAACCAGAAGACAACTGGTTAGGTATTATACCAAACTTTAAATTAGCCTCACAAGAACACATACTGTAAAAAGTAAAGAAACATTCCTTAAAGTCAGACTTCCTCCAGCTGTGATTTCGACGACGGAAGGAGGCAAAGGGAGAACGGAATTAGCTCTACTGGAAAAGTCGCTGGTAAGAATGTGTTGGAACTTGAGGAGTAAAGTGACATCATGGTGATATGATTATGTAATGATAACAGCAGGCAGCTGCCCCTATCAGCTCATTCAGAGGGATTAACCTTTGACCCCAGGAACACTTTTTGACATCCAGATGTAAGGAATTCTCCACGCTGAGCCACGTCCACACCATCTTGTTAGGTTTGCCTCTGACTCTCCTGCAGGGCTTTTTGTTCTAATTAAGTTACATCACCTGTTTCTATTGTTTCGGATGGATTAGGGAGATTTGTAGTGATATAAAACATAACGGGTCAATGCACAGCTGCAAAAAGGGGTAAATTGTTGAATTTGAATTCATAATAAACTCCAAAATAGAATATTTAAAAAAAGGATAAAACATTGGATTTGTGAGTTTTTCTTCATTTATTCACCAGCAGAAATGAACTTTGTTTTATTATTTGATGCCGTTTTCCAAACTTTGTTCACGTAAATTCACAGAAAGCAGATTCCTAAAAATCTGCAGAGATCTTCGATCAGAGCAGAAACTGGACACATTCAAAGGGTGTTCAGGTGTTATTTGGGTTCAGTGGGGTGACAGGTAGGATGCTGTTGCAACACATCCTCTGGATGCTTGCTCGGACTGAAATCTGGAGAATTTTGAGGCCAGGTCAGTGCCTGCTGCTGTGTCCCTGGAGTGTTTTGTTTCTCGAGTGTGTCAGAGAGCACTGCTCTGCTGCCATCTGGGATATGGTTTCCATGGGAGCAGAGTGTTATTCCATCACCTGTCAGGTGTTTAAATCCTGTGAATGTTCTGATTAAGATTTGTAGAAAGTAGGAGCTTAGTCATGCGCTGGAAGTAATTTTACTAGCTGAAGTAAATTCAAACACACAAAAAAACCAAACATATCTGTAAATAGTAAAATTATTTTATAGTGAAACAAAACGACCAAATCTCAAGGGAGTCAGATGAAATTATTGGTAATTGTTACATGTCCCAGCGCTCCCGATACTCCTGTGCTCATCGTTTCCAGCGTCTGGGTTTCCACCATTAAGGCATGTGCTGTCCTGTTGATAATCCCTACAGCCTGAAGCTCTACCAGGGGTTCAGACCTGCGCCGTCCCGCTCCCAAACTCCTGACAGACCCAAAAATACCAGCTCCCCTCACACAATCAACACTGAAGCTACTGTTCCTGCTGCTTTGATTTGAACTTGACAAAGATAGTCTGACAGATAAAAGATAATTGTTCATCTCATTATGTTTGACAGATGCACTGCCTCTCAAAACAAACAGCATGTGATTGGTAAGCCTTTCCTTTATTTGGTGCTTTGTAGAAACAAAATGAAGTCTCCAGCAAAGTTTCATCAGCAAACTTTCAAACTATTTAAAAAAACACCAAATTCTCAAATAAAAAAAAATATTTTCACCAGTGAGCTAAATAATAAAATGCATAATAAAAAAAAAAGACTCAAAAGAAATCTTTTAGTTGATTAATACAAATTAAAGACAATAAGTGTTGCAGCTGGGTGAAAAACACTCATTTATGTACAAATGAATTTAATCTGAGTTTGAATCTTCAATCCTTCTGAAGACTGCGAGGTAATTCTTCCCACCGTTCCTCTGCACCTTCTTTCCTTCTTCAGTACAGGTGCCTAAACGACTTATAATGACATCATCAACCTGTAAAAAGAATGAAACCCAGCATGAACAAAACATGCAGACACTATAAAAACATGTATTCAAACATCATATTTCACTTCAGGTTCTTGAAGCTGACAAATGAGAGCCAAACTGGGCAAATAAGACAAAATATATAAAGATTTGTTTCTATTATTTTTCCTAAATCTGAGGTAGAGATGAGATGAACCAGGATCCAACCAGGTGACACACACACGTTATTTTGAAGAGCTCAGATATCTATGTTATAAAGGCCATCTAGAAAATGTTTAAACTTCACCAAATAACTGTACACACAAACAATGTGCAAGTACAGAAGACATGGGTGTGAGTGAACGTGGCGATATTTACTAAACCCGCTGCGAAGCACGGCGGTGCTACTATCATGGTTTGGACAAGATTGGGCTCAGAACAAGATGGCTACGCCACAAAAGTTTCCACTTGATGTCAAAATAATTCATATTTTCACAATAAATCCCCTAATAAAGCGACAAAGACTAAGCCTTGGCACAACTATTATGCATCTATTGGCCAGTTAAAATATTTTGATGACCAGTGAGCTCCTGTCTCATTTGTCACCTCACAAATGATTCGGGTGATTGTGTGTTTTGTTGTATATAATCCACAGTCCTGGGTCATGAGGAGGCCTACGATTATCAGAGCTGCAACTAGACTTCCTCAGTAAGCCGAAACTTTGACACAGCTGTTGACGAAGGCTGCATCCTATTTACAAGACGTTCTGCCCTTTTACTATTTATTATTACAGAAACAGAAGCAGAATGCAGCCCATTGAAAAATAACCATCCATGTATCTTGGTACCATTTATTTAAAGTTCATTTCACCATTTTTTAATAATGTGTAAGAGTGCTGGATTATGGGTAAATCTGACACGGTTCCCAAACTTGCCGAGAATGTGCAGAAAACTCTAGGGCAGGGTTGTCACCAACCTTTGTGAAGCTGTGAGCTACTTCTTTGGTACCGTGCCATATGAAGGGTTAGCAGTTTGATGCGCCAAGCCCAATGCCTAGACTCATGTATAATGGTGGTGACCCCAGATCTAGGGGTGTAAGTGCTAAAGATCTGAAGTGACATCCATTTGTGACTAAAAATGGATTCCGTTCATATCAGAAAAATAATGAAATACTATCGGTAAAAACACTTAGGATAAATTCTCCTTTTTAAAAATAAATATGATGTAGAAGAAGAAAGTTTCATTTCTATAGCGCCTCTCAAGATAAAGGAGGCGCTTCGCAAAAACAAAAAATGTAAAAATATAAAAAAGAATTTAGAAAATGTTTAAAAATATATTTAAAATGAGCAAAAATAGACAATTGTGATAAAAAGATGTTAAGAAAGAGAGAGAGTGAACAGGAAAGAGGGAAATCAGTGGATCCTGAGGAAGGTGGAATAGGTGGCGAGAGCAGAATAAAGAGAGAGAGGTTTGGAAGGTGACACAAAACAAAAAGTGAGTCTTCAGCTGCTTTTTAAAGGAGACCACTGAGTCCACTGATCTCAGGCTCAGGGGGAGAGAGTTCCAGAGTCTGGGGGCCACAGCAGCAAATGATCTGTCACCTTTGGTCTTTAGCCTGGTCCTTTACAACCAGTAGGCTTTGATCACTGGACCTCAGGGACCTGCTGGGGGTGTAGGGACTAAGAAGATCACCAATGTAAGATGGTGCTTGTCCATGTAAGGTCCTATAGACCAGAACCAGGATATTGAAATGAACCCTGAAGTTGACTGGCAGCCAGTGAAGCTGGAGGAGAAGCGGGGTGATGTGGGTGTGTTTGGAGGACTTGGTCAGAAGCCGAGCACAGGCATTCTGAACCACCTGTAGACGGTTCAGGGAGGTTCTGCTCAGACACGTGAAAAGAGAGTTACAGTAGTCTAAGCGTGAGGAGATGAAGGTGTGGATAACTGTCTCAAGTTCAGAGCGGGACAGAATGGGACTCAGCTTAGCAATGTTCCTGAGATGGAAGAAAGAAGAGCAAACAAGAGAACTGACATGAGAATCCAGGGTGAGATCTGGGTCAAAGGTCACGCCAAGATTCCTGACAGAAGGTTTGGTGTTAGGAGCAAGCTGACCAAGAGAGTCTCTGACTTTAGGAACCAGCTTGTCTGGGGCACAGATGAGGATCTCAGTCTTATCTTCATTCAGCTGAAGAAAGCTCCCAGCCATCCAGGTTTTGATAGAGTCTAAGCAGGTGTGTAATAGGGGTTGCATGACTTAAATTTTTTTAAAGCCGACAGTCAAGTAATGAAAATCGAGTCGACTTCAACTAGTCGTTGATGTCATACACCAGAAGCGGCACGGGGGGGGGGGGGGGGGGGGGGGTTGTTCCGCTGGAGTTTTTGACAATTAAAATTGCGCCCACATTTTAACACATTTCTTTTAACAACAGTAGTTTCTGCTTCAGCCCTCTCCCCCCTCCCCCTGCGCAGCGGCCGCAAACTCACTGATGTGCCTGCAGCCTCTCAGAGTTCCTGCTGCTCTAAACATTAAAATAATTATTTCACTTTCTGTTCCTCACTTCTGATCACCTTCAGTGGTGTTTGTTTGTTGCAACCAGGTACAAAAACTAACTTGTTTTTATTTGAATATTTTTCTGTCCTGCCTGTTTATTATCTTCCTGCATCTCCTCTCAATCCTAAAGAAAAACTGCTACCTGGGTTCATTCATATTCACCTTATGAGTTACCTTTGAACTGCAGTTCTAAAAGATCGACCGACCACAAAAACAGCGGAGTGCTGCTGCTCGCCGGCCGACTACAACGGGACCGTTTTTGCTGCGGAGTTTGTGCCGGAGCGCAGATAGTGGAATCTTGGGGGTGCGTCACCGGAGGACAAAACAGGTGATGCGCCTCGCTCCGCAGCAGCAAAACGCATCAGGCACAAATAACAGACAGAAAACATGAAAGGAAATGAGCCGACATGAACGATTGCGTGTTTAATTTGTTTTTGAGGTGGTGACACCTGATTTGGCGGTGCTCAGGACGCAGATGTCTGGAGCGCGTCAACGATTAGAGCTTTGCATGCGCAAACTGGTTAACATTAGGATGGGGGTGAGGGGAAGGTAAAATTGCAACAGGGAAAAGGTCACAGTTTGGTTAAATGTCCGTTTTACCGTCGGTGTCAGTACCGACGCTCTGGCACAGCGCGTCGCCTCCGCCTCCCGACGCAGGGGCTCATCACCTGCTGTCTTTTCAGAGGACTGCATCTTGTCAGTCATTATCACGTGACAGCGACTAGTCGATGACAGGCATAAAAAGTCACTACAGAGCAGTAAAGTCGACTAGTCGACTAGTTCCTACAACCCCTAGTGTGTAACAGCTGCATGTAAAGCTGCTAAGACTTTTTTCTGTTCATATTTACTTCATTGTTAGTGATCAGATCAGCAGAAAAGGCTTTTTTCAGAGAAGTGTAAACACAAGTTGTGAAAAGCTCCACGTCAACGTACCAGTTCTTCATCCGAGACACGTGTAAACAATGGATGTTCGCTGAAGTGCTTCACCATCCAGAGGTGGACCTCCTCCACGTCTGTGATGGTATAAACCAAACCCTGATGGGACCAGACAAATACAGTTTAAGGAAAACGTTTTCATCAATATGGTTATTCTTTTCCAGAATTATTCTCTATTCAGATCAATCTTTCACCATCTTTTTGGTGGCGAGAGGTAAAAATAGACAGCAGACAGCACAGGGGTGAATCACCCGGGTCAATATAGTTGACTTTAGATACGGGAAAGATAAAATTACTAGAATGCCGAATTCTTAGAAAACGTGGCATTGGCACAGTGTTCCAGTGCGATTTATCACGTACGGCAGCTTTTTTTCTTTCACCATACAGGGGCAGGGCTACGATGAGAGGTCGTGTTAATCAGCACCTAATTCACATTTGGGATGCTGCCTGACCACATTTTGAAATCAAATAATAGTGAGGACCAATGACGCGCTGTGTAGCAGACTCCTGACAGCCTTCACACCAGCAGCGATGTCGTGGCTGAATGCCAGAGCTTTCACACACAAATCCATCAGACGAAAAAAAATCATAAAGGGAAATTTAAACACAAGCTCTCCATTGTTCTCAACCCCCCCCCATCCCCATTCCCTACACAAACACATGCACACATGCATTTACAACCCCCTCATCAGTGCTCACACTCCATTCAAGTGTCCCTGAGCTGCACTGACAGCTCGGGGTGGGTAAACATGTCAACCAGCTGCAGGCCACACCAGTTACTCAGTTTTATTTCAGTGAATTTAAAGATTCCTTCAAAGTGCAATCCACTGATGAAATAGGAAATGAGCTGCCATCTCAGCTCCAACTACTACTACTCATAAATTAAATGTGTTTACTGCGACTGTGTTGAGACAAGAGGTACAAATCTACAGATATGATCTCAAACTTTTTACAAACGTTCCAATCGCCAGTTCCTCATTTTAGTCTGATAAAAGGTCATGTGCATTTTCCACAAATCAATAAAGCAAACTAAAAATAAACTAATAAAACATAAAGATGAAAAACATCACACAACAGCCAAAATGAGCAATTCGATCCTTGAGTTGTGTTTAAAACTTCAGTGGAGTCCAGCTGTGGCTAATTTAATGAACTGGACAGATCAGGACAAAGACATGTCCCCATGCTTGCAGGTGAGTCAAAAAGAATCAAAGTAGGCCCAGTTCTGTTCACACAGCAGTTAAGTGGACCAATCACAGCGCTCAATCAGTTTGGTGGGCCAATCACAACTCTCTATCAGTTTGGTGGGACAATCACAACTCTCTATCAGTTTGGTGGGCCAATCACAACTCTCTATCAGTTTGGTGGGTATATCTCAGCGCTCAATCGGTTTGGTGGGCCAGTCACAGATCTCTATCGGTTTGGTGGGCCAATCATAGCGCTTAATCTGTTTGGTGGGCCAATCACATTGCTTAATTGGTTTGGTGGGCCAATCACAACTCTCTATCGGTTTGGTGGGTATATCTCAGCGCTCAATCGGTTTGGTGGGCCAATCACAGCTCTCTATCGGTTTGGTGGGCCAGTCATAGATCTCTATCGGTTTGGTGGGCCAATCATAGCGCTTAATCTGTTTGGTGGGCCAATCACATTGCTTAATTGGTTTGGTGGGCCAATCACAACACTCTATTGGTTTGGTGGGCCAATCACAGATCTCTATCGGTTTGGTGGGCCAATCTCAGCGCTCAATCGGTTTGGTGGGCCAATCACAGCTCTCTATTGGGTTGGAGGGCCAATCACAGCGCTCAATCGGTTTGGAGGGCCAATCACAGCGCTGAATTGGTTTGGTGGGCCAATCACAGCACTCTATCGGTTTGGAGGGCCAATTGCATGCCTCAGTTTGATGGGCCAATCCCAGCTCTCTATCGGTCTGGTGGGCCAATCACAGAGCTTTATCGGTTTGGTGTGTGGGATGATGCAACAGAGTGGCACGGCTAAAATGGCAGCAGCTCATTTGAAACGGATTTGGGATCAACTTTGGCCCACTTAGACTTGGGCTTTTCTTTGCGTTAAGAGCAGATAGAGGTACTTAGAAAAAAGGACGTATTTGCGTCTTCTTCAGCAGTGTATGGCAGACTGCCCCACTGACTGACATCCATAGAGGTGAGTATGTCACGTTGTTCGTTGTCAAATAGCATGCAGACATTTTGAAAGACAACTGCAGATTCTGCCCCTCGGCTGAGCTCTGGCAGTAGGTCGTGGCTAGACTATATATTCACATACAGGACATAGGATGGCTTGCCAGGCTAGCATTTTCCTGTCTCAGCTGCAAATCATGCTGGTCAGCCCAGTAGCTTACATCATTCAGCCACACTCCTCCCCATTCAGCGAGTCTTGAATCCAGATCCCTCCTACCCTGGGACCTCATTTATAAAGCTTGCTTACTCGTCTGAAAACTGCGTAAATGACTTTCCACGCAAAATTTGTGATTTATAAACAAGAACCGGACAGCAAAATGTACTAGAATTTCAGCAAACTTTGGACCTGGCATAAGCACATTTTGTAGACGGAAAACCAGGCAGCACAGCCGGTGAGACAGTAACGTTTAATTTAGGACACATTTAGACTTGTAGACGCTCAAACACACATAGCTAGCAGGGAAGTTTATCCCCATGGTTGTGAAGAAGGGATTTTTTTCTTATCTAGTCTGCACTTAAAATAAAGCCTAGAACCCAAACACAATTTTTGTCTGATACAGCATCTCTGTCCAGTCTGCTTGAGAAGAGTTTAATATGCAATTATGTAGGTGAGAATGATAAGCGTCACACCTCAGATCGTTCGAGATTCAATGCCTTCTGTAAAGACTGAACAATTTTAATCTGTGCAGGTCAAAGTTCACCTGGGTGACTTCAGATGGAGCAGAAGGAGAGTACATATGAAGGGAGCTACTGAACATCACTATCTCACTAATGACCCATGGGATATAAACAGAAGAACACTCTGCAGAGACAATTTTCTCTGATTGGAGCTGAGAAGACTAATTCATAATGCTGAAAAATACAGAGGCAACATTTTCATCCTTCCATGAAAAAAAACCAGAGAACCCCAACATAAAAACACAAGAGCGGCTTCAGTAAGTTCTGGTAAAGTCCCGAGGAGAACAAGCAAGAGTCTGGACCTCAGGATGCGGATGTGTTTCTAGAAAGACCTGAAAAGTCCTCAGCGCGAATCCTTCAAGGAAAGGAGCTGAAGACTTACGGCTGCCTCAGCTGCACAGCTAAATTACTGACAAGTATCACACCTTGTTAAAATATTCTCATACAGATAACTAGGAAAACTATCACAACTAATTGCACAAGTTTTTAGGTAAATTGTGATAAATCTCAGATTATAAAGACTGACATGCTCAAATGTACATCTACATGCATCAAGTACTCCAACTCCACAACGTACTACAGGAGAACCCAGAGGTGTGGACTCCAGTCACATGTTTTGGACTCGAGACAGACTTGAGTCATTATTTCAATGACTTTTGACTTGACTTGATAAAATCGACTTGACTGGGACTTGAACGCCAATGACTTGCAACTTGAATCGACTTGCATCTGTTGACTTGAGCATATCTGATATTTTAGCACAAAAGTGGCACGACATGGACAAAAATCATAAATCATTCTTGGTTCTGGGTGTGATCTTGTTCTGCTAAATGCAGCAGCACTTTGTTTGAAATAACTTTCAGTTGCTCTTTCTGCTTGTTTGAGCAAACAAATGAAGCTTTGAGAAGCTTTATTTCTGGAATTTATTTATTATCATTGTCATTAAATTGAAGTTGGACACATGACTTGATTATGACTTGAAAATTCAAAGTTAAGGACTTGGACTTGAGTTGGCCTTCCACATCATTGACTTTGGACTCGACTTGGACTTGATTGTCTTTGACTTGGACTTGACTGGAAAGACTTGTGACTCACTTGTGACTCGCAAAGCAGTAACTTGGTCACACCTCTGGGAGAACCTTAGGGCTCCTCGGACAAACATCTGCTACGGTACTAGTTAGCCTGTAGCATGTAGCTAACCAGTTTCTCGAAAAATTAATTAATTAGATTAACATAGACTAGAGATCATCTAAAGGCTCAGGAACCCTTTGCAGGTGTTCTGGACCCATTAGCTGATTAGAGTGTGACACTTTGGGTCTAGAAAATTGAACCTTTTCACAAACCCTAAATGCTCCTCCCCCCTATCCACACTGAGGATGCAGCCACGATAAAGCGCTGCTTCATCGTGGCTGCAGGAGCTGAAGCTGGGATAGTCCCAACCTACCACCCCTCCTAGTGGACACTTATGTTGTGCTGTCTGAAGTCTGTTGCATATCTCTGCCTGAGGTGTTTTTTTGCAAAGCAAAGCTGCCCTCCTGCTGGAGGGTAGCTCTGAAGTGCCTCTTTTTTCCCTCCACCTGAACCAATCCTCATGTTACCCCTTATCTCTATTAAGGTAGCGCGACTCAGGGTTGCGAATGACCACAGTCACCAATTCTTGTCATGTGTCTTGCCCATGTATGTCTGATCTCTGAATTGTGTGTACTGAAACTCTAATTTCCCACTGGGATCAATAAAGTATCTTTGATTGATTGATTGAATACTCTAATTGTTTGAGATTTTGACATTGGGGTTTTCCGCAGCTTTAAGCCATAATCGTCACAATTATAACAAATAAAGGGTTGGGATATCTGGCTTTGCATGTAATGAGTCTATCTCATTATCTAGTTTCACCTTTCAGGTAGAATTACTGAACTAAATGAACTCATGCATCCTATTCTAACTTTCGAGTTTGCACCTACCTTTCTCCCACGCACTGCATCACAATGAGCCGATCAAAGCCTCAGTTGTTTATTTAGGGCACTGCTTTACAGCCAGTATTGTTTTTGCAGTTTTGTGATACTATAATCTGGTTTCAAGAAAATTCTAATTGGCAGATGCTATAAATAACTTTTATCAAATCCGCTTCCTGGAAACAATTTTATACAAATAAATCGGTACGGTTCTCCAATTGTTTTAAAATTTCCTGAAAGTGATGCTTCAAGGTTTGGTTCAATGAAAAACCATCTTAAAAATGTTTTTTTCTGATTATAATTGGTCACTCAGAGTTTTTCGTGCAGGCTGAACATGAAAACAGTCTGCTACACCTATCTGCTGCATTAGCTTCTGATAGAAAACTGATGCTGTACTCTAGGATTAGAAAATCCTGACAGATCTATGTCACAATGTGAATTAGTGTTCCCGTTATCCAATCTGGAGTGAGATGTCCAAATATCAGGAAATGACTAAAACCTGCCGTCTGAAGCTCAGCTGTGATGTGGGCAACTTTTAGGTCCGAGAAATGTTGCAGAGCGACTTAAAGGCATTCATTCCTGCTAGAGACCACTGCAAATGTACTAATTAAAGGAGTCAACCACTCCTTTAAGCCAGGCATTCACTGTGTGACTTTTCCAATTGAGCTCCATCTCAAACTGTGCAATTTCATTACAGGGCACAGCTCATGAAAGATGTTCTCACACCGTGAGTGTGGCATGCATCACATCAGATCTTCAAAACCCAAAATGCAAGGAACAAAAGGAAAAGAGGACATTTTTGTGCTGTCATCAACGTCTTGTCCTTGAGGGTTACCGTAGTTGTAGAAGGACGTGCAGTTTATGGGGGTTGGGGTGTGTGTGAATGAACGAGGTTTGGGGATCCGTTTTTATTTGACACAAGCAGCAAACATTACAGAAACACTCGCTCAAGAATGAGAGGTGCTCCAACAAAAGGAAACGTGCTTTCTTGACCATCCTGGTTATTGTGTGCAAACGAGATGACGTGTGTGGACAAGGAAAGGGCTGGGCAGACGCATGGGGTGGCGTGAGCCGTTCTGGTACATTTGGTTCATGGCGTCAGAAGTGCGAGACCCTCACGAGGGACGGGCAGAATCTTAAACATGCTGGACTTTCGTGCAACTGCACGACTGCTGATCGTGAGGTGTTGATCTCACGACTAGCTCAAAATGGCTGGAAACTTGCACAGTATGCCCGGGTTTAATGAAGCCCCAAATAATCCTATGGTGGGATGACATTAATCTCGACCAATAGTGATGAAGATATCAGCCCTGCTGTGACCCAGGGGTTCCCTGAGTTGTCAGAGGCAGCGAGAAATGCACTTTCAGAGCCAAAATGATAAAAATGCGTTAACAAGCAGTAAAATACTCGTGAAGTAAATATCCAGTTAACAGAATAATACTGGGTTAACTTTTTCAGCCCTATATTAAACACAATAATACAAACTCCATTGCTCTGAGATGTTTTGCTAACAAGCACTCACAGGCAAAAACATTAGGTCCTGTCTTGCTAGCTAACCAGCAGCTCTCATACGTACCCCGACTCTCAGCGCATAGGCGTACTCTGCTAACAACGTGGGACTGATGATCCTCCATTTATGTTTGGTCTTCTTAAAGTGCGGGTCAGGAAACAGGAAGAACATCTTACTGAGCTGAAAGACAAGATCAAATGCTTGCAGTCAAGAGAACACACACTTATTCATCATACTGAAAACGGTTTAGGGATGTTCTTTAAGGTCATCGAAGGATGAAAGCGGCCCATTTCGTTTATTTAGCGTACACCTAACAGTGCGGTTTTCAGAGCATCCTGTGGTTGGCTGTTAAACACCGTGGATCTCAGGACTGGAATTTCCCTCCTTTATGTTTTGTTTCTGTAAATTTCCCTAAAGTTTCAGTCTTTGACTTGTGTCTGTGTGCAGGCTCTGTGGATGCCAGTGTGGCTGATTTATTAAAGAAAAGAGAATCACAGCAGTCACATTTTATTAGTTAATATAAATAACATCTGGTTATGGACAGAGATGGGGGGGTAATCATCGGGAACAGCTGCAGCCTCAGGGGCTCCTTAGCTGCTGATGGAAAAACTTCAATACGTTAAATTATTTTTAGTTTGCAAAACGAACCAGAGCGCCAGTAGAATGTGCTGAGTCATGTCTCCTGATTCTGATTATAAGCTGCTCAGAAAAGTAGTCATGAACCACAACAAAGCAGACGTCCACCAGAATCAAACGGTTTATGATCGATTCTGAGCCACTTTAGTCGTTGTAAGTTGACTTTTCCCCTCAAGTTTCATCCTAACAACCCAAATCTCAGTTTGGCAAAAGGCCTGGTCTCGACACGCTCAATTAACACTTTTATTATCTTAATTCAACCTAAACAGAGCAGTAAAACTTTAAAAGGATGCCACACTTAGAGGCTTCGTTTTCCATAAATGTTTCACTCTAACAGCTGCTCTTTTTCTGTGTTGGTTTCCATAACTTTTTTCCCACTCAGAACATTTTAGTTTGTTTTTATTAAATCGAGGAAAGCTAAATTTCCCCTGATACAACAACCAAACTGTGACATTTAAGACGAGTTTAAACAAGTGTTTGCCAGGAATTCTGCTTAGATGATGTTTTGTGTGTCAGCCAGTGGATCTATCATTATACAACCTGTAGATTTATTGAGGATCTATAAATCCAATAAATTCACCATCTATAACACAAATTACCTATTTCTAACAAGACACATAAGGCCTGTGTGTGTGAATATACATATATATATATATATATATATATATATATATATATATGTATATATATATAGATAGATATATAGATAGATAGATAGATAGATAGATAGATAGATAGATAGATAGATAGATAGATAGATAGATAGATAGATACAGTAGGTATACATTTATATATACATACATAATACATACATACATATATACATACATAAACCCAAAATTCCTATCTCAAAACATTAGTATATTTCATATGACCAATAAAAGAAAAGTGTTTTTAATTAAAAAAAAAGTCAACCTTCAAATAATTATGTTCAGTTATGCACTCAATACTTGGTCGGGAATCATTTTACACACACACGTGTATATATATATATATATATATACCTCAGGAATGATGTTGTGAGTAAATAAGCCATTGGGTCACACGTAATATACTGATATTTCTCTCAGTTGAGATGCGTCTGTCTCTCCCCTCCCTCGCTCGCTCTCACGGATATTGTGCGGGACATTAAGGCATTTCAACATGGCTTAGGGGGGCGATCAGCCAAAAATGGTAGAGCAAATTTGATCAAATTATTTAAAATGTTTCCTGGTTTTATCCATTTGTTTTTATTACTGGTGAATCGGAGCAACTCTTACCCCTACTGCACACTGGCAGCATCAGCGGTGCAGAACGGTTTACTCGAGACAATCACAGCACTCCACTGCACACCAGAAGAGTCTCAGCAGTGAAGCAGCTTCTCTGCCATGCTCCTAGCTGGACCCGTGAGATCACAAGATCCCTCAGGACTTCAAAGGCTATGGTTTGTTTATGCAATCTGCCATTAAACCAAAAATCACATTATCGCTGTTTGATGTCATATGTGATGTTGTTCCTCTCCACTGCCAGGATTAAAGCCACGAAAACACACCGCTGCACCTCAGGAATGATGTTGTGAGTAAATAAGCCATTGGGTCACACGTAAGCTTCATATATATGAAATTGCATCACTGCAGTACGTTTATTTTGAAAATAATTGGGGATTTTACACTGAAACCGAGTTTGATTTCCTATCTAGCCCTATGTTAACTGCAGAAATTGATGCATCCTAGAAGCGGTTCGCAGAAAAAATTGAACCCGATCCTATCTTTATCGGATGTGCCTGAAAATGTCCGCGTTGCGGCTGGTTTGAAACACTCCATAGACTATAATGGATTCTTTTTGAAGCAGCGACGTTCCGCACCGCTGATGCTTCCAGTGTGCAGTAGGGGTAACACGTGTGACAAAATGCAAGACAGTTTATAGAAATAAGGGAAAAAGGAGGTCCAAAAATAAGTATTGACATGCAGGTTTGTGGATCAGAGAGTAACTATTAGGTGACTGATTGTTTAAGTAGTGATCCAATAGAATCTGCCAAACTCATCGACTGGGCAAAGACGCCGTCCGTGATGATTCATGAATCAACTCTGAATGAGAAACTTCAGTTCTGGGCTGAAACATGGACCGGTATGGATTGTGAGTCACAAAAACAATTCACTATGTTCACATTTCACAACAGCTAACCTCGACCTGCTGAGGCTCTGTTTACAAAGATCTGCTGGCGCATAAACACTCAAATATCTTTTGTGTTACACACAAACACACACATATGCACGCACAGAAACTTACCTGCCCTTTCAAAAAGAAGTTGGGGAGGTACTTCATTGCGTTGCTGCGAAGGCAGGCAATGTTCTGGTAGCTCCCTGGGTTACCGCTACGCAGCGAACAGATGCGGTCCTGGACGTAGTCGGACACTTTGACTCGGATCTCCAAACCCAAAATAAGTTTATCTGGGAAGAGTGGAGACAATTCCACTGGACAAAGTGAAGAGAAAAAAAAACACAAGCATGTGGTCAACGCGGAGCTGTGCTCTGAGAAAAGTTCAGACAGACGCATCGGTGACCTGGTTACCTAAAAGCCCCCCGTAGCCACATCCAATGTCTGCAAACTCAACCCGAGGGGTCTCCTCCTCGGACAAGTTGCTGCTTATTAAATCTGGATACAGCTTGGACCAGTCCATTTCCTCAGGACACACCGGACTGAGGAAAGGAAACAGACATTTAGGGTCATTTTTGCAGCCTTAGCAACAGAAATGTTGCTTCTATAAGAGTCAAGTGAGTCAAGATTAAAAATATCTCACTGAAAAATGCTCCCAAGGGCTATTGGAGCTGAACTCATTCAGTGTGATTCTTAGTGACTCACATGCAGATTTGATCAGTGAGATCTTTAAAGCTGCTAAAGAAGGGGCTCACTATCTCTGACAATTGCACTAGAATTCAATATTTTTGAGGAGCAAGTCCAACGTTGTGTAAAAGAGATCGCTAGCATTGGATTCTTTCTCAGATGGATTCGTTGCGAGCTGACCCAATCTGGTGATTACATTTACTTTAGAGCAGGGGTCCTCAATTATAATGGCTCGAGGGCCACGCACAAAAAAGAGCACAAAAGAGCAAGAGGGCCGGACGGGGTGGGGGTGCTGGATCGCTGGCTGTACTGCACGTAACACACAAGCTTGCAATATAAAGGACAACACCTGTCCCCCTGCACTAACCTGTCCTGAGTGACCCTCACCATGTAACCCTCATGTCCATGCTGTCTCTGGAGGAGCAGATAGGAGACAAGATCTCCTGTAACCTAAAATGAACCAAAGCTTCCTCCCAGTTTTTAAATTGAATTTAACATCAGTTTATCTCCATGAAACAAAAGAATAAATTGGAATAAAAACTTCTATCTTCTATTTCTCTCCCCTTTTAACATCTCCGTGTCCCTGGACAGATGATTACGCTGCAGTCGCCGTCACTGACCTCGCTCCCTCCCCAAGACCGGATCTCCCGACATCACAACACTCAGTCTGACTGAGCGCTTCGAGGAGAAATAATAATGAAATTATGAAAATAATAACGCGTGTTTGGAGGTGCATCCTCCGATCCTCTCTCTCTCTCTCTGTCGCTGATCGAGCGAGCAGAGCTCACCACGCGACAACCTGCTCAATTAACATAATTCACGACCCAAATCCAACAGAACCAATCAGGCTGATTCGGTTCGGGCTTGGTATATGTAATGGAATGAAATTACTGTGTTTTTTCCCCTCCTCTGCACAAGACTAGTCTGCATGAGATATGGTCTCAAGGTCTCATGCATCCCTTCTAACCTGCTTATTTTCAGCTCAACAGAAGAATGAAGAATGAACTATTTTCTTTTAATTAATCAGAGAATTCTATGTTAATAAAGCTAATCCATCCAAGTGTTAGTCAATGAATAAGATGTGACCGGCCTGTGAAATCAAAATATGAATTACTTTATTATAATCCTATAGAATATAAAGGTACTGTGACTTTAAGTGTTCCAACAGGACTGATTTCACGTAGCGTTAAAAGACATAACACATTACTTTCACTGTTCCAATCAGAATCTTACAGATCTGATGGAGGCGTGGTTCTGATGGTGTTTGGTAATTTTTCATTTGACAATAAACCATAACATCCGAAGTATAAAACTACGCCACGTCAGCTCTAACGCCAGTTCAAAGCGTTCCAGAGAAAGTGACGGAGTGGCCAATCCTGATCTATACTCTTCAACTGAAAGAACAACGACAAGCTGAAAAATTTGTTGCTATTCCAACAGCGGCAACAGTTCCTTTCAGAATAAAAGCTGAACCATCAAGACCCAGGCTTGGGTCTCACCAGACGCCAACAAAATTGCCGTGTACCCGGAAGTAACTCACAGACTGGACTAGTCGGCACCGCTGCTTTTCCTACCGGCTCGGTTCCAGAGAAGGTCAAGCTAGACCTCGACATTCCTGACCTAAAGGGGACTTCCACGAAGGGTAGGTAGACCGGCAAATGGTGTCTCATGTGTTTATGAACCTCCTAGCCAAAGCTTAATGTGAAGACATCACCTTCAGTTCCCGTCAGAACTAATCGCTTCTTCGCATTTGCTGGTTCTGATTAACATCACACGTCATCCATTCACCGTCTCATCCACTTTAGTTACACCACACATTTAGTTTTAAAATCAGTCTAGTTTAATTTGTTAGTAATAACATTCTTAACTTTTAAACTTGACTCGCTCTCTTCTGTTGTTTCTGAGTGAATACGAAGCGGTTATCTAATCCCTGCAATAAAAAGATCCAATGTTCTGGTTTAAATAACCTCACAGATCCGTAAGGTGAATTTCATATTTCCTATGGAATCCCACGCCTTATGGCTTATTAAATAACATGTAATCTAATTCATTACACAGGTTACAACTCCAGCGCTCAGCCCTGCAGTACCACATAAAGGCAGATCAAAGTTTCCTACCCGGTAAATGTGGACAACACCGCTCTGACAGATGTGGATGCTACGCTGGTGCCGCCGTAAAAATAACAAAACCACACTCCACTATAATTGATTATGGTACTCTTCTATGATGCAGAATCGTTTATGCCCGCATCTCATGCATTGATTATTTGATTAGTTTCCTCAGCTTTATCTATCATACACCTCCCGGTCGAGTGGGGGTGGGGGGGTGTGGGGAGGGGGGGGGGGGGGGCACAAAGAGAGGGCTTGTGGTCCGGACGTGGCCCGCGGGCCGCCTATTGAGTATCGCTGCTTTAGAGGGTAAAATAGACAAAGGCAGCTCTCTTGTTAACCAGAATGGATGGAAAATGGGAAAAAAATGACTAAATAATTTTTAGTTACCAGAAAAATTTAATATTTTTTGAGACTGAGGAAAAAACTGTTTTATTACTGCTGTTGAAGGGTTTAGTGTTTGAAACGTTTTAAACCATCCTAATTTATTTACAATATACTTTCGGTTAGTGAAGCACCGATATGACATATTTGGGCTGATACCGATATTAAGATAACTCTTATGGCTGATTACCGATATTTGCCGATACCGATATACCGACGTTAATGCTTCTAAAATCAGCCGGTTTTGTATAAAATGAAAATTATTAAAGCTGAATTTACATTATTATGTTTACACACCCACAGACATTTACGTTTCTGAGATGATTACATTCACTGTCACATGACTAAACAATTACACATCACCCCCCTCACCCTCTGAAATAGGCAAAGAAATGGAAACAAGATGGAAAAAATGTCGGTTGTTAATAACGGCCCGGTTTTATTTATCGGACCGATACCGATATGTTAATCAATGACTAACATTGGCCGATACCGATATTGATGCCGATATATTGTCCATCCCTACTTTCTGTTCTTTTAAATTTGCCCTGATCAATAGTTTTCCATGCTTTTTGAAGATCTTGCGTATTTACTATGCCGTTTTTGGACCTATTCTGTGTGTGTGCTTAAACAAAGAAGACAGAGGATAGCTGGGGGCAAGAGAAGAAGGGTTGTCTCCAGTTGATGAAAGTTCTGTCTTTGCAAAATAAGAAACTCGAATAAGATGATGACGAGATGAGCATCATTTTTTAGTTGATCACTGACTGTATTAAACGTTTTCAGGTAATATAAGTCCTTGGCAATCCCCTTGTTGGTGTTAAATTACAACTTTAAAAGTTATAAACTGAGCTATCTTTGGTATTTTCACCAGCTAAAACAAAGAAATTGGAACAACGTGAATGAAATCCACTGAAACCTTAAAATAATTGAAGCATTACTGATTAACACCACCTTGAGTGATTGCCATAAAGTCTGGCTGTTAGCAATAAAAAAAATCTTAAAATGTAATTGACAAAGTTCTTAAACATTTGTCAAAATTCAAATTGCAGCACATTTTAAAACATTTCCACCAGAAAAGATGACTTTCACATAGGAGATGACTGGAACATACATGTTTAAAAACACAACTGAAGTTGTATTAACCTCTGTTCTAACTTTTAACTTATTTTTAAATCCAGGGACTTTTAAAAACTCTACTTAGATGGCAGATAAGTTTAGTTTTCGGAAGCAGAGGTGCACATCACTGGGAAGACAAAATAAGGCCCTCCCTCCAAAGCTGGATATGAACAATTGTTCTTTTGTTCATAACACAGTTTGTGTAATATTATTATACTTATTAGAGACAGAAAGTAAATGGCCCAAATCTATACATCTAAATTAGAACTGTACAAGAATCAAAAATTGATATTGGCCCATAAAATCAGAATCGGTGCAGGGTGCACAGATGGTGACATTTTAACACTTCAGAGGAAGTAACTACACTAATAAAGTTAAATAATGTCTGTCTGACACGCGCGCACGCACACACACACTGATGAAGATAAAGATGCCATATATATATATATATATATATATATATATATATATATATATATATATATATATATATATATATATATATATATACTTAATTTTAAAGCGCTGCATCACTTGACATTACCATTAATGTATCATAATAACAGAATTTCGTAGCTAGATGACCACAAAGTTTGCGGTGTGTGTGTGTGTGTGTGTGTGTGTGTGTAACTCACTAATCAAACGTGTGATGCGCCATCGGGTTTGAATGGGCTCTCTGTCTGTAAAAACGCTTCTGAGGCATTAACGAAGTCATGTCGGATTGAATTCTGACACCCAGCTCCTTACGATATTAACAGTGTTCCTGAAATTATTCAAGGATTACAAAAATACGCTTCTGAACTTTCAGATGTTTGCTTCCCGTTGAGTCGCGGGAAGTTTACGTCATCACCAAGCGTTTTGGGTTGCCAGATGTGTTGAAATCAGCACCAGAGACGGAAAGAGTGGAGAAAAGCGCGTTTCATTAGAATTTAGGGAGACCTTTTAATATATTTCACCTCCTCTAACTTGGAAAAAGTTGGTGTTTAGATACTTGAATTATTTTCTCAGATTCTCATGAATTGAGTGCAAAATACACTTAAGAGGGATTTGTTCTGAAGTTAATTATATTTATAAGTGTAATTTATGGTCCTGTTGAGCTGTTGCTTAGTATTAAAGTAGAAAGTTTCACCCCTCCTTGTGTTTTATCTCACCAGGCACCAATTTTGGCCCATTCCAATACTTAAGTCAATACGGGGAGCAAATTATTATTTTAAAGACAGACAATACTATGTTGATGTCCCTTTGAAAAGCACAGCTTTTTACTTTTTGAATTGATTTGATTTACTAAACCTATGAAGAAATTAAGTTACTATTATGGCCTAAATACACGATTATAATTAAAGGTCCTCTACTATGGTTATGAGAATTAGATCATGACTTAAAGAATGAGATCCTGGAGGAAGCTGAAAGGAAATTCCTTGTAGTCAGGCTCAACCTACAAGGAGGAGCTCCATTGTCTGAAGGGAGCTTGTATTAGAGATGACTCTCTTCAGCATCAAAAGGAGATTGCCGAGATGGTCCTGGCATGTGATTAAGATGCCTCCTGCCATCCCAGTGCGGAGAGGACCAGGACCCAGATCTTACTGGGATGATTCTTTTGTCTCGCCGAACTCTTTGGTATGTCTCAGAAGGAGCTGGAGAGTGTTGCTATTGAGAGGGATGTCCTGGACCTGCTATCTCTACGACCCAACCCTACATCAAACTTGGTTGCAAAATCACTAACAGCTAATTTCACTTTTGAGAATTAACAAACCCCTTAAAGTTGAACATATTTTTAAAGCTGTGCTTTAAAAGAAATTCTGTCAATCTTCATGACACTGGGAAGAGCAAGCAATTGCACCAGAGGGTTTGCACAAGAGAATTGCAAGTTTTCTTACACTTGCAAAAGTAGGTGTAAAATAAGCTCATTTCATATTTAAATAGGGGACCCAAAGGCTTTAACAAGGTAAAAAAATAAAATGGATTCTTGGTATTACTTCATTAGATGAAATTTAGTAGCCATGTTGCAGTGATGTGCAACACCTCTAGGTCACCAGTCTAAAACTAAATATTTGGGTTTGTGAGAAACATGTACACATAAAAACGTCCTTTGAACAATAAACTTAGATCCTTCTGGATCTATTTATTACAACAAGACACAACAAGCTGTTCTAAATCAACACACACTTTATTATAAATCATATTCTTATGTGTTTTAGCAGTTTTGTTATGTTCAAAACGTATTATTAGGCTCTCAAAAGACGGATCATAGTGTGCTCTTGTGTAAGTGTGTGTGTGTGTGTGTGTGTGTGTGTGTGTGTGGGGGGGGGGGGTTGCCATGAGGTGGAAAGGAGAAGTACATCTACACAATAATTGTCATTTTTGAGTTTTTTCATGTTGATATAATGACAATTTTTATATAAAAATGAAGTAGAAACCACTCAGCTACATTTGGAAATGTTTGTCATGGTGATAAAAATAATGATAAAATTAATAATAACAGTTTTCCCCAGAACATTTTAAATACAATTGTAATGATCATTCACTCACTCAGAAGTACGTAGCTCCTCATAGCTCAGGGACGATCCACGAACTAAATGAGTGTAACTATAGTTCCAGACACTTTTAATATGGCACGTGTGTGTGTGTGTGTGTGTGTGTGTGTGTGTGTGTGTGTGTGTGTGTGTGTGTGTGTGTGTGTGTGTGTGTGTGTGTGTGTGTGTGTGTGTATTAGCACTTTTGTATCCTCTTCAAGGACAGTAGCACTCAGTGTGTCTGACCAGGCTTCAAACGGTGGTCACTCTCATCACCACCTCCTGGTTGGTGCCTCTCAGGCTGGACGGCCTCAGCTGGCTGAGGATGTGCAGGATGGTGTAGCCACAGTGGTGGTTGAGAATAGTCCTGACGTACCGACTCGTTCTGCGGCTGCCGTTTGTGACGGAGTTAGAGAAGTTCCTCTCAACTTGAGCAGCGGCTTTTCCGCTGGAACTGTTGACGTCTCCTAAATCCTTGGCTTTCTCATAATTCAGCACTTTCCACTGCTGGTTCACTGCCCGCCAGCGCTTAAAGATCTGGTAAACAGATGATCCTTCGTGGATTATAAGGCCTGGGCGTTAAGGACAAAGGATTGGGGAGGTTTAGGCAGGAAATGGTTTTACAAAAAAGACAAACAGTTGTTTGTTCAACAAGAAGTCAGAAGGTACAGTGTGTACTCGGGCTTTTTGGAATTGAAAACAAGATCTAAAGGTGCTAGCATTAGCGATTAGCTTTGCTGCTTTGAAAAATAGACCCAAATGTAATTATTAAATAAATGTATTAAAAATATGTTTTTAAAACTAAAACCTCCTCAACCACATAACATGGCAGGGATTGAAAACAGCAGGTGGTTTAATAAATGCTCAAGGCGGGAAAAATAATCTGGATTTGAAGATTAAAACAAAAAGTACATGAAAAACACGTTCAAATGGAAGCTCAGCTCTTTAGAAGATGAGTTCTGTTGCAAAGTAGAAAAAGTTTCCTCTCTTTTCCTCTCAATTTTAAGGAATTCTACAACAGACATTACTAATAACATCAGCATACTAACCCTCTCAGGCTCAAATTAAGTTTTGATAAAAAGCCGATCAACTAAGTCCTTCAGGGTCCTTCTGAGTTAAAAAAAATGCTCATGAAATACGTGTGTGGAGTAACCGGGTAGGTAGGTTTTAACTGCAAATCTGCAACGCCTGCCTCCAGAGGGTTAAATGCTCAAAATGGTGCACAAAGTTAAGATTTAACAGTTGGTTAAATTCAGAGCCCTGAAACTGATTCAGCTTCGGGAACCAATGTTATTAGTGACATTTAACATGAAAATATGGTGGAAAATGTCTAGATATCGGCCCAAAAAATCGGCAGTGCATATCGGGACTGAGAGTGAACTGTGATTAAAGAGGAGACAACACACAAAATGAAATGTACATCCCAGTCAAAGTGTGTTTTACCTATACAAACGATGTCCATAAACCCGTACATGCTGTAGCAAATCTGAAACAGAAGGTCCTGCCGCTGCCATTTGGCTGAGGGGCTGAGAGACGACCACACCAACCAAGAAATACTGGCAACAAGGAACAGGGAGCCCAGGATGATGGCTGCAATCTGCACCTTCTCTATGACAGTCAGGGAGATGGTCTGCCACTGGAAACACGCACGCACACATGCGCACACACACATGCATGCACAAACACACAAATATATACACACACACACACGCACACATGCATGCACAAACACACAAATATATAGACACACGCACGCACACATGCATGCACAAACACGCAAATATATACACACACACGCACGCACACATGCATGCACAAACACGCAAATATATACACGCACGCACGCACACATGCATGCACAAACACAAAAATATATACACGCACACACGCACACATGCATGCACAAACACGCAAATATATACACACACACGCACGCACACATGCATGCACAAACACGCAAATATATACACGCACGCACGCACACATGCATGCACAAACACGCAAATATATACACGCACGCACGCACACATGCATGCACAAACACAAAAATATATACACGCACACACGCACACATGCATGCACAAACACGCAAATATATACACGCACGCACACATGCATGCACAAACACGCAAATATATACACGCACGCACGCACACATGCATGCACAAACACACAAATATATACACGCACACACGCACGCACACATGCATGCACAAACACACAAATATATACACGCACGCACGCACACATGCACGCACAAACACACAAATATATACACGCACGCACGCATACATGCACACAAACCCATGTGCACACACACACACACACACACACACACACACACACACACACACACACACACACACACACACACACACACACACACACACACTTTAACACATGTTCAAATCACAGTACTCAATACTAAAGATGTTTACAATCAAAACGTCAGACTCAAGACTTCAAAATAAAAGTCCACAAACTAAAAGGAGATGTGGCACATTTCTCATTTCCTTCATTTATATTCAGTCTATGGTCATTTTAGGTTTATTGCTGAAAACCTTCTATTTTGTATGAGTCGATTTTGCTCAGTTTCTTCAAAGCTGAAACAAGTATAACTCTGCAAACCCTTATGTGAAGCTCTTGTGCTTCCTCCTTGGGATCAGTGCTTGAATCTTGCACACAAATCACACTTTATTGCTGTTTTTGGTTCATTTAGCTCCTTTAAGTCTGAGTTTTTCCCAAACTGTAACCACTGAACACCGTGAGCGTACCTGAAGTGGGTTTTTGGTGCTGATGGCCAACACCTGGTACTTGAAGTAGCAGAGCTCACAGCTCCAGGAACCCCTCTCACTGATCCAGCGGATCAGGCAGGACTGGTGTGAGCATCGAACAGAGCCATCACAGCGACAAGGGCTCAACAGCTCCCCCTGCAGGACGATAACAAGAATGGATGTTTGCTTACAGTTTCTCTACATAAAACACTATTTGTCTGCATTAAGCTCCTCAGTTTCGTACTAACAGTTCTGAACCTAAAACTCTCTTTTTTCTATTTAATTAAATTTAAATACATTGAAATGATATAAATGGATACATATGTGTGCATGTGTTGTGTTTAGTTAAAAATGTGCTACTTAACAGTTTTCACTTTGCATCTCATAAATATGCATCATGCCATTTCAGATCAACTATCTCCACCATGAAAGAGCAGGATCATGTAATTCCTGTCTCTATTTCCAGAATCCTTCGATATTGTCGACCCTTCATCTTCTCTCTGACAGTTTTTCATCCAACGCTTTGGGATCGTCCTCTTTTCTACAGATATGCTGTCACTTTAAACCACTTTGATCATCACTTGTTTTTCTGTGCTGTTTCTCAGACAGTTTCTGATGCTTTGCTGCTCCTGTTTGAAGTTATCTCATGTTTAGTTTTTTTTAAAGATGGTTTGAATAAATTAATTAAGATGCATAAATCAGTGAAGTGTAACTCCTCAGCACACGGCAGCACTGTTCTATATCGGACACGTATGCCTGTCTGTTAGCAAAATAATGAGCAAATCCTTTCTTGCATTTATTTTTCCCCCTTTTCTTTGTTCATGTAAATGACGGTAAAATGTAGGATGTTTTTGTTGCCAGTGATGTGCTTCAGTGTCTGTTTACTGAGCATCAAAGATACAGCAGAGTAAGATGTGTTTGTAACACAGTAGAGCTGTGTGCCAGCTGAAATCTGGACTCATCAGACCAGGGGAGGTTTCTCTGTTCTCTCTCTGGCTCTGGTTCAGTTCTGGTGATCTTGTGAGAACTGCAGCGTCCGTTTCCTGTTCTTGGCTGACAGGAGAGACACGTGGTGTGGTCTTCTGGAACATCTGTTGTAATTCAGAGATGCTATTCTGCAGATCTTGGGAAGAACCAGTGGTTATTTGAGCCACTTTTGTCCTTCATGTGTGACATATTGGATGATAATATTGGTCGTGGCTGAAAATCCACCCCTCCAGCACCAATAACAACACCATGATCTTAAATCTTGCTCCGTTCCTGGTTTGAACTTCAGTGAGACACCTCTGCTAGAGTTCGTCGCTGCATGATTGGCCGATTGGCTCTTTGTGTTAATGAGAAACTGAACACGCATAAAGTGGCTAAACAGGGTGTATATAATTCACACCATTACCAGTTGGTTTTAATCATTAATGAACAAATATTAGCAAAAAGACACACTCTCTGCTGACACGCGTTTTAACATCTAATGAGGATTTTGGACACTGATCCCTTTTAATTAGATATTTCACTCAAGTAAATACTTAAAGAATGATAAAACACACAGTTGTGCGTTCAGTTAAAACAAAAACCATTTCCTCCTTAACCAATCAAATGAAACATCCTGCGCTGGAGAGGTGAAGACACATCTTTTTGCTGAAATACTACATCCCGAACACATCTGCAGCCTGATACCTTAATCTAAACACAGTTTGCACATCTTGTTCTACTTTTCTGCAGTCTCTAAAGAAATCACAGGACATCTGGTGCAGGTTTTAGCTGTCAGCTTGACTCCCTGAGGCTCTCTGTCTTTAACTCTTCTCTGTCTGCCTCTAAGCGACGTGCAAGGGCTTTAATTAGTTAGATACCTGTAGGGGAAAGAAAACTTTCTGAGACCAACAGCAGTCTGAATTTGGCTCTCTTAGATTAACTTGGTTTTTTTTTTTTTTGGAAAAAGTATAAGTAAAGGTTTGATTCCAGCAGATTCCTTTCCCATGAAAGACTCCCCTGTTTTCTATCAAATGCATTCATTTCTTTCCTGCATTGCTTTTAGGATTGTCGATTTTTAAAAAATAAACATTTTGTTGTGTTTGTATTACTGAGAGTTTCACATTGGTTGGTATAAAGCTGCATCTTCTCCTCAGACTATTCTTAACCGGTGCCCTTTGTGAGCCCACTGATATTTTTAGATCATTACTCACTTCACAACTTCACTTTGGAACCTGAGCCGACGTGATGGATTCCTACAGACAGCTCTGATTTTAATGATGCTATAAATTACTCCAGAGGTTCCCAAATGTTTCAGAATCCGACCCTTAAAGGAACAGAGACGGTGACTTCACAGTAATGGTTTCCTCTACCTTTATAATGAAAACAAAATAATAATTAGAAATCATTTTTGGAGATTACAACTTGGTGTTTAATGGTTTCTGCTGAGGTCTCGGCCCCATGAGGAGCCACTTAAAGAGCAAGTCACCCCCAAATCAACTATTTTTTCCTGATAAACTATATAAATGTGTGTCTAATCGTGCTGCAGACACGTGTAGCCAATAGTTTTGCACTTTAGTGCATTTTAGTTCAAATTTTAATTTTCTGTCTGAAACTGTCAGTGTTGTGCCGTTGTCAGGTAAAAACTCTGCACTGCATTTGAATTTAAATCTGCCACCGCTATTGGCTAAGAGGTATGCTATGATGTAAACTGGTACATTATGATGTCACAATGTCATGAGTGTGTGTATTTGTTAGTGGCTCTACCCTCTCGGTCTGCTAGGCAACAGCATTTGTTGCATTTTTCAAACATGAAGTGGGAGTGAAGTACGCTTCTTGTAGGGGGTGACTTGCTCTTTAAAGCAACAGGAAGAATCAGGATCTTTCTGCATGTATGAATTTTGACCCAATTGGGGCCTGCAATCAATAAAAAACAAACAAGTTTGTATTCTCTGTTGTTTTGGTTATTTTTCTGGTCATTTTTGGTGGTTTAGTAATCCTTTCTTGAAGTTTGAGACTTCTAGTCAGGAAGCTCAAACAAATACCCACTCCATCGCTGTTTAGACACAGAAAACATTCACATCAGGTCTTGAAATTCTGAAGTTCACCTTTTCTGGGCCCTGGAAGCAGATCCGGCACTGCGGCGTCCTCGTCCCGCTCTCAGAGAGACTTGGTAGGGATGCTGCATCCAGACATCCTTCCTGGGCTTTGGATGTTTCTTTATCCTCAAAAGCCAGACTGCGCGGCCGAGGTTCAGACCCATAATATTCCTCCTCATCATCCCGACGAGAGCATCTCATCTGCGGCCAACCACAGCCTCCGATGGTGAACCCTCTCATGCTTGGCCGTGTGTCTGTGTCTGTCCTCCTGCTTGAATCAGAATGCATCAGCAGCAGAACCTTGAGTTCATTGAAAAACATCCGGATCCGATACTTGAGCATGCTTCAGCAGCTTTACTACACAGCTGGGAACAAAGAAGCCTCCAGCCTTGGCTCTGATAGCTCCTTCTTCACCACATCATCACCACCATAATTGCCATCACCGTCATCATCATCATCATTGTGCACTTGCACCTTTTCATTCAAGCTCACAGATCACATCTTGTTAAAAAATACAACTATGGTGTTGAAAAGCATGCTGCAACATGATAGGCTGTTAGATCAGCCCACAGCTCTTTGCATATCCTGTTGTTATAGCATGTGCACTGCTGTCCAACCAATGGGGAAGGATTATTTTTTTTTATGCACAGAGGCGTTTTCTGACCAGATTCAATGGAGGCTCAAAACCAAAAACACTGATCCATCAAAGGGTGAAGTCGGAAGGGTCCAGCAGCTGAGGTACTGGGTCCAAACTGGTCCTTTTACTGGTTTAAATAAAGAACTGGAGCTGTCAGTGGTTTTACTCAGTGTTTTCAGCCTCAAAGCCAAATTGAGGGAGGTGGAAGTGAAATCCTTTAAATATCCGACTCATGTAGGAGTTTTTTTTATTTATCATTTAGCCACTGAGGAAATGAAACCAGGAGGTGAGGAGCAGGCTGCTCCTTTGTTGTCTCCTCTCAGAATGAACGCTCTTTGTCCCGCACCTCCTCCTCCTCCTCCTGAAGTAGCTTCTCGACCCAAACTTATCTTTTACATAAGCGATGGGGAACTATTTATATAAATAAATCAATTTTACTTGCAATACCACTTTTCCATCAAACATCCCTGCGCTGCGCCACGAAACGGGAAGAGGAGATTCCTTCACACCTTTCCAGAATCCCTGCAGAAATTTCACAACAGAAGTCCCGTTTGTGATCTGCTCGGTTCGGGTGGTCCCAGGTCCGGTTTTCTCCGGGATGGAGCCAAAATCCTCCCCATCATCTTTATTCTAGTCCGTTTTTCCAGCCTCCACTCCAAGCTGCTGAGCAGGAATGTGCTCCGTGATCCACAGCGGGCGGTGTGCGGGATGGAGCCGCTGTCCAACGTGCTGATGCTCACGTGACGCGAGGCCACGTGCTCGTTCACCTGCCCATCGACAAGATCAGTAAAATCAGGAGAGTGTGTATGTGTGTGAATTCAAGAGACCAGGGTTTATTAGAATTTATTACATTTTCGGAAATCACTAATTGATTTTCTTTTTGTTGTTTGGTTGATAGGACTGCACAGTCTCTCTCTCTCTCTCTCTCTCTCTCTCTCTCTCTCTCTCTCTCTCTCTCTCTCTCTCTCTCTCTCTCTCTGTGTGTGTGTGTGTGTGTGTGTAAGTCTAATCAACTGACTGGATCCACTAGAGAACAGAATACTTATCCAAATTGTCCTAAAAAGTTAAACAATGTTTAAATAAACAATTTCTCCTCTTTGATGATATAAATTGTTTTTTATTTTTTTAGAAAGCCTGATTGCTCACGTTGACAACCAGGTCTAGTGTAAGGATGGTGTATTGTTCCACAGGAAGGCTTCAAATACAAAACTCAAACACAATGGGGTGAGATAAACTCTTTTAATAACTGAATCCAATCAGAAGCATCAAGACAGAGACATGACCCAAACACAGTCCATGATCAAAATCACAATAAAACAAGACAAACGGTTGCAGATTTAAATCTAAAATAAGAGGAGACAGACTGAGTAAGTATCTTTTGCAGCTAAATATCATTGTCCAAAAGATGTGCGGTTTGTTTTTAACCTTTTGAAATGCTAGAAGCGCACATCCTAAAAATAATCATGCATGCTCCAGTGATGCTTTTAACCAGAGGCGTGACCAAGTCACTGCTTTGCAAGTCACAAGTCTTTCAAGTCAAGTCCATATCAAAGACAACCACGTCCAAGTCGAGTCCAAAGTCAATGATGTGGAAGTCCAAGTCCTTAACTTTGAATTTTCAAGTCATAATCAAGTCATCTGTCCAACTTTAATTTAATGACAATGATAATAAATTCCAGAAATAAAACTTCTTAAAGCTTCATTTATTTGCTCAAACAAGCAGAAAGAGCAACTGAAACTGTAGTGGTCTGTGTCTGTGTCTTCCCTTCTGTGTCTCATAGCGCCCTCATGTGTCTTTTGTCTGCGTCTCAGTTAAGTGTCATGTTGTTACCCTTTTTAATCATTCCTCCCATCAGCTCCAGCTTCTTTGTCCCCAGCTCGGTGTGTGTGTGTGGTTATGTGTGCTATGTCCTTCTCCAGCTAGTTTGTGGGAGCCCTTCCCGCTGTCTTTAGATAATTGTTGTTTAGTTTTGTGTTTAGGTATCTGCCCTCCTCTGTTTCTGCTTCCCCATTTAGAGAAACTGTTGTCACCTGTCTTCCCTCCAGCCCTCACTCCACACACCTGCTGCCTGTTTCCCTAATTGTTCCTCCCAGTCTATTTAAGCCCTGTCTTGTCTCTGTGTTGTTGTCGGTCCATTGTATTTCTTGGTCAGCGTTGTTTTGTCGCCAGTCTCAGTTCTCTGCTCAGAAGGTGAGCTTTTTGGATTTTTGTCTTTGTTTAGTTATTTGGTTTTTTGCCTTCGCCCCCTTGGAGTTTTGGTTCTCCTCCTGAATAAAGGAATTTTACTTTATACCAACTCCTGCCTCTTGTCGTCTGGGGTTATCTGCAACTTGGGTCCTAATCACCTCTGTGCTCTCGTGACATGAAACTGATTCTAAACAAAGTGCTGCTGCAATTAGCAGAACAAGATCAAGCCCAGAACCTAGAAAGATTCATGATTTTTGTCCATGTCGTGCCACTTTTGTGCTAAAATATCAAATATGCTCAAGTCAACTGATGCAAGCCAATTCAAGTCGCAAGTCATTGGCGTTCAAGTCAGAGTCAAGTCGTTAGTCTTTATAGATTTTTGTCAAGTCAGTCATTAAAATAATGACTTGAGTCCAAGTCATGTGACTCGAGTCCACACCTGTGCTTTTAACCTCTACAGAAATCCTTAGATGCCACAGAAAAAGGAAACAAAACATTGCCAAGAGTGAAAACAGCAAGATCAGATGGTTCCCAGTTGTTTTATTTATTTTTTAATACTTAATCCCCTGTTTCTTCACTAATCTGGATGTGGCGAGTCCTCTTGTGAGCATTTGAAGGGTCTCGGGCCAGATTTTGCTGCCCTGATGGCAAAAGACCAACGTCCAAGGTTTGGTAGTGAGCTGTGCTTCATTACAGTTTGTAATATTCATACACTTTCCAGTTAAACAGACGTTAAAAGCAACACCACAGTATTAAATGTACACATTTTGAGCTGAATTTTTAAATTAAGTCAAGATGCTTCGGTTAAATCAGCCGACCGTGACGGTTATGGTGCACTCAGACGACCACACAGAGCTCAGGGGAGTGTTTGTGGTCATCTTGTTCATTAAGCTTGAATTTCATATCAATTAAAAACCAACAAAATGAAGTAAATTAAGCTGAAAGCTGCTTCAGTAATGTCTCTCCAGCAGCCGAACTAAAAGTCTAAGTCCAAAACAAATGATGCTGAGATGTGGACGCTGCGAAAGTCTGAGAAGCTTGAATCGGAGGTACCATTAATTATTGATCAGTGAACTCAAACAAACCTTTCCTCTGCAGCGGAGGTTGTCTGAGGCCAAGCCTTGTGAGAGCCAGTTTCATCATGGTGTTTGGTGGCTTTTGGCCTTCATCAACCATCACATGCTGTCTTTTTTAATTAGTTATGGTATGTTTATGGTAAATGTAGAGGATGAACATAAACAACAAAGTGTTTAATTTAGCTCTTGGCGCTTTCTGTTATGTAACGTCCAGCAGCAGATGGAGCAACCATTAAAAGCTGCCTTCAATGAAGTGAAAAGGGTCTGAAATGTCCCTAAAAGGGCTTGAAGTCTTGTTCTCAGAAACACCCCGGTCTGTAAGTGCTCGGTCAGCAGGGATAAAAGCTGTGTGGAAGTTTAACTTTAGAGAAGCTGTCTTGTCTCAGCTATCCAGACAGAAAGTGGAACCACTGTCAATGCTATAAGCTCCCATTATTTTTGCTCTAGTTCTTCCAGACGGCAGGAAGCTTGAGGCCCAGCTGGAGAGGAAACTGTAAAACAACTCAAAGACTGTAAATGGATTTTATGTGCAGGACTTGGACTATAACTCTACAAGTGTGATTTTATTTTTAGACGACTGAAAGTCCAACACAAAGATGTTCTGTGATCATATGAAAGCAGGTAGACTGTTCCTTCTGTGACCCTCACAGGGCTGCGAAACGTCCTTAAGAAACCAAAGTTGCCTTCATTTGAACACTTTTGGATTAATTGATTCTCTTGCGTTTGTCTAAAAATCTCCACCAATAACACGTTTCCGACTGAAAGCAACTACTATTATTGACCACCTCTGAAAAAGAGAGAAATCCTCATCCAATTATTGTGAATCACAATACATCCACCAAACCGTCATCTGACCACCCACCCCATGAACATGAGGCTCTATGTGCATGCTTGGTGTGTTCTTGGCTTGGAGCAGCAGAACAGGAAGTAAAACCAAAGCCAGGCTAGCTGGTATAACATACAAAATGCTTCCTCTTGCAAGTTGTTTTACATATTCTGTTTATTCTGGCTTTGTTCTTGTTGGGAAACATTTATCCCCGGGTTTTGATTGTCAGTGAGGGAAGGAGAGATCTGGATGAACTGGGATAGCATATGCAGTGATCTGGTCTGTTGTGGTAAAGAAGGAGAATCAGAATCAGAAGTTTTATTGCCATATGTGTGCCAAGTCACAACATTAGGAGATTGCTGCGGTATTTTGGTGCAGAAGGTAAGATAGAAAAAATAATAATTAAGAGATAAGCAAATATAAGAACTAATAAAACACTCATGATAAAATTATTAATGTAAAAAGTGGCAAGAATTAGAGAAGCAGCTATCTACTCCGTGTAGGTATTAATCTGAGTATTTGTTGAATGGTTCAAGCACAGCGTCGAGTCACGTGACTGGGACCAATCAACTTGAGTGGGCTGCCCTAGGATGTTCATTCAAAAGTCCAACTGCAGAGGGGAAGAAACAGTTTTTGTGGCGAGAGGTTCTGGTCCGAATGGATCTGAGCCTTCTGCCAGATGGGAGCGAGTCGAAGAGACTGTGTCCAGGGTGAGACGAGTCAGCTATTATCCGACCTGCACGCCTCAATGTCCTAGAGATGTACATATCTTGAATGGAGGGGAGTTTGCAGCCAATGACCTTCTCTGCAGAGCGCACGACACGCTGCAGCCTCTTCTTGTCCCTGGTGGTAGCTCCAGCGTACCACACGGTGATGGAGGAGGTGAGGATGGACTCGATGATAGCGGTGTAGAAATGCCTCGTTGACTGTGGTGATAGGTTGAATTTCTTCAACTGCCTCAGGAAGTGCATCCTCTGCTGGGCCTTTTTTCTGATGTTGGTGATGGTGGGCTCCCATTTGAGGTCCTGGGTGATGGTGGTGCCCAGGAAGCGACATGAGTCCACCATCGTGATGGGAGTGTCAGACAGGTTTAAGGGGGGGATGGGGTGTGTGTGTTTCCTAAAGTCCACAACAACCTCCGCTGTCTTCTGGGTGTTTAGCACCAGGTTGTTGTGGCTGCACCAGTACACCAGCCGTTCAGCCTCCATTCTGTAAGCGGACTCATCCCCATTAGAGATGAGTCCGATGACGGTGGTGTCGTCAGCAAACTTAATTAGTTTGACAGACTCATGCTTGGAGGTGCAGCTGTTGGTGTACAGGGAGAAGAGCAGAGGGGAAAGAACATAGCCCTGTGGTGAGCCGGTGCTGATGGTCCGTTGGTCCGAGACATTCTTCCCCAGCCTGACTTGTTGTTTCCTGTCTGTCAGGAAGTCAGTGATCCACATGCAGATGGGGTCAGGCACGTTCATCTGGGACATTTTGTCTTGGAGGAGGTCTGGCAGGATTGTGTTGAGTGCAGAGCTGAAGTCCACGAACAATATCCTGGCGTAGGTACCTGGGGAGTCCAGATGCTGCAGGATGAATTGTAGAGCCATGTTGATTGCATCATCTACAGACCTGTTTGGTCTGTATGCAAACTGCAGGGGGTCCAGGAGGGGGGCTGTGAGGGTCTTGAGGTGGGGGAGAACTAGGTGCTCAAATCAAATCAATTTCCCTCTGGGATTAATAAAGTATTTTTGAATTGAATTGAAATGACTTCATGACCACAGATGCAGTCCTTTAGTCCAGTGATTCTTGGTTTCTTGGGGACAGGGACTATGGTGGAGATCTTGAAGCAGGCAGGCACATGAGATTCCTCCAGTAAGGAGTTGAAGATGCTCGTAAACACTGGGGCCAGCTCTTCAGCACAGTGCTTTAGAGTGGCAGGAGCCACGCCATCAGGGCCCGGGGCTTTTCGTGTGTTAAGAGACCTGAACTGCTTCTTTACATCTGCTTCATGAACGTGTAGATTTGTGGTGGAGGTGTGTGATGTGAACACCTCGTGAGTGGGGGGGAGGGTGATGAAGGTGCTGGTGATGGCTCTGTAACGGGGAGTGGCTGACCAATGAGCTCAGCCAGAAACCAAAGCTCTTATAAGCCATTCTTAATCCCATTCATCACTCATGGTCATGAGCTTTGGGTAATGACCAAAAGACCAAGACCATGAATGCAAGCAACTGAAATGACTTTCATCTGTAGGGTGGCTGATCTCAGCCTTGAGATATGATGCCGAGCTCAGACAACTGAGTAGAGCCACGGCTCCTCCACAGAGAGGAACGAGCTGAGGTGGTCTGGGCATTTCATCAGAATGCCTCCTACAACGTCACAGGCGAGGAATTCCAGGAATGTGATACTGACAGAAGGTTCCCAGGTTAACTAAGTAAATTGTAATTTCTCATCCCTTGTCCGTTTTATCATTTTGGTGTCTTTTGCAGTGTATCTGTAAAGTGCTTTGGTCAGCTGTCATGCTGTTTTTAAATGTGCTATGGAAATAAAGCTAGTATGGTATGGATTAGGGATGCGCCAATACCGTTATCGATACCAGGAATCAATGCCAATGCAGTTGCCTGAAAGTGGCTTCACTGTAACTTGTCATTTCTGTTCACCTAATATTTTAGTTTTGTGATCATTTCCATTAATATATTTTATTTTTTAATCTACCTCACACACTTTTCCTGTTGAAAGCAAAGAAAATAAAACCTGTATTCCAATTCATTGCATTTTATTGTGTGGTAGAAGTATCGGTGTAGGCGAGTACTCAGATCCAAGAATCGGTATCGTATCTGTTTGGGAAAAAGTATTGGTGCAACCCTAGTAAGGATCCCACCAGTGGAAATAGCTGGACAGAGGATAATTTGGACCTCTCTTCAATCCCAGCGACCCAAATCTAACTAAGAATAAACTATTTATAAACACTGACCTAAACTATAGTGCTCAGATGCTGATCTTGATTCCTTCACCCTTGAATTTCCTCACGGGACACCACTAACTTTAGAATTTAAAAACACACCTAAACATACTTAAACCATTAAGCTGTTATAATAAATCTGCAAACATGCTAGGTTTCGAACCCAAACACAGTCACAGAACACTCACCCCTTCCCTCGGGTATCTTCCCTGAGACGCAACCTGCGATACCATACCACTTTAATTATAGAGCGCTTTTAACACGGCATTACAACCGACCAAAAGCTGCACATGTTAATGCCGCACGAAACGAGACATGGCCAAACACCAGTAACCGTTTTCTAGGTCCAAACAGCTTTTGTCTGTGACATAAAATGGAGTTTTTTTTTTGAGGCTCTGGCAGTTTGTCCAAAAGTTGAAGTGGTAGCAGCCGGCCGTTTCTCCTCCTCTGATACTACTGAGCCGCGAACCTCTCACACCAGCGGTGTTCTGTTGCCAAATATGCGAGTGCGTAACGAATAGAGGCCCCATGGTCGTGCAGGAGTTCAGCGGTTTGGAGACCAACAACTGATGGTTCAATAGTTGCTTCTGGTCCTAAATGTGTTATTTGCTGAGGTTTTTAGACAAATGTGAAAGAACCACTTTATTTATTTATTTCATCTCCACAGTTTCTTTATTTCTTTAACATATCAGAACTTGTTAAGAGGCATGAAAAAAGGTTTTAGACACATTTGTTTGTTTGTTTTAATGTAACTTTAAGTCTGGTGAAACCACATTTACAGTTTCCCCACTCTTCCTTTGATGATGTGTAACAAAGTTAAATGTTGGAAACGTTTAAAGTAAAGATGACTGCTTCTTGGAAGCTGAAACAGGTATTTTACATCAGCAGAGGCTTTAGAGGAGATGATGCGCTAAAGTTTGCGTTGCTGCTTTAGGCTGTAGCCCCGCCCCCTGAGCAAAAGGAAGACAGGCGGAAAAAAAAGTGCGACGAGAGGCCGAAATCAAACCGACTGACTTGGTTTCCCCACATCACAAGCACCCGTGGGCAAAGAGTCTGGGTCTGGACCCGGCCCTGTCCACCTCTGACCCGGTTCTGAACGAGTTAGAGACGTGGCAGGAGAAGAAGCATGCCTCGCTGAAGTGATCTCACCTGCCGCTGAAACACGGAGAGGAGAAACGGGCGAGGTAGGTTCGTGTTTCTGGACTCTCGGATACAGGAAACTACAGCTGGGTCGTGTTGGTCACCTTAACTCTGGACATCTGGAGTTTGGGCTGGACAGATGCGTTAAATAAAAGTTGCAGTCGGTGGTTTGTCCTCCGCCAGCGGCCGTAGTTGTCAGCTATCCCTCCGCCACGTTGGGGCACATGTCTGAGGAGGAGAAACTAGCCGTCGGCCTGCTGTTGCTCCACTTTTCTTTTAGTTTAATCAACAAAGAAGAGTCGTGGAGTAGCACCACGTGTCTGTCCTGGCCTGGACCGGCCTGCTGACTCTGCCCCCGCCCACGGGCCTGCTTCTCCGTGGGTCGGTCTGATAGATCCGTAAAAATGAATGGAGGTCAGCTTCTGTTGATCATTTAATTACTGATTTGCTGTTATCGGTATGCTGCCAGTTCAATTAAACTCCCAGCTGGGCTGAAGCTGGTCAGATGTTATTGAAAGAAGGGGAAACATAAATGTTTAAATTAAAGGTGCAACATGGAAGAAGGAAGTAGGAATGACATCCTATGGTCAAAATTGGTTACTGCAGCCCATTTTCAAGACACACTGGTCTGGTATGGCGTCGTCACATCTGGCCTGTAGAGCCCTGCACGGGCCTAAAATCTGAGCCCGTGTCCGGCCCGTGGAGCCCCAGCCCGACCCGGTCCGAAAAGGTTTTCAGGATTCTCTGGCCTGAGCCCAATTTTGTTTTTTAACCTTTCATAATGTTTTAGCGTGATAGAATGCTCAGCATTCTAATTATCTGTGAGAAGCATTCTGCAGTAAAAAAAATAAATAAATAAAAAGAAAAGAACAAAAAACAGCATTCAATGCAGCTTTTTTTTCTAACAGAGCGTATTTTTTGAGCGGCAGATGAAATTTACGAACACTATATTAATTGGATGCGTTTGTAAATTTAATCTGCTCTGAAAATGCGCCCTTGTGCAATTAGAAAAAAAAAGCAGCATTCTAATTTTCTAACTGCAGAGCGCATTTTCAGAGCGGCAGATTAAATAAACACCCCCAATTAATATAGTGTTTGTAAATTTAATCTGCCGCTCTGAAAATGCGCTCTCCAGTTAGAAAAAACAACAACAATGAATGCTGTATTTTTTTAACTGCAGAGCGAATTTATTCACAGAAAAATAGAATGCTGTCATTTTCTTGAGAATAAACAAATGGTTTCTGACATATCAAAGTGGACATAAAATGGCATATTAGAATAGGGGCACATGTTTCAGTCAGCCGTTTATATAGGCGCATTAATAAACCACACAGACCTTAACTGAGCTAACGGTGCCGGTGCGTGAGAAGCAGGCAGGTGCTGCTGCATTCAAGTGTTTCAATTTTTTTTATGAATTTGATTAAAAATAAAGGCGCCTGGCCCGGCCCGTGTCCGAGGTAATTACGCAGTCGTTGGCCCGAAGCCCGGCCCTCGGGCCGTCGGACCGGGCCGACCTGAGGGCCTAGGGCTTCATTGCAGGGCTCTACTGGCCTGGTCCGGTCTCGGTAGAGTCGGCCCACCCCTGCATGGCCAGTTTTTGTTCACATAGCCTTCTCAGAGCGAATGCCTCAGAGCACGTGGGCCAGGTGGGTGTTTTACTCACGTTGGTAAGCAAAAGTAGCCGTGAGCAGTGATATGAAGCACACCGTTTCCTACTCTCACGCCGATACTGCTGCGTGCTCCTCACAGCAGTCTGTCTGACCAGCAGTCAGAGATGTTTACAAATATGGGAAGCCTCTGCTGGCTAATTCTACCAACCAATCAGAGGCTCCCTCTATAGGTAGGTGTGAACTTCAGCTGGCCAATCAGTCGTATTTGGTGTGTTGGCTCAGTTTTCCATGAAATAGACTACTGGGGAGAAGCTCCAAAAAAAAAAAGCTGAGCATGGAAAACGACTACCCAGATGTGCCTATCAAGATGTGAAAGCCCAATTGCTCAGGGTCAGAGTTCACCCTAACCCATTCTCCTGCCAGAGAAAGAATGCTGCTGTTGTGTATTTACTTAAACCACCTCTCCTGCTGGTGGTGGTTGGAGGAACTGGTGGCGCCTAGACTCAGCAGCCCCTCCTGTCAGTAGCTACGTTGATTTTACAGACGTTGCACTACAATTTCAGGTGTTGGCGCTCTTTTGCTCCGCCCACATGCTTATAGATGCGCTCATGACATCACAGGCCCCAGACCGCCTATGTTCTCAATCACATCTATATTCTCAAGGCAGTGTGGGACGAACACAGCCAGGCTGGGGTGGGCGGAGTGGAGTGGAGCTGATGCTAGTGTGTAAGTGGCACAAGTCCAACAGGTGGCAGCCCACCACACTGAAGTTGCAAGTGCGGTATTGACCCTGTGCACGTGACGTCACGCCACTCATGTGACCGCCCCCTTCGCCCTGATGGACGGCAAAAAGACCGTTTACACCCGTAGAAACTCCAGTGACGCTAGTCAAAACAAGCCAGTTTGTAGCCTTTTATAGCTTTTATTTAGTTGATTCGACAGTAAAATGGTTTTAGCTTGCTGCGTGGTCGGCTGCACTAACAGACAAGGATGTAAAGTCAACTTGTTTTGTTTTTTTATTAACTTTGATGGAGACTGAGGACGGAGATGAACTGCAGCGATCAATCAAGCGGACTAGCAGGTCTCAGATTTGCAGCGAACATGTTTTTACCGGGTAAGATTAACGTTCATTTATTTGACGAGGAAGACGGGGACAGGGGTAAATGTGATGTGTTTATACAAGTTATTGATAATCCTGATGGACGGGTATTTCACCACGGAGGCTGCGCTCCGTCCACTGTAGTGTAAAGCGAGACAATAATTAACAATATTAAAGCTCCGATGTATGATTACGTGTGTTAAAATTACGTTATTTATTTATATGAGCGTCGGCGTTCAGAGATCTTCTCATTCCGGTGTGAGAGCAGCAGCTGAACCCGGTAACACCACCAGCAACAGAAGCTGGTAGGGATCCGGACTTTTTAAAAATCAGCTTTGGTGTAAAGTGAAAAGCTGTTTATAACATAATGTTATAAATCCAGAGGGGTGAATTTAGGCAAAGTCAGCCACATGTTTACATCGGTGAACAGCTGCAGAGAGAACGTAAGCTAACGTTGGTAAGCTAGTTAACACACCGCTCTCTATGAGCCCCCGCTAGATGCGCTACTTCTTCTGATAACTGAACTGGGCCTGAACTAGTTGAAGGAATGCTGGAGGAGTTTTGTTTTTGTTTTGATCGCTAAAACAATTTCAGGCTCTACTTTTCCCTTTGTTTTGTAATCGTGTCGCTCACTGTTTACATGCTTTTGCCGTCCACGTGATTAGGTGGCGTCGGTGCAAAGGGTCAATTCTTGCCAGAGGGGGCAGTGGGGGTCTGAGTGACATTTAATGAACCTTGTAAAGGGTCTTTTAGCACATACTGGCTCAAGAAAATAATTTAAAAATATGATAAAGTTGCATAGTATCCTAACAAAGATCCACCTGTAAAAAGATTGTGAACTATCATACACCGTGATTTAGTATTCTTGTCATTAATAATAAAACAAAAATCGGCTAAAAAAACACAACATGTTTTACTTTGTTTACTTTGAAAAATACTGGATGCAACTTGCTGAAAAAACAAGGCTCACTTCCTGTCTGGCTCCTGTCATTTATTTAACTTCATGACACTCTGCATGCAGTGTGCAGAAGAAAAAAAAAAACGCCATGCAGAAACTTTCAGGAGCTCCACATCTGGACCGCACCACAGCCAGTGTGAACGTTCTGATTGGGCTCAATGATTTTTGGACTTTAAGGAAACTGGACCGTATCCGTTCATCCTTCGGTGTGAATGAGGCTTCACTGACTTGCAAGAATCTTCTTACATGTTTAATCTCATCTGTTTGTAACAAATATCTGTAAAGATGATCCAGACGGGACACAGTTGATCTGATTTGACTTTTATAGATGCATTAAGACATCCTGTGATCAGAATGGCCACTATTGAGCATGATCAGCTCCACCAGTGACTTGTCTATAAATACATCCCTGCCAAGCAGCAACCTGACGGCTAATAATCTCAACACTTGTCCTGGTCTGTGAATCCACCGTCACTAAATGCTACGTAAAGCTAGCAATAACAGAGCTGTGGGGGAGTTTTTACTTCTAAAATGCTAACTTTCAAGTACATTTCAAGTAAATAAGAACCCACCGACCCACAGAACCAGAATAAATGAATCTCTTATTAGATACTGCTGCAGCAGGTTAAATTCTCATTAGGTAAAATAGTTTAAATAAGCATTTTCTGCTCTTTGCAACATGGAGCAGAGAGCTAAAGAGAGTTTATCAACCAAATGATTGTTTTTTTTCTTTAAAGCAGCATGCCAGCCCCTCTAATTGTTCACACACACACACACACACACACACACACACACACACACACACACACACACACACACACACACACACACACACACACACACACACACACACACACACACACACACACACATCAACCCCTCCTTTCTTTCCTTATTTGTGTTTCCTTATTTGTGTCCGTGTGCGCGCATGGTCAACAGACTGTATCATGAGATGCTGCTGCCTGGGAAAAAGCTCCCACACCCTGAAAGCACTTTTCTGCATAAAACATGAACCATCTCCTGGTTTGGGTCCCACACTTGTAGTGGGATTTGTTTTTCCTAATGGTTTTTCAGATGTTGGCAGATAGAAATGCTGTCAGACGTCTGTGCAGACGCTCTGACCCAACAGTCTTTGCATAAGAGGAAGACATTCGGTGTCTTCATGCATCCTTCCTCTCCAGCCACAAGTTTATATAAACGTCTTCAAGACTTGTGGTTCCGCTAAGTGTTATCACTAGCATGTGATCTTCTGTTGAAGCCACACATTCATGCAACAGATCTTCACTGTCAGATTTGTAGTAATGTTTTAGTTTTGCTCTAAGGAGCAATCAAAAACGGCTGATTAATTTGGGTATTGCTGTGCCTGATCAATATAGGTTATCGTTGTCAAGTTCACATATTATTACCTCAAATGACTGATTTATTTTATTAATTTTATAAAATCGTGACTTACTAATTTAGATTTTAGCTCATTTATTTGAACATTTGATGGCTCTTGAATGAGCAGCTCCCTTCAAAGAGCCCATCACTAGCACATTAGTGCATTTTTGTTAAATATTTTTTAAATTAGTTGTTTAAAAACACACAAAAATTAGAAAACTTTTAAGTAACATGTTTCCTCTTATTAAGCTCATTCTGATTTATAAGCGTTAACGTTTTAAAAAGTCTCACCTTTATGTTTCAAATAGCTCTTATCTAAAAGCTTCAGTATCTGAAACGTTTAGGTGCCCAATCCTGGTCCTGGAGGGCTGGTATCCAGCAGGTTTTGTGGTTTTTCTGCACCACCACACTTGATTCAGTGGCTGAATTACCTGTGCTGAAGCTCATCAGGCTCTGCAGAAGCCTGTTAATCACCTGCTGATTGAAATCAGGTGTGTTGAAGCAGGGTTAAATTAAAACATGCTAGATACCGGCAGAAGAAGGATGGGTTACATGTATCCCATCAGCTTTTAAAGGACTCGTACAAATATCATAGGGTGGTGAAAGACTCTAAAAGTAATTACCTGTCTAACCTGGTGGCAACAAACAAGCATAATCCTCGAGTACTTTTTAAAACGGTTAACTCTGTTCTTCAACTTCCCCAGACTGATGATATAGAACCATCTATTGAACTATGCAATGACTTTCTGAATTATTTTGTCCAAAAGGTGGCTGATATTAGGACAGCTATCCCAGTGCCGAATTTGGATCTTCCAGAACCAGTGATTCCTATGGGGGCATTTGACAAGTTTACACCGCTTAGCTTGTCCTTATTGGAAAGGCTTGTCAATGACATGAAACCTTCTGGTTCTCCTTTGGATGCTGTTCCTCCTCACCTTTTACAGCAGGTTTTCCCTAGTATTGGGGTACTTATACTGGCTATTATTAATACTAGCCTGTCTGCTGGGGTGGTCCCTACGACTTTTAAGCATGCTGTTGTCCGACCCATGTTAAAGGGAAATAACTTGGATAAGTCGGTACTGGCCACCTACAGGCCGATTTCTAGGTTTGCCGTTCCTATCTAAAATTTTAGAAAAGATTGTTAACACACAATTAACTAGCTCTTTGGTGAGTAATAATATGCTTGAGGTATTTCAGTCCATTTTAAAAACTTACATAGTACAGAGTCTGCATTGTTAAGGGTTTCAAATGATATCCTCAGAGCAACAGATGAAGGGGCATACGTCATCCTCATCCTGTTGGACTTGTCCGCAGCATTTGACACCGTTGATCATGGCATTCTATTGAATAGACTTAAAGAGTCTGGTGTCTGTAGCACTGCTTTAAATTGGTTCTCATCCTACCTTTGATAGATCCATGTGTGTGAGCCTTGCAGGTTTTAGCTCTGCTTCGTCTTTATTGACATGGGGGTTCCCCAGGGTTCAATTCTTGGGCCCATCCTGTTTTCAATTTATCTTTGTTCTTTGGGTACCATGTTGCGTAAGCATGGAGTGGCTTTCCACTGCTACGCAGACGACACGCAAATATACTTACCTGTGAGAAAGGGTCAGTCAGTATCCACTCTCTTGACCTGCCTCCAAGACATCAAAAATTGGATGGCGCAGAGCTTTTTAAGCTTTAATGATAAGAAGATGGAGGTAATGGTTTTTGGCCCCATTAATAGTTGCTCACCTAGTGATACTGATTTAGGACCGATGGCATCACATGTGAAAAACTGCACTTCAATTCTGGGTTTTAAGATGGACAGCGATTATAAACTGGAACACCAAATTAGCTCTGTGGTGAAGTCTGGGTTTTTCCACCTGAGGCAGCTGGTGAAGGTGAGGTCTTTCCTGTCGAGGCAACACTTTGAAACAGTGATCCATGTTTTTATAACTTCTCGGCTGGATTACTGTAATTCGCTGTACTCTGGGGTGACCCAGTCTGCCCTCAAGCATCTCCAAATGGTGCAGAACGCTGCTGCCAGACTGCTGACCCGATCACGAAAGCGGGATCACATAACACTTATCTTGGCCTCCCTTCACTGGCTGCCAGTGACTTTCAGAGTGAAATTTAAGATTTTAATTTTTGTTTTTAAATCACTGAATGGTCTTGCCCCACCATATCTCTCTGAGCTTCTGTCCTTTTATAAACCGGCCTGGAACCTCAGGTCAGCGGACCAACAACTGTTAGAGGTTCTAACAGAGGTAGAGCATTCTAAATATGTGGACCTGCACTGTGGAACACCCTACCACTGAGTGTGCATCAGACAACTTTGCTGTCATCGTTTAAATCCGTCCTGAAAACACACTTTTATCGGCAAGCCTTTGACACGGTCTGAGACTCTGTCTTGTGTGGGTTATTTTTAGGGATGCACCGGTATCGGCGCCGATACCGATATTGGTATCGGTATCGGTAAAAGTTAACCGATACCAGGAACTGATACAAATGCAGTTGTTTGAAAATGGCTTCACTGTAACTTGTCATTTCTGTTCACCTAATATTTTAGTTTTCCTGTTGAAAGCAGAGAAGAAAATAAAATCTGTATTCCAAATCATAGCATTTTTTGTGTGGTAGAAGTATAGGTATCGGTAATCGGTATCGGCGAATATTCAGATCCAAGTATAGGTATCGTATCGGTTTGGAAAAAAGTGGTATTGTTGCATCCCTAGTTATTTTATTTTATTTAAATTTTTAATTCTGTTTTGATCTTTTCTGTCTTAAGGATTTTAAATGGTTTTATGTAAATATTATGGTCTGTGTTGTCAGTGCTTTGACTCCTCATCATATAAAATGTGCTTTACAAATAAAATTGATCTGATCTGATCTCCAGGACCAGGATTGAGCACCCCTGCACATTCTGGAACGTAAACCACTTTTACGATTATAACTGTGGACGCCCTTTTAAAGAGTGTTGGATTGGTGCCAAGACGCGCTTCTTTTTACACCAAACTGACCTCAAATAGCCTCGGTCAGTTTTTGTTGCTACCCAACAGGATGGGTGGATCTGCTTTTATCTGTGCTAGGTTTACTCAGCAGAAATGCTGCTCAGTGATTAGATGAGTGAAAAAGGCAGGAACAAACCTGCAGAGTCACAAATCATGAGACTCGTTTTGAACAAAGCGGGAGGACGTGTGGCGCTGCATGCTGCTCGGGGTGAGTGAACGACTCTTCGTGCTGGATCCTTTTGCTGCTAAGCCTGAGTAGGTGGAAGATGTGCGACTGGATGGAAGTAGGTTAGAAGTTTGTCTGAACGGGGGAAGCCTACCAAACTGGTCTGACTTAAACTTTTTCAGTTTGAGCCTGTTTCCTGCCTAGAGACGTCAGGATGGAGGTCAGTTCAGAGAATGGGGGTGGGGGTGGGGGGGTCACACAAATCTAAGAGCTCTTAAGCACAGTGTTATGTTCAGAAGATGTCTCCACTTCTGAACTTTAACGGATTCTTTTATTTAGAAGGTAACTTGTGAATTTGGACACAAAGAAGAATGAGTGAACTGATGTGGAATTTGGTGAAGTTTTAAACAGCTGTCCTGCTATCTGATCTGAGGGTATTCTCATTCAGAAAGCATCTAAATTGTTGTTACTGTTCTGCTTTGCCTCTTAGTGTGATTGAATGTGGTCATGGCCCACTGCACCAGTTTCCCGTATGAGCCGGTGGCAGAGATCGGCGGTGGCGCTTACGGGACAGTCTACAAGGCCCGGGACACGGAGAGCGGGAAGTTTGTTGCTCTGAAGAATGTGCGTGTCCAGACAGACCAGAACGGCCTCCCGGTCTCCACGGTCAGAGAGGTGGCGCTGTTGAAGCGTCTGGAGCAGTTCGACCACCCCAACGTGGTCCGGTAAGTGGGTCAAAGACCTGCTTCTGGGTCGTAACATCTACTCTGCAGCCTGACAGGAAACATGTCGTTCTGTTGTCTGAAACCAGGCTGATGGACGTCTGTGCCACCCCAAGGTCGGACCAGGAAACCAAAGTCACTCTAGTGTTTGAGCACGTGGACCAAGACCTGAAGACATATTTGGAGAAAGCTCCGGCTCCAGGACTATCTTCAGACCGCATCAAAGTAAGACCCAAGCAGTACGTTAATCGGTGGGCGCCAACCGAACACATCTGATTCTTTTATGGTGGCTTTTGCAGGATCTGATGAGGCAGCTTCTGTGTGGCCTTGCATTCCTTCACTCAAACCATGTGATGCACAGAGACCTGAAACCAGAGAATATCCTTGTGACCAGCCAGGGTCAGGTGAAGCTGGCTGACTTTGGCCTCGCTAAGATCTACAGCTGCCACATGGCCCTCACCCCCGTGGTGAGAAATGCGTTCGTTTGGGTTTCTCTCTCTGAACCTGTGTTTTTACAGCCAAGGTTGAAACTGAGGAAGACACTTTTCGAAGAACAAAACTGAATAAAGATGTGATTAGTGTTGGGCCAAAGCACACAAGACAACTGCCATGTGTCAACATAAATATTGTTGCATAACCAAAGTATGAGTAAAATAAGTTATCATTTATACATCATCAAGTGTGCAGCGGCTGGGATAAAGATCTTCACCTCCAGCTCTGTAGCCATAATTCTTATGTGGAGGGCCAACTCCAGGTCAAGGCAGAGGTCACGAGTGTAGGAAGGAGATCGAATGGTGGATCAGGGCAGCATCTGCAGTGATGTGGACGTTAAACCAGCCACTTGTGAAGAGGGAGCTAAGCCAGAAAGCAAAGCTCTAAACTAGGGGTGCACAATATATCGGTATCGGCCATTTTTTAACATATCTGTATCGGTCCGATAAATAAAACTAGGTCAATATTAACTGGTATTTTTTTCCATCTTGTTTCCATTTGTTTATCAGTTTCAGAGGGTGAGGGGGTGCTGTGTATTTTAGTCAAGTGACAGTGATTGCAATCATCTCAGTAGAGTAAGTTGTGTGTGTGTGTGTGTGTGTGTGTGTGTGTGTACATAATAATGTAAATTCAGCTTTAATAATATTCAGTCTTTACAAAATCTGCTGATTTTAGAAGCATTAATGTCAGTATATCGATATCGGCCCTAACAGTGATATTAATATCGGTATCGGCCCAAAAATGTCACATCAGTGCATCTCTACTCTCAGTTTACCTGCCGGTCTTGATCCCAGTCCTCACCTGTAGTCATGAGCTTTGGGTAATGACAGAAAAAACAAGATGGCGAATACAGGGCGTACACTGTGCGACTTTTTCGTTGGTTGTTCGTCATCTGACACTGTTCACAGGGCACAGCCACGAGTCATGTTCTCACGCTCTGACCGCTCGCACTGTTGTGGTAGTAACACGCCGGTCCAAAGAATGTGTTTTAAGAGTTTTTTTCTCAACGGGTCGAACCTGTGAATCCAGAAACCTGAAAGAGAGGAGACTGTTGTGCCGTCATTGATGTCTGTTGTCCTTGAGGCCTGCCGTAGTTGTGGGAGGACACGCAGGGGTTTATGGGGAATAGAAGTAGAGGAAGAATGAAAGGCATGTAGGAACTAAACCGAGGTTTTGGGATCTGCTTTTACTTGACATGAATACAAAAGGTGCTTTCTTAACGTTAACGTGTGCAGAGAAAACTAAGTAAAAGGTGGAAACGTGTGTGGAGATGAATATGGCTGGCCAGACATTTTGGCGCGTGCGCTGTGTGAGCGGTTCTGGTACATTTGGGTCGCGGTGCAGCTTCAGCGGTGTCATACCCTCACAAGGGATCAGCAGAAATTTAAATATGCTTGATTCTCGTGCGATTGGGAGCTGGTCGGGGGGTCTTAACCGCCTCTCGTAACCCCTTCTATACTACACGACACAAAACTCGACCTGACCTCAAAGACTGTTGCATGGGTGGAAAATTGGCTCAAAATGAGCAGAAAATCACACAGCAGGCCTGGCTTTACAGAGTTTTAGGGATTATAGATTATAACAAAAGTAGCAGCATGAAACAAAAGAACAATCAAATGTCTAGTATAACATCTATTCTGGTTTATGTAGGAAGGCTCATCAGGAAGGTGTTTAACACAGTGGGCTGTTTCTACTCAGGATCTATTTAGTTTTTCACTTTCAACCAACACATCCTGCTGAAATGTGCTCACTTCTGCATCTTTACGTTTCTGGCCTGCTAGCATCATTTTTTAGTGAATTTTAACCGGTTGCTTAGTAATACTGTCACAGAGCACTATCAACTACATCTTACATTGTTGTCAGTGAACGCTGCTTTTTCTCGTAAGGGTTTGATGAATGACTGTAAACAGCCACATCTGCAGCCCAGTGAGGCACCGGCGTGCTCTCCTCAGGAGGTCAGCGTTCAGATTCATCAGCTGACGTTTACCAGGCTCACATCGAAAGCAAAACTCTGCTTCATGCGTACACACCGTGTGTTTAGCTCGAGTATGTGTAGGTTGGCTTGGATGAAGCGAAGCTTGTGCTGTTACTAATGCCAGTCTTGCGTTTGGCTCTCTTGGAGGTGGTGACGCTGTGGTACCGACCTCCTGAAGTTCTGCTGCAGTCCACGTACGCCACTCCGGTGGATATATGGAGCACCGGCTGCATCTTTGCTGAGATGTTCAGACGCAAGTGAGTCAACATAACGTTCAGATCACCGGTATCTGATCTTCTGTCAACTCGGGTTTAGCGGTTTGCTACGACTGGGATGTTTCCAGCTGATAGATGAGCGGTCTGGAAATCCGATAGAATGATTATCTGTGAAACCCGTTGTTTTTAAAGACTTAGTTCTAGTTTATAACCCAACTTCTGATGATGATTTGCCTTTTAGACTAAATTTAGAATTTAAAAAAAAAGGGAAGGAAAAAAGCTCTGCATCCTCTTCCAAACAAGCCCGGAGATCAACGTTTTCTAGGATGTCAGCATTTGATTTCAGGCTGATGATTTTCAGGGACATAGTTTTACAGATTTTGACAGCTGGAGTTTAGTCTGGGAGCAGCCTGGGTGGACGTACCTAGAAGATATGAAGTTTATGTGTGATGTGTGCAGAGTGGCTCCATCTAGTGGTGGAAAACAGCATGACATCAGCAGCCAACAGGGTTGAAGAACTGTATTTGTTTTAGATGATTAAAATAAAAATTACGTAACTAATTTTACATGTATCGTTTTGTTTTTTAAGACCTTTATTCTGTGGAGAATCAGAAATGGACCAGCTTGGGAAAATATTTGAGTGAGTAACAAAGACTTAGCGGAACATCAGCAACCAGAACGACCAAGCAAATCATTCATTTCACTCATCTGCTTTCAGAGTTATCGGCTTGCCGCAGGAGGAGGAGTGGCCGACCGGCGTCACCGTGTCGAGGAAAAACTTTCCCGCTGTCAAAGCTCGCCCGATCACCGACTTTGTCCCAGAGATAAACGAGCAGGGGGCCAAACTGTTGATGGTAAGACTTGAGTTAACAACTGAAGGCCGATTCTTTTCTCACCTGCCAACGCCCCGGACCCCCGGGCTTTCCTGAACTAAAGCAGAATCGTACAGATGCATGACTTTTCAGCACATTATTAAAGAAATATGAAAATATAATGTAGAAAAGAAATCACACAGAAATATTTTCCTGCAGAAAGTGTCACAGCTAACCATGTGTGGGGGGAATGTTGTCAACCAAATGACTGTAAAAAAAAAAAATAAAATCTATTTTTTGCCTGTTCTCTTTCCTCCACAGCAAATGCTGACCTTTGACCCTTTGAAGCGAATATCAGCGCTGAACGCTCTAGAACATCTGTATTTCCAGGATGAGGAGACGTCGCCTCAGACAACCAGTTGAAATCATGCAGTAGAAAAAGAACCAACAGGATCCAGCGCCCTCTGAGTACAGATTATGTTTAGGGAATATTTCTTAGTTGATCCTGCTTCAGAAATCAGGATGAAACTCTGTGAGGATGAATTTGATGAGCACTGCCATGTTTTTGAGCTTGTACAAGTCACATGTAAAGATGTTATAGCAGCAGTTAAAGGGCAGCACTAGTGATTTTGATGTTTAGTCTTGGAGTCAACATGCAGAAATGTCTCGTTTAAATGCTGCTTTTGTTGCCGTACATTCTCCAGATAGGTTAGTGATGTTTGTCTTACACAGCTGTAACCCGTGTTGAAGCTGCTCGCTGTCTATAATGTGAGTGGCTGTATCTGAATCATGAACATTTTAAATAAAGTTTCAAACAGTTACAGATAAACGCACAAAAGCTTAAAAAATTGGAATTTCTTTTGAGTTATTGCACAAAAGTTTTTTGTGGAATGAATTTCACACCTTCAAATGTCACTAAACACCACACACTGAAATCTGAAATGAATAAAAGAAAGTATTCAATAATTCTGGGTCAGTTTGTTGTGTTTTACAGATGACTGTCTATAAAAATAAAACATCCTCTATCTGAACAGATGAAATATACTTTGTTCTCTAACCCATGTAAGTTTGTATTTGGAGCCACAATCAGAATTAAAGTGTAAAAACACTACAGGCAAATCCAACTTTGATGTAATGTCCTTAAAACAAGTCAAAATGAGGTTCAGTAGTGTGTGTGTGGCCTCCACGTGGTGAGGTGGTGGATGGTCTGAGGGATCTCCTCTCAGATCTGGACTAAAGCATCCTCCACTGCCTGGGCAGTCCGTGTATGATGATGTCCCACATGTGCTCAATTGGATTCAGGTTTGGCGAACAGGCAGGCCAGTCCATAGCATCATGCAGGAACTGCTGACACACTCCAGCCACATGAGGTCTAGCATTGTCTTATATTAGAAGGAACCCAGGGCCAGCCGCATCTGCATGTTATAGCATGTTGAGGGCCGTGCCACCCCCCACCATTGCTGCCAAATCGGTCCTGCTGGAAGATGTTGCAGGCAGCAGGAGCACGGTGTTGGGCTAAAACACAACCCCAGCTTGTGGATGTCAGGCCCTCATTCCACCCTCTTGGAGTCTGTTTCTGACCGTTTGAGCACACACACGTGGCAAGGTGGAGAATTGTGGGCTGGTTAGAGCTGTAGCAACTCTAACCAGTCAGCCAAAGGAACAACTCCTTGGTCAAGAAGCCAGGGCGCATGATCAATCGGGTCACAGTGACGGGACGCCCACACTGTCACACACATGCACATTGAGGCCTGCTGGAGGTCATGTTGCAGGGCTCTGGCAGTGCACAAAGGCAGCAGTAGCAGTCCTGTTGCTGGGTTGTTGCCCTCCTACAGCCTCCTCCATGTCTCCTGATGTTCTGGCCTGTCTCCTGATAGCGCATCCATGCTCTGGACACTACGCTGACAGACACAACGAACCTTCTCGCCACAGCTTACATTGATGTTTCGTCCTGGATGAGCTGCTGTACCTGAGCCACTTGTGTGGGCTGAAGACTCCATCTCATGCTATCACTAGAGCGAAAGCACCACCATCATTCAACAGTGGCCAAAACATCAGCCGGAAAGCAGGAACTGAGAAGTGGTCTGTGGTCTCCACTCACAGAACCACTCCTTTATTGGGGATGTCTTGCTAATTGCCTATAATTCCCACCTGTTGTCTTTTCCATTGACACAGTAGCATGTGAAACACAGTATTTCCACACAACCCAGTTCTATTGGACCACTTATTGATAACTTTTGAGTTCATCATAACCGAGTTCTCCTGACGGGAAATTAAATTTCACTATAGTCGATCTCTAAATGACAAAGCTGTAGCAACTATTCCGTCTGTCTTCAGCATCGCAGAGCAACTTAGCAGAGGGCATCACTTTCATTTCTAGCCCTTCACAAATTGATGGTCTAGTTCATAGTGTTACTGTACGTGTTGCGTTAGGTAACGTTGGAGGTAATTAAGCACGGGAAGTTGGCTCCCTGGTTTATTTCTGAACTGTGGACTTTAAAGCAGAACTCTAGGAAACTGGAGAGAACATGATGCTACACACACTGGGAGGAGTCCTACTTATCCTGGAAAAAATGTCTAGTTCTTTATAATAATAGGCGTTGACAAGCTAGAACCCCATGCTCTTTATTTCAAATTGAGGATAATATGAATAATCCTAAATTTATTTTCAGTACAGTTGCCAAACTTATACAGAATCATAGCTCTGAACCATCTATTCCCTTAGCCCTCAGCAGCAACAACTTTATTTCACAATTAAAATTGATTCTATTAGAAACAAAATCATTAGCATCCTTCCTAAGGCAATTTCCTCTCTCAAGTGAACTCAGCTTTTATGGACAGGATTTCTAGCAGCAGCCAAAGGTGTTGAGGAGATCCTTTTTGGTGGCCCGAGGATCGGGTCTCTGCTTTTTGCAGATGATGTGGTCCTGTTGGCTTCATCGGAATATGATCTTCGGCTTCGCAGCTGAGTGTGAAGCAGTTGGGATGAGAATCAGCTCATCTAAATCAGAGACCATGGTCAATATTCAGAAAAGGGTAGAATGCCTTCTCCAGGTCAGGTACGAGGTTCCCCCCCAAGTGGAGGAGTTGAAGTATCTCAGGGTCTTGTTCACGAGTGAGGGAAAGATGGAGCGTGAGATAGATAGGCGGATCGGTGTTGCATCTGCAGTGATGCGAGTGTTGTGCCAGAAGGCGAAGCTCTAGATTTACCGGTCGATCTACGTTCCTACCCTCACCTCTGGTCATGAGCTTTCGGTAGTGACCGAAAAAACGAGATTGTAGATACAAGCGGCCGAAATGAGTTTTCTCCGAAGAGCGGCTGGGCTCTCCCTTAGAGATAGGGCGAGAAGCTCGGTCATTCAGGAGGGGCTCGGAGTAGACCCGCTGCTCCTCCATATCGAGAGGATCCAGTTGAGATGGCTCGGGAATCTGGTCAGGATGCCTCCTGGACGCCTCCCTGGTGAGGTTTTCTGGGCACGTCCAACAGGGAGGAGACCTAACGGTAGACCCAGGACACGGTGGAGGGACAATGTCTCTCTCCTGCCCAGGGAACGCCTTGGGATTCCCCTGGAAGAGCTGGCCCAAGTGGCTGGGGAGAGGGAAGTCTGGGTCTCTCGCCTTAGGCTGCTGCCCCCGTGACCCAACTCCGGATAAGCGGAAGAAAATGGATTGATTAATTTACAAATGAGTTTAGATAAAGCTGATCTGGTGACATGTCCAAATTCATTTGAATCAAAATTTTTAAAAAATAGTGAATAAAATGTAATTATTTATCCATTGAAAACACATTCTTGACAGCTATGTTTTTCTAAGAGTTAATATTTTTTGGTTGAAACTGTTTATTTAATGAGTTGATGCACTTTCTCTTCCTTAGTTAATCCTCACCTCCTCTTTACATGCTTTTGTATCCCTAATCCTCGTTAGTATATGCTCTGTTCCCTTCGATTCTCTATTTAAGGTCCTTATTCTGAAAGAACATGTAGAACATAACATTGGGGGTGCAGGAGGTACCTTCAAAGGAGACAAGAGAGAGAGAGAGAGAGAGAGAGAGAGAGAGAGAGAGAGAGAGAGAGAGAGAGAGGGAGAACAGATGCTCTGGCAGGAACAGAGCTCAGGGTTTCTCTCTCTCTCTCTCTCTCCCTCCCTCCTCCCTCCTGCTTCGTTTGTTGTGTCGGCTCAGATAAGAATCTGACAAACGTGGGCAGGGACCACCACCATTGCCACCTCACGGTGAGCCCCTGGCTCCTGGTCTGACTGCTGGAGCTGCATCCTGTGCAGAGCTGGTTGTGCAGCAGTGTAACGGTGGGATAGAGGAGAGCTGCAAGGCTCAGAGACAGCGAGAAGAAGAGGAGGGGGAAAAAGGAGGAGGGGCAGGCTTTGGTGAGCTACTGGGCTTCCTCTGCCTCACAGACAAATTTTATTGACTTGCTAATTGGATGAGGCTATCGGAGGAGAGGATGCAGTGACCGAGAGGAGCTGCTCTCCAGAGGAGGGACACAGGCATCGCTCAGATCCTTAAATCTGGGTACTTGATCTTCTTTTCTCGTTTTTTCTTCTGCAGACAGAACAACAGATGTTTTTGAGCATCTCTCAGTGACCCTCTCGCCGTGCGCACAATTTTGTGCATGACATTGTCGAATGGAGGCTCCACTTGCCAGACGCTTCGTGACAATTGAATGAATCCCATTTTTGTTCCATTCCCTTTCCTCCTTTTCTGTTGAAATCAGAGCCTCATCAGCTGGAGCTATTTTTGTCATCCGTCTTTGATGTGAATGGCAGCCTGAGGGAAGGATAGATTCTTCATCAGATCAAACAGTCGAGGAGCTGTGAATGGATATTCTGCTGGGGACAAAAAAAATGAAGGTATGGTATGAGCGAAAGCCCAGACACATCCTGCCTTAAAGTGGCAAAATTCAACCTGCATGAATACAAATGGAGTCTGGAAATGGACCAGCCGAAGGTACAGACTGTTGCATAATTCCTGGCTGAAATCTGAGTCACAGACACCTACTCTGAGTAAAACAAAATGTCTTTTCTATCAGTCTGCACGGTAGATTTCTGCAGAATTAAAGATGGAAAGCTCATGAATGAATCAGAGGTGGAGAGCAGTAGTAGCAGCGTGCACCGAGGAGGATTAATGAAGGCATCTTAAAAAACAGTCTAGACTTATTTGAGCACCGGGTCTGCTCTCTGAATATATTCTGGAAATTTGCAATTCAGTGTTGCCTCGTTTTCCCTCCAGTTCATGCAGCCTGATATCCCAGAATCAGTGTGATGGAGCATGTTTGATCCTGATGTCAGGTTCTGTTTTTCCTCCACTCCAGCCTTGTTGCCATGACTGAGGTGTGCAGATCCTGTGAGGTCAGAGAGCAGGTGCCACCACTCCGAGGTCTGCTGTCCCAATGAGCACGGCAGGCAACACGCAGAGACGCACCACCTACCTCATCTCCCTCACTCTGGTGAAGGTTGAGGCAGTGCCAGAGGATGTTGCAGGGAACCAGACGGAGGGCCTTCCAGAGGGGGAAGGGAGCCCTACGAAAGAAGAGGAGGAGAGGAGGAAGGATGTGAGCATTGTCCATGAAAAGAAGGAAGAGCCTGTGTGTGTGGAGGTGGGAGAAAAAGAAAACACACAGGTGGATGAGGAAGTGGAACAGGTGCATCTCCAGTATGGAAGCCCTGCTCAGAGGAAGGAGGTGGTCCAAAGGGACGCTGGACAGGTTGGCAGGAGCAAAGACACATCTTTTGTCCATCCGCCTGTCAGGCAAATGGTCAAAGTGTACGGAGGAACATCATCTGAGGGACCCGTGCGTAGAGAGGGCCCCCGCTCAGAGGCCTTACGCCCTAAGACGGAGCGGTTCCGGGAGCCTCCCAACATGTTCCTGAAGGGTGAAAATGGAGCAGAGCTCAACAGTTGCTCACGCTCCAGCCTCCCCTTCTCCACCCCGCAGCAGCCTCCTCCTGTTGTGATGAGGCCACATGCAGGAGGGAACGCCACATGTTGGCGGGAGCTCAGAGAGACCAACACAGGCTTGTATCACTTTGCTAAGACTTTGGATCGAAGGGACAACCAGCCTCCGTTAATGGCAGCTACGTCTCTGGGGCCTTACAGGGCATCCTGGGCCGACAGCGACGGCAGAGGAACGCTCATCCGGCCTGGCGCGCCCATCAGTGGAGGCTTTTCTGGCGTGAAGACCCGAGACAGCCCTCAAGGGGAGAGATATAAGGCGGTTTCTGTGTCTTTACCTGCACCTCCTGCCTCCGATGTAACCAGGCCTCCGAGGAAAGGTACAAGTTGTACCCTTGACAACAGTGACTTGCACTCTTTCTCTGAGGACCTGAAGAAGGGGAAAGAGGGTCAGGGAGGATCCATCCAGCGAGCTCCTCCTCGTGATCGCAAGATGCTCAAGTTCATCAGCGGGATTTTTACCAAAAGTACAGCCGGCTCACCGAGCAGCAGCTCCGCACCTCCATTCTATCCTGCTATGGAGAGGGGCTCGAGTGAGGAGGAAGGTAAGAACATCTCACGCATGCATATCAGGAGCGCTACTGGCGCGTCCTCCTAAAGAGCTGCAGACGTCATCACACTTCCTCCACAGGAGCCATGTGTGAACCCCCTCTGTCACACATGCATGTGGTATGAAAATATATGATCACGTGTGAGGGTCTGGCTCCATAAAAGCTGTTTTTGTGTTTGTTAGAATTTTATTTTCTGCTTCTGGGGTTTAGTCAACTCAAACCTATTAATGTGCTGAAGAGTCTCGTGAGTCATGAGTTTGTTTTATGACCGGGGAGATCCGTATTTCTAAAGCAAATTTATATTTATTGTTGCAAAATGAAAAGAAGCATCATCAGAGCTTATTGTTTAGAGAACACTGTGATAATTCTATAGATAAGTATAAAACTCTGTAACCTTCACTTTCTCCACCCTGATCTCTATTTTTTCACTTCTTCGTCAGATTAAACAAACTCTTGACGTAAATCTAATCAGAGATGCTCGTCTTTAAGGTTCGTTAACAATAACGAAGCTGAACTATTTGCTCATGACAGGAAAACGGATCAATGATAAGAACTTATTTATTTGCTTCTCGTTTTCAGCTATTTTTTTGTGCAAATATCAAACACTGTCGAGTTTAAGGAGCTTATTTGTGTTGATTTGCCCTTCATGTTGTTGCTCTGTAATGTTAATTTACAAATTTCCCACATGCTAATTGCTTCGGAAAGTAAGAGAAGATGGATGACGCTGAATCAGAGATCCAGGTCTAGAGATATTTAAAAATAAAAGCAGTCAGATATGAACGTACTTGAAACAGGGAATGCAACGTCATTCCATTTGAATTCCAAAAACAACGATAATAAAGTTAATAGTTTTACTCCTAGATGATCTTTTGACACGGCGTAAGATTTGGGGGAGCTCTGAATGATTTGTCAGGAGAAAGTGGGACGTGAATAATTAAGGTTGGGGATACACAGAGCTGTGTTCATGGCAGGGCGAGGGGAGCGGGAACCTGCCACTTCCTGCTCTGTGCGTGGAGTTAATCACTCTCCCAATGGGCTCTATTCATTTGTCAGAATCACATTGTGTTTAAGGGTTTAAGCGTGTTTCTGGGAGCAGCAGCTCGGCCAGATCCGCGCTACGCCGAAGCCGTGCTCATACGGTAAAATTCAGGCGACGGTTATCAAGCATCAGGTTTGTGTCTCAGAAAGTGGGTCAGCTCTGAGACAGAGAAAAGAAAATGTGTCAAAGCGTGATGTGTGCACAGGTGGACGTCGTGTCTCAGCGCCTCCCTCACACATCGCTGTATCCATGAGAGACCGTTTCATTGTATAGAGACCCAGGCTGGAGACTTCTGGAAAATGAAGTTGCCATGGCAACAGCAAGCTGTGAGAGATGCTGCTTGGTCTTCAGCATGACGACAGAGGGGATCTGGGTGTGGGGATTGCCCGAAGATGGGGATTAAGGGGGTGAAGATGGTGTTGGTGTGAGGGGCGATGGTGGTGGGGATGTTAAAGGAAGAACCTGCATCCCTCGCCACTGAAGCTCCGCCAAAAACAACATGACCCAACAGTGACTACGCACACTGGGTCTGTCAATTTGTGTATGTGTGTGTGTGTGTTACATACTTGTTTTAATAAATCTGAATTCACCAACGGCAACCATGAAGTGTTCCTGACTTCTGAGGTTTTAAGGAAGGAAAAACATGGAAGAACAGAACACATCCAGAAGAATCTGGACAAAATCCACGTGTGGATAAAAGAAAGAAGTAAAAATCAATGATTAGAATCTGAAAAGCTGTTTTTAGTTTGTAATTCAGTGGATAAATCTGTCTTGCTTCACATTTTCAGCAGAGATTATTCTTTGTAACAGCCTGGCCGCAGATTTCATTTTCTTGAAGTAAAAAGTTAGAGCTGAAGATGAAAGTGAGTCATGATTAAAAATTTAAAGACTTCAGAAAAGAAACATGTCCAGTCCTTGACATTTAAATTTAAAAGTGAGGAAGAGGGTAATAGAAAACAAGGACAATGGTGGGTTAAAAAGGTGCTGTAGCTCTTTCACAGCGACTAATCAAAGATTTTTTGCAACAGAAAAAATCAAATAAAAGTATCTTATTTATGTTATCTAATTTAAATCTGTCAGTGAAAAACACAGAAAATCATCTTCCTCCAAATGTTAACTCTAGATGATGCAACTGGGTTGTCATAGTTGCAGCTGACCAGCTTAATTTAATCTGTGTTTATTTTCTCACTATTTATGTTTGCTTTGATGTCAAACGGCGTTTTTATCATTAACGCTCATGCATCCTCGAGCCAACTCAGGCTAAAGGAGAATTTTATTTAATTAGCAGAAACTCTCCACACACACACACACACACACACACACACACACACACACACACACACACACACACACACACACACACACACACACACACACACACACACACACACACACACACACACACACACACACACACACACACACACACACACACACACACACACACACACACACATGTTTCTCCAAACACATTTTAGGGTATTTAAATCTCACTGGATCAGTGGTTTAAGATGAACTTTTAGTTTACTCGAAAATTAAAGCTCATCATAACATCTTTGTTAATGCAAATGATGCTTTTGCATGTCCTCTAACAGATGCACACCAATTCGTTTGCTTCGTTGACTCTTCTGTTGGCTCTCGGTGCAGGAAGCTGCAGCCTCTCGGAGACCTTCAGGGCAGATTTGGACACCCCCCTCCTCATTCTGCTGAGTCCACAAGCAAACAGAGAGTCAGCAAATATCTCTGCTAAACATTTGGGACATTCTTCGTGCTTGGCACGATTCACACGAGCACTTTGGGTGTTTCGGTCCACTTTATCACAAATGGGAAGTTTATGACTAAGAGGAAATGCAACGTGTTTAATTCCTGTCGGTTTTTAATGAACAACTTTGGGACAATTTTGGCTTTCCGTAGTGGGGACTCACTTCGGCTCATATGATGACAGGAAGCAGTCTTTTGGTTTATTTGCATGTTTCCATTCTCATAAATAGATTGTCTTTTGAGTGCCTCCAGGAAATCTGATGACCTTGAAACAAATATCCACATGGGCTCAAGGGTGAACTCAGGATTTTAAAGTCAAAAGTCAAATTCAGAGTTACTTCTGATCCATCCAGCTGCTTTTAAAGTAAAAAACAGGAATGACGGAAGTAAATTTCCACCCTTTTGTTGATTTTGTAATATAGGTTAAATCATAAAACAAATTATTTATCTGCATGTATAGAATAAACCTAAGCTTGGCTAGACTAGAAGAAAAAAGATAACAACACTTTTTTATGCTGAACCAGAACCTCCACATTTTTTAAATTTGTTCTTTATTTCTTATAAAGACAGAGCTACAAATGCAGAACTTCCATAGTCCTTTATTCTAAACGATGCCCATGTTTGTCTCCAGTTGCATGCACCAGCAATCCAGAATGGACCATGAGTCAAACTGTGCAGGAACTTCATCTGGTGAGTAGGTGTGCAAAACAACAATAATAACGAATGTTTGTGCTGGATTTTAGAGTGATGCTCTCTCTCTCTCTCTCTCTCTCTCTATCTCTCTCTCTCTCTCTCTCTCTCTCTCTCTCTCTCTCTCTCTCTCTCTCTCTCTCTCTCTCTCTCTCTCACTCTCTCACTCCAGGGTGTTTTGGGAGGTCTGTGCAGTGGGAAGTCTGCGCTTGTCCACAGGCACCTAACAGGAAGTTATCTTCCAGCGGAGAACGCAGAAGGTTGGTTTTACATCTTCTGTTTGTTTCATTCATCTTTTTAGCTGTTACAATTTAAAAAGAGTTGCTTAGTAAGTCTTTTTGTCCAAACAGGACGGCAGTACATCAAGGATGTGTTGGTGGACGGACAGAGCCACCTGCTGATAATCAGAGAGGAGACTGAACTCCCAGCGGCTATGGTTGGTTGGCAGTTCAACACAGACTGGTTTAATCAGAGAGGCTCATTTGCTTTGTGTTTAAATTGCATTTTTATTTTGTTTAGTTTGCAAGCTGGGTAGATGCTGTCATCCTGGTTTTTAGTTTGGAAAATGAGTCCAGCTTCCAGGAAGTTTACAAATTCTACCACCAGCTGGCTATGCACCGGCCCATCATTGAGATTCCGTTCGTCGTCGTTGGCACTCAAGGTTGGACTCATACCTAACAAGCTCCTTTGTCCAGATATTTGCAGATGTGACTTCCTGTTTTTAAAAACCTTTTTCTCTTTGTAGATAAGATCAGCAGCACCAACCCCAGGGTGATAGATGACGCCAAGGCCAGGCAGCTCTGCTCAGACGTGCGCCGTTGCACTTACTACGAAACCTGCGCCACATACGGCCTCAATGTCAACAGAGTCTTCAATGATGGTGTGTGTTCCTGTCAAAGAAAAAAGACAAGCTGAAGAGATGCTTGACTTGGATTGGTCTTTGTTTTCAAAGAGTATATTTTTTCTTCATCAGCTGCTCAGAAGATCATGGCAGCCAAGAAGCAGGCTGCTTTACTGGCCTCCTGTAAATCTCTTCCCAACTCTCCCAGTCACTCTGGAGGCTCCACTCCAGTGTCTGGGGTCTTTCCTGGCCAGGTATGACTTACATACCTTCCTGTTTTTGAATATTTGTTACTTGATGTTGCCTGCATGTCTGACGTTTCCCTCTCCTCTCTGCAGGCCAGTAACGGAGGTCAGAGCAGCGATTACTCCTCGTCACTTCCCTCCACGCCTGTGATCAGTCATAAAGAGATCAGCAGAACTTTGAGAGGAGAAAAACCCGATGGTGGTGGGCCTGGGTCTGTGCGAGGAGTCCGAAGGCGCACCCCCAGGTTTGCTGTAAGTGATTTCCTTAAAGGCGTTCTTGAATCCAAACTTATCCTGTTCTTGTTGATTACGGACAGTGTTGGGAAAGTTCTTTTAAAAAAACGAACTAGTTTGTTTCTTAGTTCATAATTTAAAAATGTTTGAATAGTTGGCACCCATTCAGTCCACACTCATGCCCAGCTGCAGTTTTTACCCTACAGTATATTCTCAATAACGAGGGGGAAACATTTTTTGGGAAATAATTACGCAATCTTAGGAAGCAGGCTGAGGTAGCAAACTCAAAGTGCAATAAAAAGTGCAAAACATAAATAATGTATAAACTTTCATTTAAGTCCCTTTTCAGTTTTTCTGAATGAACTTTGACTCCTGCACACAGCATAGACGTAGAAGAGTAGACGCCGCACCAACTGCTACTGCCTATGTTTGGCCGCATTTGCGGGTTCTACTTTTTATAAACTCTATGGTTAACAGGATATCTTAGCTAGGCTTTAGCACCGGAAAAGCTCCGTGGAGATTTGGAGCTAGAATGGCGACAGAACGCGTTCATGAACCCGCTCACGCACGCCAGGACAAACGCACTCACTTTTACGTTTGTCAGGCAAAATACGAACGAGTTCAGTTCACATTCACGAAAAAAAGGAACAAATTCACGAACGATCATTCAATGAACTCATTCGGGCACAACACTGATTATAGGTGGCTTGGGGTATGTAGCATATCAAACGGTTAGTTCTGAGAAAAACTGTTTCAACACATCAAAACCCAAGACACACCTCCTTACATTTGCATGTCCCAGCTCACTTCAGTGTTGGCATTGTTTAACATTGATAGCAGTAATGCTAACTGCAGAACAATGCTAGCTGCTAACTCTAGCCTACGCTGCTAACAGTGGATGAGAGGAATACAATAAAGAAGAATGTGCCATGATATTTTGGGAATATCCAGATTATGAATGAATGCCAGGCAAATCCACAGCTTCTGGTCCGTGTCCTCCTCCTAATCTGTCTGCATCAGAAGACAAAGTCAGTCATGGCCTGGCCAAGTGGGCGAGGAAAGCCAGAGTTTTCATTATAGGGCTTCATTAAGGGTTTTGTTGGCCATTTATCAGGGCTCCAGGGTCATTGTGAGCCCCAACAAAGTTTCATATGCTTCACAGAGGCTCAAAGAAAAGTTTCTAAAAAAAAAAAAAACTCATTCTAGGACACCTTTAAATTCTTCCTCTTTTTTCACGTTTAGTCTCATGAGCTCCTATGCTTTTAGATTTTGTTATCAGTAGAGGAACATCTTTGTGGTTCAATTCAACAGCTTTGACTATCTTTGTAATCACAAAACTCAAACCATCTTTAAAAACATATTAAACACGTACAAACACACCATGATCCAAATATCCAGATGGGGTTGTCATGAAGCCAAATGAGGGCTCCAGGTAAACCAAATCTGTGAGGGCAAAGAGAATGTTATACTACCTAAAACCCAGGAAGCTATAGCATTTGCACTAAACCCAGACACTTCTAGTTGGTGCTTTAACTGATTTCTGCTGTAACAACGTTTGTTCTCCTCTTGTAACAACTCCAGTCTTGAAAACAGTTCATGCAAACACTATTTTATAAACTTCTACAGCACCTCCAGTGCAGCATCACACAGGTTTCCCAGAATCATTTGCAGCATGAATACCAGCAGCTGTCTACATTTCTGGACTTCCTGCAGGATTAATAATAAGGCTAGCAGATCAGGTAAATGGTGTGCAAGTTCATACAATCATGTTTACATGAATTGTTGTGATATTTATAACATAGATACTTTTTAAAAGAGCAGCAATCCTCTTTGTGACCCGGCTCTGGCTCACAGGCTAACAGAATGAAACCGTTCCTCCAACATTGAAGCAATCTTGAACCTAGTATTTTATAGATAAATGCACAGAATGTACTATTAACTACAAAATTGTTATTATTAAATTCTCGTTTTTATAGTCCAACATAATGTGTGGGTGGGTTTAGCATGATGTAATCAAGTTCCTTCTGATTTGTGGCGTTTCTTTGCCTTTTTATAACTTTTCCAGACTAAAAGCTTTTCAATGTGATCTAATCTGCAGAGACAAAGTCTTTTATCTATTTACATCGATGCCTATCATAAAGGAGAGGAAAGCAAATGTAGACATTTGCTCACTACAGAGACTCAAATCTGTTTTTGTTGTGCTGGTTTAGCAACTGAAAGATGCTGCAGTTGCTACCTTTGGAAGTTGCCTGTCGTCATCAGCTGTGGACAAAAATGCAGAAATGTGAAAAAGGTCAAATAAAACAAGACTGAAGCAAAAATGACACGCAGATCTACAGATTTTACACACAAAAGAAGACAACAAACACAAAAACCATGTGTGATGACGAGATGAAATAAGATCAAGTGTGAAAGATGAGTAGCAGGAAAGGGCCTTTTCAAAATCAAACAGGAAGTGAAGGTGAAAAAAATTACCAACAAACATGGAATCTAAACTTAAACCTATGATTAATTAATTAATAATTAATAGGAAATATATTCAAAGGCTGACTGATTGTAACTAAGTGCTTGAATCTGATGCTCTGACGTCTTTAGGGTCGGAGAGGCAGCGACTCAAACAGACGGAGTGCCGACTGTAAGGGAGACTTTGGCAGCGGACGCTTCATCCCTGTCAAACAGGTAAGGACACGGATCTGTACTGGATGCAGGAACAGATATGATGTATCTGATGACCCTCGGCCGAGGACGTCACACCAGCAGCCACTTCACAAATGTGGAGCCACTTTCATCATGTTGAGTGATGAAGTGCTGCCTTCCTCCTCACTGGCCTGATGAAGGGCTGGTGGGTGTTTTTGGCAGCTGGCGCTCTTTACGCCACCACAACGTGTGAAATTAACACATGAGACGTTCACAGCCAACACTCATTTTTCTGTATTTTGTTTTAACAAACGTTTATTTACCATTAGGGCATCTTGCTGAAGCGCAGTGGGAACTCGCTCAACAAAGAGTGGAAAAAGAAATATGTCACTCTGTCCAACGATGGCATACTGTCCTACCACTCCAGTGTTAACGTGAGTCGGCGCGTTGACGCCAGGCCGCCGCACAATCTGCCGCTTCAGGCGCCACTGGTGTTTGATCAGTGATGGTGCTTTGGTGTTTGCTTTTGGCAGGACTACATGCTGAACGCCCCAGGGAAAGAGATGGACCTGCTGAGAGTCACGGTGAAGGTGCCGGGAAAGCGACCCCCCCGTGCTGTGCCCACAAGCGGCCCCCCAGCTGGACTTAACGGACGGGTCAAAGATGCTCTGGGACCTGAGGGTAAAGACTCTAAATTTGTCTTCATCCTGTGGGATGTTTTTTCTGTTTGGTTTGTTTTTTAGCTGCATCATAAAATACCATCACAACAAATAAATGTTTTATTCACAAAATGACTGATTCAAGTCAAGTTCTGCCTTTCATTCAACAATCTGTCGAGGAGACTTGACCCTCTGCCCGAGGGAAGGAGGCATTTGATGAAAGACCAAAATGCATTTCAGTTCACACCAAACAGATTCCTTTTGCATGACTGACGGATTTAAAGATTGTTTCAGAATTTTTGACTCCATGTTCCTGAAAAAGTTCCACACCTATTAACAGTTAAAGGTGTGCGGACATTTCTACCAACTCTGTTTTGACATTAGCTGAATTTAATGTCAGATGAATCATTTTTGAACATCTTTCCCCTTGTTATTAACCGTTTAGCAAAAGTCTGAAAAACCTGTGTGCTCCATGATCCATCAGCTTGTAGAAGCACCTTTAGCTGCAGTAACTTATATGAGTTGTGTCTCACTACACTCTCACTCATGACTTTACTTCAGGTCATTAAGGTTTGTGGGTATTTTTTTCTGCACAGCTCTCTTAAAGTCATGCATCAGGTGAGCAGAGGCCTGGACTTTTATTGATTTTTCTCCTTTTTCTGCCATTCTGTTGTTCTGCTTTATGACCCAGTTTGGTCCGAGCTTTAGCTGTCAGGCAGACACGTTTGACTCATAAACACGTTGGTGTGCAGAGGAGTTCATGTTTGGATCAGAAACGGCAGATCCTCAGGCAAACCATCGCTCTTCCACCACCATGCTTACAGCTGGTGCTTTTATTTTGATGCTGGTGTGCATTCTGGACCTTTGACGGTTGTTTCAAAAGTTGTGTGTATTTGTTCAACCTTAGAAAAAAAGTTTAAACAGATGTTTACATCAATGTTGTGAATTATGGAGATGACGGGTTTTTCAGTCGTGGTGTTGGCGCTTTAGCAGACCTCCTAACTGAATCCTTCTCATACTACATCAACTCTTCTTACTTCAAATTTTAGCTCAGGCCAAATCTGCAATGAGGAAATACATTTAACTCTACTGGAACTAAATCATTTGGATTGTGTTGACAACAAAGTGTTAAAAATAACTGTCTCTCCCTATAAGAGATTTTACTGGTAAAAAATAGCACATGACATAACTGATATTTAAAAAAGATAAAAAGAAAGCTGGTATGTGTGTGTGTGTGTGTGTGTGTGTGTGTGTGTGTGTGTGTGTGTGTGTGTGTGTGTGTGTTTGCTATTAACACAAAAGGGGTAAAGAGGCCAAAGTGACCACATCTGAAGAAATGTAGATTGTGAGCAGATTTTTTGTCACACCAAGTTAAGCAAAGACAGAAGAAGAAAATATGAGTATTGTTGGAGAAAGTGCAGAGAACCTCTAGCCTGGCAAGCCAGACTAAATAAATGTATTATTTATATAATATATTTATATTATATAATATATTCTTTGCAAAGCAAGAATTTGGTCTAGTTCACTAGGCTAGAGAACCTCTGCTCATGGTGGGATTTTCCATTTTCCAGCTTTCTAACTAAAGAGTACATACAGGTGAAACATTAGAATCTGGTGCAAAAGTTCTTTTTTTCCCAGTGTTTCAGCCTAAAAGGTCGAACTGATACACAAAACAGACTCAGTACATGCAAAGGAAAAAAATTTCAAGCATTTATTTAGTATAATTTTGATGTTTAGAGCTTAACAGCAGGGAACCTCAAATGGTGGCCCACGCCAGACCTTTCCACCCACATGGGCCCTAAAGTCCCCCAGTTGAAGTTTAGCAGCAAAATTTATGTCCTAAATATGAATAATTGTTTATGTTTTCCAAACAAAACAAAAACTAGAATCACAACAGTTTAGATGGAAAACAAAGTGGTTTTAAATTGTAATTAATTAAGACACAACAGTACTTGAACTTTGTTTTAGATGAGCATCTGACCCTCATGGTGTCTGCTGGAAAAAACTCCAGCCCTTGAACACATTTAGCTGAAGACCCCCTGGCGTACAGCTTGTGTAAACTAGTCAGCTAATGAATCCTAAACACCTGCAAAGGGTTCCAGAGCCTTTAGATGGTCTCTCAGTCTAAGTTGGATTATTGCAATAAATGGAATTAATTATTTTGGTGCTCAGAATGAATACATTTGTTACACTTTTTTTTTGGGGGGGGGGGGATTTCCTGTATTAGATTCAAATGAGTGTTATCATTCAAAATACATATAAAACACAGACATTGGCAAACAAAACACCATGACCTGCCTCACACATGAAAATCTGGGTGAGTGTGTTTTATATGCGGCTGCTGTTATCTCTGCAGTCCCAGTCAGTGCCAGTAGCCTCCTACATGTGGAGGAGATGGAGGAACTGGGAGGTGCGTTGTTCCTCAAGAGTAATGCAGGAGTGCAGCGTTGTCCGTCAACACTCTCTAACCACGGTCAAGGCATCGGTAAGCATGCCAGAGGACTGTTGGGTCAAACTTGGTGTTGGTGGATGAAGAGCCATTGATGCTTGTTGATTTCCTGTGCTTTAGATTCTGCTGTTGAAGGCGTCTCCAGCTCTTCCTCCACTAAAGATGTGGGCTCTGCCTCCCCCCTGACAGACAGGAAGAAGCATCGCAGGAAGAAGAGCACCAATGGGAAAGGAGATGCCACCTTGGGTCAAGCAGATGGTACAGGAAAAAAATTCTATTGCACTTTTTAACCCTCTGGAGGCAGGCGTTGCAGATTTGCAACGTTCAAACCTACCTACCTGGTTACTCCACATACATATTTCATGAGCATTTTTTAAATCAGAAGTACCCCTGAAGGACTTAGTTGTTCGTCCTTTTATCAAAATTTATTTTGAGCCTGAGAGGGTTAAATAAAGACAGTAGCTACACTCCCACTTCAGACTTTTTAAGAGACACAATAATCGATAATGTAATTATATATTTATACATTCCATATGCAAAATTTATTATGTGACATATTTCTAATAGTTTACTTGTTTGTTTTTCTCTTGCAGCCAAACGCAAAATGTGGAAACTCAAAAGTTTTGGTAGCTTAAGAAACGTAAGCAAGACAGGTAATACCCTCTAGCGTTTTATTTTGTTTCATGAACAACTCCTGTAGTGCAACGTGATTTTTAGGGAATAAAAATAAGGATTAAATGTGAAAAAAATAACAATTAAATAATATAAAAGTTTAAAAAAATCTTTATTTCATATAAAAATTTATAAAAATAAGTAAAGGACATTATATTTTAACAAACACATTTTTAAAACATTATTTTACATTTTGGTTTAAATGCAGAGAAAGTGTCAGAGATGTAAAAGCCCCTAAAGTTCTGCTAGTGGTACAAAAATAAACAAATGTTTATAAAATAATTTTTAAGGTAATTTTATGACGCCAGCCTGTCATGCCTTCTAAACAAACTTCCTTAACCCGCTATTTTGTCTAGATTATACGTGTGACATCTAAAATATGTAATTATATTAGCTCATAAATGTAGACTTTGGTTGTGACTGATTATGCTGGTAAACTTAAATGAGGCTTTGAGTTGATTAAAACCTAATTAGTGATGGTTAATGAGCCCTACATGATGCTTTGTGCCTGTTTCAGATGAGGAGAACTTTGACTTCCTGGTGGTGTCCAGCACCGGTCAGACGTGGCACTTTGAGGCTCAGAGCGTGGAGGAGAGGGACTCCTGGGTCCAGGCCATCGAGAGCCAGATCCTGGCCAGCCTGCAGCTGTGTGAGAGCAGCAAGAACAAAGTAGAGACACACACATCTCTGCACAAAACACAGCAGCTCACACAGATCAGAGTTATTTAAAATCACATTTCTTGGATGTTTGTCCTGCAGGATCGTAAGAACAGCCAGAGCGAAGCCGTGGCGCTGCAGGCCATCCGTAACGCAAAGGGAAACAACTTCTGTGTCGACTGCGACGCTCCGAGTCAGTGACGCTTCAGTCCTCTGTGTGTTCGTACGGTCGATGTTTCTGTCCAGCTGTGATGATAAATAGATGTGTCTGTGCCATCCAGCTGCTAAATGAAGCAAACAACTCCATCAAATCTTCTCGGTGTTTTGCAGTGTTGCACTTTTCCTTTTGGTCTTAGAGCAAATGCTGTGATGAGACACCTTTACACTTTATTAAATGTGCTCAGTCGCTGTAAAAAAACAGATGATTTTTCTGTCTTATCTTAGGCCAAGGCTTTGCAACCTGTGGTTCTAGGGCCACATGCAGATCCTTGGTGGTGCTGCAGTGGCTTTTTGTAGCTAAAACCCTAAAATAATTACATCTTTGCTGGTTATAGCTAATTTTCTACCCATTTTCACACAAAGATGTGATTTAAATATGACCAAGTGACATGTTTCACTTCTTCATATTACTATTATGGTTTTCCTGAAATATACCACAATATTTAATACTTTTACCATATTCTTATGTTTTATATGTTTTTGTGCTCCGTCCCAAACAAAGATCCGACGTGGGCCAGTCTGAACCTGGGTGCGCTCATTTGCATCGAGTGTTCTGGGATCCACAGGAACCTGGGGACCCACCTATCCCGGGTTCGCTCTCTGGCCCTTGACGACCTGCCGAGGGAGCTCACTCTGGTTCTCAGCACCATTGGTAACCACATGGTGAACAGTATATGGGAAGCCCGCACCATGGGCCACAGGAAACCTGCGCCCGATGCCTCGCGGTGAGCACCTGTCCGCACCTAATTTAAATGAGTGGTAGTATCGTGTGCTGCATTGTAAAGGATTAACGTGAATTTCTCTGTTTATCTTTTTTCTGTTTTCCTGCTCAGAGAGGAGCGTGAGTCGTGGATCAGAGCCAAGTATGAGCAGAAACTGTTTGTGGCGTCGATGCCTCCTCCCACTCCCAGCGAGGGCCCAGACATCACTCTGTCAGGCCGCCTTCTGCTGGCAGTGATGGAGCGCAATCTGCCCAAGCTGTTGCTCCTGTTGGCCCACTGTTCTAAGGAGGACATCACCGCCCCGCCAGGCCTAGCGCTCCCCTCCAGGTCGCTCCTGGTGCTCCGGCTGCCTGGATCTGCCCTGCACGCTGCCTGTCAGCAGGGTGATGTGGTGATGACTCAGCTCCTTGTTTGGGTGGGTTTCACTCCTCCATTTATTTTCCTTCTTATACCCAAACCCATCCACACTCACAAAGAGACCAGCTGTTGATGTTCATTTAAACTGGCCAGAAAAGTAAATGGGAGACATTTAAAAGACCCAAACCGTCCCCTCAGATTAAAAGTCAGAATGTTCAGGAACCGCTGGTGGATCTTTATTAGAGTGAGAAGTGTTTACACCTTTTAAACCTCTCTGTTCTTCTCCTCAGTATGGCTGTGATGTCCGGTATCGAGACACTCAGGGTCAGACGGCTTTGGCTCTGGCTCAAAACGCAGGAAGCCAGGAGTGTATGGATATTCTGCTGCAGCATGGCTGCCCCAATGATCTGGCCCCTCCAATCGCCCCTTCGTCAGTGACAACCAGCTTCCCCATTGCCGTGACAACAAGCCTGACGGTCGCTACGACACTAAAGTACCCGCAAAAGAGCAGTAGCTCCAACCTGAGCTACAGCACCTCCAGAAGAGCTGTGTCATAATCACCACATGGTGTGGCGTAATGTGTGTGTTTGAGCTTGTAGCTTTGCCCTCATTGTTCTGTGCATCCACTCAGACCAGCGGGACTGATCAACACGTGGACCGACGCTGCAGCCAGGCGAGGTCGTAGGCCGAATAGGAATGTACCAAAACTGTTTACCAGAGTCATCAGGCAGTCGATCCTTCATGAATGAACATCCTGCTCCAGCCTCAAACAGCTTTTCTGGGCTGCTAAAGCCCAGAAGTAAAGAACTGCAATAAGTTTCCTCTTCGATAGTGGGATGTATTCCATTCTCAGCACATAAACAGCAGCAGCTATTAATTTTGACAGTGAATGTGAGTTTTAAATCCATCAGAGCTTGTCATTAAGTGCATAAATTATGTGTAAGTTGATGTGAAAAATGTTAGTGACTGGAAAGGAGAATCTACTGTATAGACAAATACTGATAAAATGATAAAAATTTGAAAGTGTTTAATTTCCGGTTTGTTTTTTTGTATGATTTTGTACAGTTGGTTCTGTGGAAAAATAGAGAGAAACAAAAATACCTACAAATGTTACTCATTGCTGTTCAGAGGTTTCCTGTACAGAGTTTTGTTTCGGATTTTCTTTGTTCTATTTGTTACCGATGTGTCTGACATAAACACTGTACAGGATGTGAGATTAATGATGCCAGCAGTAGCTCCTTATTAAAGCCAGTGGAACAAAGGACATTTAGATGAATATGTCAAATGATTTTGACTGAATGTAGACAAGAACAGATGTTTGTTATTTCCTATATTAAAATGTTTTACAGAGGACAAAGTTTTCAGCTAACATCACTGATTCCTGATGAGACTAGCAGAGATTAAAGGTGTGTTTTCACTGCTGAAAGCATCACATCTAAAGAACACACACACACACACACACACACACACACACACACACACACACACACAACCTCCTGAGGACTTTTCTTAGTGGATGAAAATAGACATGAAACTGAAGAATGTTTTACAAACCTATGATGTAGTACTGTAAGTACTTGTTTTGACCAGAAGCTGTTTTAGTGATGCTCACATCCCACTTTTTTCTTTTGATTTGGCAATTTTTTTTTACTCATTCAATAAACTCCAGAGCATTTATTATCAATTCATTAGGATTCTTTTTACTGTTGAATTGTGAATGGAGAGTGTCAAGAATGTTTTTGCACCTGCGGTCTTGCAGAACGTCTGGTTTCAGAGCAACCAGTGGAGTATCAGGATTAGTACCTTCACCATTTACCTGCCACCCAGGCCTGTGAATGTCTACTGCCCTCTGGTGGAGGAGATGCAGGTGGCAAGAGCATTTTTTGACTTCATCGCTGTTAGATTGTTATATAATAACATAGTGAAATAAAAGGGAATATTAAAGATGCATGAAGTAAGAATGACACCCTGTGGTAAAATGTGGGTACTGCAGTTCATGTATCGAAACAAACAAGTCTAGTCTGAGCAACGGTTGCCAGTTATGGCTCAGCGTTACAAGATTCTAGATATCGAGCAAAGATGAGTCATGCAAAGTAAGTTGATGTGTAAATACAATTCACTGTAATATTGAGTTGTTGGTAATTGAAAAAGTAGCTTGAGATATTTCTAGAGCCAACTGTTTGTAATCACTGTTAGCATTGTTAGCTCGTTAGCCGCTAGCCTTCATTACTCGAAATTAGATGATGCTGTGGCTTCTTAGGGGTACAAAAAATAACTTATGGGTTGCTCCTGCTACTGACTGGCATATAGTTCGCAACACTGCTGCTATTTCCCGGTCGGTGTTGAATTACAAATGCCTGGGCAGACTTGGCAACCCTGCATACTCAAATATGACTGGTCACTACAGTGGACAGGCACTCAAAATTGTTATTTCTTTATTTTTGCTATTAAGCACAGCTGTTGAAGACTTTATTGCATGTGAGCCCCTCCATTTGGACTTCAGTAAGTCAAGCCACCATATTTCATGTTCAGAATGCACGTTGTCCACTGAGATGGACATGTAATAAAGTATTTGTAAATGAACAAAATGGTACAAAAATATTTGTTGAAATTTGTTTCATTCACACCTAAAGATGAATGAAAAAAATTGTTTAAAAAATCATGCTTGAAGATTTCATAATTCATGCATCAGAGGGCTAGAAACAGGAAGTTTGGAGGCAGAACTGATGACTTCGTCCCTTTTCTGCACAGTCATCATATACATATAGAAGCCCCGTGGACTGGTGCTGCCTATTGGAACTGCTGTAGTGGCTGGCCACCATCTTGAATGGGTCTCCATTCACCTGCAGTGCATTGATTTCTGCTGAGGAAGATGCTTCCCCAACTAAAAAGCACATTTTACTATGCTTTCTCACAAAATCAGACATAAGGTATGGCATTATAATTAAATTATAAATATTCAAATTAAACTAAAATATCCCAACAGGTAGGCTAGAAAAGTAAATAGCCGGTTGTTGCAACCGTAGGCTGCACAGCAAACAGGCATAGTTGCTCACCCTGCTTTGACTCCAGTTTGGTTTGCAGAGTGAGGAACCTATCCAATATGGTGACGGCACTGTTATGCTCTCCAGCACCCAATGCTGTGTCTACGCATTCATGTCTATGGTTTTCAGTTAGGAGAAAAACTGACAACCTCCCAGCCAATCTGTTTCAATCTAACCTTCCTTCCAACATGTTTGAGACATTAGCCGTTTTGTGACAATTTCACTGTAAAATACTTATTGAACTAAAAAAAAAAGCCATTGTCAGCTAAATTAAAGAACAAATAATTATTTTTAAATACTACATTTTTGTATTATGTCATATTTCAGGCTTTAAGGTGAAATAAACAATCTAACAGCACAGGCTACAAATATTTAATTTTACTTCCAATTAAACTAAAGTCACTGATTTTTATTTATTTATTGTATCTGCTACATAATACAATAAAAATATTTTTAATGAAAATAACAGATCTGTAAATCCGTGAAGATGGAAGCATATAAGGAGTCTTGAGATTTGGATTTAGTCAGAATATATGAATGGTATATGAATGATGATATATGAATTTACTGTCAAAATACAGTTAAAGACTTTTTTTTAAAAAGCTGGTTAATAAAAGACTAGCACTTTAGATTGAACTTAATGTTTCACATTTAGAAAAACATAAAATTTTTCTGGAGCATCTAAAAGTTTTAAAGCTTCTATCGGCACCAGCAGCTGCAAACATTCAAAATGACCGGAGAGTTGGCGTTCACATTCAAACTGACTGAAACATATTTAAATCTGCATGTGGATGATGGTTGGATGGCCCTCAGATCTGTTCAGCCCTTCAGTAATCAGCTCTCATGACTCTGAGCATCTGAACAGAAGACTTTCTGGATCAAACCGGTCCGTGATGAAAGCCTCTGCAGACCACGGCCTACTTCTTTGTAGGTCGAAGTCATGGAGTCACTAATAAACCTCTTCACTACTTCTGTGATCTCAGCTTCTTAGAGTCACATTGAACTGGATATCTGTTTCATTAAATGTAAAGACCAAAATAATCATTCATGTCAGAATAAAGATATTGTGAATGTCTGGTAGCTAGGACCATCTAAGGGGAGCAGATGCTCACCAGAGAATCTGGAGAAAATGATGGACCACCACGTGATGCCAGAATAAGTGTGTAACTCATTTGGAGTAAAGAAATGTCCTTTTCCAAAGAAATGCAGTGTCACACCCTGTCTTGTCTCCCCGTTCTGTTTAGTCATGTGTCTCTGTTAATTGCTCCCACCTGCCTCTCGTTTTCCAATCACTCAAACTCCCAGACCTCTTGTATTTAAACCCCTTCACTTCTGTGTCTATTGTCGGTTCATTTCAGCGTGTTTTCCTCATTAAAGACTTTTACCTGATCTGGTTTGTCTGCCTGCCTGATTCCTCCCAGCGTGTGGATCCTCACCTCCCTCCACTCACCGGCACACGCTGACATGCAGCCTGATTTGGTGATTTCATGATGGAGACAGAGATCAAACACATTGGTCCAAAATCAGTTGGGTGGAGTTCTGATGACTGTGGAGGTCAAAGCATATGATTCACTTTACTGTTATAACTCCTCAAACTGGTCAGTGAGTTAAAGATGAAAAAACAGGATGACTTTTAGCAGGAGAGAAACGTTCGATCCCTAAAAATCCAAACTTCAAACTCTGGTCTCAATTACAGTTTCTTCAGCGTTTTTAGGTCTCTTGTGATTTTCTGTGGGCTTTGGCTGAAGTTTCTTCAACATTTTCTTGATGTATTTCTGTTTTCTCCTTGAACCATAGATCACGGTTTCTTTTAGCTTATTAATCACTCATCGCTTTACATATAGCCCCTGGTTTTGCAAACCCACTGTCAGGTTGTCTCTTTACATTCACTGTTATTTCCTCATTGGTCCATTTCTCTGCATGTTCCTACAAGTTTCTGATGAAAATCAATTTGTTTAATTTCTTTCCTCTTATCAGCTCTTAGAGGCCATTGCCTCACATGGCCTGCTCTACCTGGGTTGCTGGGTCCTGCCTAAAACCCTGTGTTATGGCACCCATAAGTTTCCCCTGAATCAGCACCTTGGACAGCGCCTGCAGGTTGCCAGTCTCCTTTTGTTGGGTATTTCTTAGATCCTGAAACTAAACCCAAAATGAACCACACACAGGAGAGACGTCAGTAGGTTTTACGCTGTGTTGAAGACAGCAGAGAGAGACAGGCCGGAAGCCTCTCCAGGCCTCCGTCATGTCAACTTTGGCATGTTCTCTGCACCACAGTCAGTTTTATTGAAACACGTGGAAGAAGGACAAAGGACCACTCATCACTGTTTACAGTTAAGGCGGGACATTCTAAAGAGGAAGTCTCAAGTTACAGAGTTGTCTGCTGAAAGCCAACTTGCTGACTTTTAATTTATGACTGACAGCCAGCATGGATACGAGTTGCCACACCCTATTCCCCAACCCCCATGCTCATCAGCCCACATTCCAGAGCTATGAGGAAAGGGGGAAAAACCCTGTGGCTTTCTTATTAACATATGATTACTTAAAAAGAAGCATTTAAAACAGTAATACATCAAAATACCTAACACCTCTCCAGCACTGTTCCAGTCAAGGGCATAGATTAGGCATGGGCGGAGGTGACGTGTCCCCACCAATATCCAGTGATGACCAAATAGTCCTCTCCAATAATTTTACCACCTCCTCTAAAAAAACAACAAGCCATTCAATGTCTCGTTACCCTAAAGGTAGAAAGGGTTAAATGACATTCTCTCCTCGAGTCCTACCTTCGTAATGCATGCGGCCAGTGTGATTGGCTGCGCATGCTGTCACAGGAGACTCACATGAGACAAACTACACTGGTTGTTAGCAGCAGCATAGCTTGAAGAAAAACATTCTAGTTGTATGCAAAACTCCTGTGTTTGCAATGCGACGGGAGTAACACATGGGGCCAAAAGTGAGAGAATGTAACCGGGGGTCCTGAGAGGATGACGCTAACTGTATAAAAGCTGCACATGAAGAGAGGACGATGGCCATGAACTCGGGTGGCTCTTTTATTAACACCACCATCACATCGCATTACAGCAGTCAAGTTCACCAACAACCAACCCACACACTCCCGTTCGTCATAATAAAAGCTCACCGCATCCTGTCTGACTGAATTAATCAAAATAAGAGTCTCACAAAAGTAGTTTACATGCTTCCTCCTAACAAAAAATTTGAGCGTCCTGGTTTAGCAACCTAAATAATCAAAAAGTGAACAATGCAAAACGGTGCCAGCAGCAGCAACAGTGCACACAATGAAAATCATTGCAACATAAAGGCACATACCCAATTCAATAAAGCAGTTTTTTAGGAAAAGAACTATCCATGCATCCATTGTCTGAACCCGCCTGTCCACGTAGGGTCGCGCGGGGGGTGGTGGGGGGGGGTGGTGGTGGTGGTGGTGGTGGGGGGGGGGGGGGGGGCTGATGCCTATCTTCAGCAGTCAATGGGCAATCAGGCGGGGTACACCCTGGACAGAGTGCCAGTCCATCGCAGGGCAACACAGAGACACACAGGACAAGCAGTCATGCACACACACTCACACCTAGGGGCAATTTAGACAGACCAATCAACCTAACAGTCATGTTTTTGGACTGTGGGAGGAAGCCGGAGCACCCGGAGAGAACTCACGCATGTACAGGGAGAACATGCAAACTCCATGCAGAAAGATCCCAGGCCGGAAAGCAAACCCAGGACTTTCTTGCTGCAAGGCAACAGCTTTAACCACTGTGTCACTGCGCAGCCCAGGAAAAGAACTAATGTTATTAAAATTATTAAAAAGAAAAGAGCTCTTATGAACTTAGAAAAATATGTACAGATGTGAAACAATTGTTGTTAAAAGGTTAAATTGGCATGTTTAATGTTAAAATGTTCGTGACACACAATAGCTTTTCAATAACATTAAACATTGCAATTGAGTATGTAGAATAATATATGTGGGACATCAGTACTTTATTGTTTCATTATGGATCAAAGAGAAAACAACAACAAAAATGGGGAAAGGGAGTATATTTATAAGTCTCTACCAATGTCAAAGGCAAATCTACCCCAATGGTTCTTCCAGCCTTTGTATTTCAGCACCACGGAGAGAGACACTGCTGTGCAGGACCAGCTGAAGCAACAGCTCAAGCCTTTAAGTAACTTGTTAGAAACTGCTTTGATTAATATTGTCAGTAAGACAACTTGTGGAGTTGTGTGTGCAGTTTCTTTAGATTTAGTTCTTCTTTAGTGTTTGACCCAGTTTCCCATCAGTGTGTGAGTAGCTTTGCATTCTTCGCTTTAGTGCTTGTTTTCGTTTACTTTCCCACTTTAGAGATAAAAGACAGTCATTAGTTTAGAGCCTTCCTGTTTTGCATGTGAGCAATTCAGCTGTGGGTTTATTCAGCATTTTGTGTTTAGTTAATTAGTCAAGTTGATTTAAACCCATTGGGTTAAATGTTTTTATTTAGTATTAAACACAGAATACTTGATTTTGTTGTTTTATTCCAGTGCCTCTTGAGTGAACCTTTTTTTATAAAAAAATTTTAATTGTCACTAAAACCTTGATTCATTCCTTTTATTTTAGTTTCCCATGTTACTCCCTCCTTGAGCTCCTAGACAAGAGGGGGCCTAACACCTTGTAACAGCTGGATCTGATTCCTATGACCCTGAGAGGAACCATGTAAGTGGTTTATTCAGTCCCCTTTCCTTTGGCTTGTCACCATCTTCTTTTTGATTCTGCAGCACATTATCAACCCAAAGCAGTAGCTCTCAAGGGCATTAGCGCTAAATCACAAGTTTAAAAGGATGAAGAAATCTTTCTAAGAAAAATAAATCATCAGCAGCAAGGTCAACCATAATGGGTTCATCAGCCATTATGATGCAATTCCTGGAGAAATGTTGATTTATCTGGTGAATTGTCCTAATAAAAACAGAAAGTAATTTATACTCAGCTTCTGCTTGTAAAATACCAGGTGAGGAAACATTTTTTTCTTGTGAATTAAAACATATTGATCTGTTGCAGGTTTTAACTGATATAAGTAAAAAAAAAAACGTCTCAAATGCAGCTCAAACCAGTTCAGAAAAATCGTATTTTCTTTCTGGTTTCTGTCTCTAAAATGTTTTACTTCCTGTCTTCTTGTTTCCCGATTGTCCACTTGGACAAAATTTTATGTCTTCTTGCTGTCTTAAAATGTCTCATGGATCTGTTAGACATGCTGGGGCAAACTGTGGTGCTAAATAAGAACAGAAACTCAATTTTCATCATTAAAATTTAATTTCTAAGGAACACATGTGCAGTTAGCCCCTCTGTTCAACTCATACTTGTAATGGGAAATAGTAGAATAATGTGGGTTAAATAAATTGCTTTAAAAGCTATTTATTTCTATTCTCATTACCTGTGACCGATAGCTGGAATACTCTATTAATTACAGAATATCACCTTGCTTGGTCTTAGGATGATTAATTAGAAGGTTCTAAGATTCTTTTAATTATTAAGGGATCGTTCACACTTTGTTTATGATTCAAGAACCAGTCAGTGTTTGCAAACAAATAAGAATTTATTTTACAAACAATTAAGACTAGACAAATGGTTTAAACTATTATCCTGTGAATGGATGGAACTAAAAGATGGGTGTCTGAAAACTATATGTGAATATGAGATGATGAATCAGAATCTCCGTATCTTCAGAGAGGTGCGTTCTGGATATAAAAGAATTTGGTTTGCATCTAAACGATTAAGTTGCTATTATCAGAACCACATGCAGACGCTATCTCGTTGTGTCTACCTCACCCATTTGGAGACCCCGATTGGATCCGAGATGTCCAGGAGCAGACGACCCCACTGCACCTGGTTCATAGAGAAACCTTGATGCGACCAAATCAGTCCTCAGATGCCTTCGGGTCACAATGATAGATGAATGGAACCAAGCGTCTTAAAATCAACTCTGAAGGAGTTTGAGTCAGCTTTGTTCTGCTGGAAAACTATCTTGTTGTTCAGCTTCGCAGATGCAAACAGCTTTAAGGCTTTGACAGCATGTCAAAATCTTTCTGAGCTACAGATCTGCCAAGAGATGGCCAGTCTCCAGCTTTCACTCCTGACTGCCGAGAAAGCAGAGCGGCTGTTTATATACCCGCTGTTCTCTATGACCAAACTTACCAAGAATCTCACAAACGCATGCTCTGAGATGCAGCATCTCTGAGTCTAGGGACAAGGTTAGTTATGTGTCATGTGTATGTAATCTTAACCTTACTCTCTGTCTGGTGTACTGATGACCTCATCCTGTAAACATACTAAACCCTCACTGAACACAGATTCCTGAACATTTCATTGCTTGATTATACATGGCAATGTGTAATGATTTTTAATCATAAAATCTTCTTTCTTCAATGATTATTTTGAAAAATGATTACTTTAATCATGAAATCATCTTTCTTCTGGGAATTAAAGATTTATCTAAAACAGTTCTCTTGTGAAGGAACCTTGGGGAAAGGAATGCTACCGTTCATCTTTATTATCTGATGAAGCTGCGCTCAGCTGATGAAGTAAATGATAAATGACCCACACTTGTATAGCGCTTCTCAGAGTAAGGACTCCAAAGCGCTTTACAGTACAGTGTATCATTCATCCATTCACACACATTCACACACTGGTGGGAATGAGCTACGATGTAGCCACAGCTGCCCTGGGGCGCGCTGACAGAGGCGAGGCTGCCGAGCACTGGCGCCACCGGTCCCTCCGACCACCACCAGCAGGTAAGGTGGGTTAAGTGTCTTGCTCAAGGACACAACAGCAGAATTCTCTGTCCGGAGCCGGGATCGAACCTGCAACCTTCCGATTACTGGACAACCCGCTCAACCTGTTGAGCTACTGCTCAATCAGTAATCTGATTAAAATGCTGAGTTGTGCAGACTCACAGACTCCTGACAAGGGAAGATACAGCAGAACATGTAGCAGCCAGGGTTATTTGCTCTGGCTGCATATGACCTGTGGGATCTTTAAAACCAGTCCATTTTGTGACGTTACAACTGCAAACAGGAAAAATGTCACAAAGTCCAGATCAGATGTCCAGCCTATAAACACCAGAATACTTAAACTTCTCCATTTGGAGTAAAGACTCTCTCAGCATTTCGTGTTTTTCTGGAGGTATTGGACAGCAGGGAGCTGACTCACATCCTGTCCCATTCAGCCATGAATCTGGAGGTCTAGGCAAGAAGATGCCAATAGAACCACATCATCTGCAAAGAGCATGAGACCCCGATGTCCACAAACCAGACACCCCTCCCTTCATGACTGAATCTAAACAGGACTAGAGACAGGACACAAAGGAGCCCTGGAGGAGTCCAGCCTACAAGAGGCACAGCTTTTGTTTTAGTTGTAAAGAAACTAGAAATTCCTCTGAAGTGGAGGCCTGTCTACTACTACTTATTGGCTTTTAAGTGTGGTTATATCCAATTTCTTCTAAAATTTCTCATTTTGTTCAACCATGACCGATGCTACTCAACTCAAATACATGTAAACATATTAAGACTACTATCAGGCAGGAGTTTCTGTGTTTGGATTGGTGAGGCTTCATCACCCTGGATCAGACTCTGCTGGGGTGTGCCACAGGGCTCTGTCCTTGGTCCCCTCCTATTTGCAGTGTTGATGTGTGGGGTCAATTAGCTCACAGCAGTTTGAGAGAGACCTGACGAGACTGGTTTGAATGTTATGAAAATCTTTCCTTCCTTACCAAAGCTGAAGAATCACACATTTGTGTTCAAAAGAGAAGGAAAATAAACACTAAGTAGAGCAGAATTAGGAATTTGACTTCTCTTCTTCTGATTTATTGGGTTAATCATAAACCAAAAGAAATCAGAAATTCAACTGAAAAGAGTTCTTTTTGATCTTCATGCCAACTTTCTTCTCCAAATAGAAACAAGATGATGACATAATTAGTTTGAAATACAGCAAAACAAAGGCCGGGTTCACGCTGCAAGATTTTTAAATTGTTGGAAGGTTTTCTAACATTACAGACCATACAAATCTCACATGTAACAGTTTTTGTTCCACAGTGTGGTGTTTGGTCACATGATAAAGACAACACACCACACATGAATGGATTTTACACACAAACATTCCCCGGTCAGATGGGACATTTTGCAAAACCTCCTGAGATCAAACGTGATTTCAGAGTTCTGCCACCTCGCTTTCTGATTGGCTACATTTCACATTCTACAGGCAGCACATGTGCTTGTCTCTGAAAATCAGACTAAGATAATTCAACATGTCAAACATCCCAGATTTATGATTGTAGCAGTCGTGACGTGCTTCCCAGCTGTGTGCAACACACCACACACGGCAGGAATCTCTGTTAAGATCATCTTATGGTAACTGGGCTTCTCCTTAAGATTGTTGGAAGGAAAGGATCAGGTCAAAATTGTCCTGATTGTTGGGCCTTAACTGTTTTAGACAGCCTCCGTTTGGGGGAACAGAATAGTTAATTAAACAGATTGTCCTAATGGCACCAATCACAAAGAGACTTAAAACAAATGCAGTCGCAAAGATGTCCAGTTTATGCACATGTAACCTTTACATGGACATTTATTTCACATGTCACGTCCATTCTGGCAGATCTAGTGGGATTTTTTCAGCCAGATGTTCTACTATAACAAATTAATGCTGCAGAAAAATCAGAGTTCAATACAAAACAATGAAATAGGTCAGTTTAATTTAGGATCCAAACAAACACAAAGACTGTGTAATGATTTATGTTGGTGTAAAAACATGCCTGAACTGTGGTGACATTAACCGTTCATACATTTTTCACTTGGAAAAATGTCAACTAGGCAAAGATCTTATTGATGACCTCACTGAAACATTTGGCGTACTGCTCAGGATGAAGCGTTGAGATTTCAGCTCCAGCCTGTGAAACACAAACACAGCAGAGCATTAAAAGGTACCTTTTTAAATCCTGCAGAACGGAGCACTGAAGAGTCCCCACGCTAACCCAACCTTTGAAAGAACAGACATCTCACCCCATGTTTGACAGCCCTGGCAGCGTGAGCAGCTCTCCTCTTGGTGTCGTACTGCGTCAGCACGTCAGTCAGGCCCATGAAGTACACCTCCCTCCGCGGGGCACCTGTGAGTGACATTGATCTGCTTTAGATGACGTTCCTAAGAGCTTCCGTGGGAGATCCGAGCTTGTAGCACTCACCCACAGAGCTGTGGACAGCGTACATGTCCACATAAGGGTCAAACTCCCCAGGTCCCATCGGTTTGAAGGACTTCATGTAGCCTGTGATGCCCTCTGGTGAGGTGGAGCTCCAAGGAGCTGCCGGGTCAGTTTCATCCTCCTCTTCCTCCTCGTTGGACAAATCTGCTTCTTCCTCCTCCTCCCTCTCAGCTCGCTCAATGTCGTGGATCCCCAGCAGCAGGCTGTAGTCCATGATCCTCATCTGTATGAGGAACTGAGGCAATGCACGTTTAAGCATGAGGACTCTCCACAAGAATCAGGAGTCTGAACACAGCCTTACCTCCAGATCTCCACTCAGCTTCTCCATCATCTTCCCCTTCTCGTCATCACTCAGGTAAACCTTCTGCATGTTGTTCATGAGCTCTGCATCTTTATGGGTGTGCAACTCTTTGACCTGGAAACAAAGCCCAGCTAGATTTTTTATCATCTTTAGACATTTTTGGTTTAAAATTTTGTTTTTCAAATAAACGGAGGGAAATATGAAAGGTTTCCACAGCTCATCAACCAGAGCATTTTCCTAGTCCAGGTCAGCCCCACCTCTGCCTGAACAGAATAATATTTGAACTGCATGCTGTTTTTTTCTCTGAAAGGGGTTTTGATAAGTTAAATAATTCATTTGTGTCACAGTATGCAAACAATAGCAAATCTGCCTGGAATATGACTTTTACATTAGCATAAAACAAATGAATAATTTTCTGCAGCACTGTTTAAAGGCAAACTGAAGACTTTCATAGGTCGTTTGGTACCATTTCCTTTCAACAATCATTAAAAAAATTTTTTTTTAATTATCTGACTCATAAACCAACTTTGAAATGGGCTTTAGAAAAATCTTTGTGTTTTTGTATTTCTCTGTTATCTCAGAAAGATGTTGATACACCGAGCGGACCAAATGAACATTCCGGTGAGTGAAACGCCATTTGAAGATCTTTATATTCCTGAAACCATCTCAACTGCATCACTGCAGAAAAGCATGAGTTACTCACTAGAGCCTCTCATGCATTTGCCACCCTCCGATCTCACCTTTTCTTTGAAATTTGCTTCACGAGACAGCAGGGAGCCCTGAGGAGGAGAAAAGGAGTGACTGTTACAGACCTGCAGCAGAAGACTTACACAAACTGGAAATGCTGTCCACTTGAAAAAAGAGCAAAAGTCTAAAGGGAAATTTGATGGATGTAGAAAAGGTCTGAAGACCTGCTGATCTGGACCGGGTTAAAAACTGAAACCTAAAGGATGATTTCAAACATTTGCATGAAGCATGTTTACGTGCATATCTTCAGCAGTTTTACCTTCAGGTTGTATTTCCTGTGTACAGGAAGTCTGTGGCTGAACATGTTCCTCATCACTAACAGGTAGGTGTCCTCGCTCTCCACCGTCACCCTGTACATGGCCAAGAACTGAGGAAGCAGCGTGCTGCCATGACAGGTGACAATATGCTGGAAGATAGAGAAAGAAAGAATTTAGAGACGATGATGAAGTGTGAGGTGTTTTCAGGTTAATCTGTGCCCTGGGAATCCTTCAGTGGTGTCAGCACTCATGATTATCTGAAACTTGTAAATCAGACCTGATTTAAATGTCCGAATGAAGGAAAACTGACATTTTACAGACAGTTTCAACGTATTCTAGACCTTTTGTCTGTTGTGTCACCGGGAAGATAATCAGGCTGTTAACGTTTTTCACCAAGAAATTCTTTGCATTTGTCATTAATTTGGGACAGTGTGTCAAAAGCACATGCTAGCATAAGCCACCTAATTATTAGTTACAGCAATTTAATTTTTCTTTTAGGTCCAACTTTTAAACACAGGGATAATTGCTGTTTAGTAACAAAGTCATTTAAAAGAAGACTAATAAAAATGATAAAAACATGACTTGGTCCCGCGTTGCTGTCCCGCCGCATTTCTTGGCATGCTCTGGACGAGCTCAAAACTACAGAATTATTGGGGGTCTATATTTGATGCACTCTCTAAAATTTGTGGGACCACTGTGCGTCCAGATTCTGACATCTGTCAATAAAACCTGGTTGCCCTTTGCTGCTTGCTGGACAAAACATTAAATACTCCAGGTAGAAGGACCCTCATCCGCCGACATACGGTCACTGGGTTGCAGAAACTATGTCTCATGTGGACTTGGAGAGGATCAGACACAGTCTGAGGGGCTGAGGGCTTTCTTTTGTGTAGTACTTTAATCATATTCCTGTCGACAGTTTAGTTTAATTCTTTGTGATAGTTTCTTTTGTGGAGTTGTATTTGTATTTTGATTCAGTACTACTTGGAAATGGTTTTGTGTTTCTTTCCATTATATTGTTTCATCCAGTGTAGCGAGATGGGTGGTGATGGTGCTGTGTGTGTGTGTGCGTGTGTGTGTGTGTGTGTGTGTGTGTGTGTGTGTGTGTGTGTGTGTGGGAAAGGGTTGTGTTAGGTTCTTTCAGTGTTGATGTTAAAGTTAAATACAAAGCTGTGATACTCTGTGTGAAGGTGGGAACACAAAATAATGGAGATGTTGAAGGTTGTTTAAAATTGTTAAAAAAAAATTTAAATACCTTGTTCAAAAAAATGATACAAACATGAAATTGTGATATGATATTTTTGCCCATCTTAGTTTAAATCATATCTCCTACTTTCATCATTTTATAAACCATCTTTTCGGTTTTGTGTTGGGTTGAGTCTATGAGGAAGAGTTTGCCATCATTAGAACATGTGACTTCCTCCTTTTAACTTTAAAAATCAGGAGAAACAGAAAACTAGGTATCTGTCATGGTGAACATTACTATTCTCGGTCACAGTCATTTCTCATTCTGGAAACAACGTCTACATTTTATTTCTAAACTTTGAAGTTATGAGTCTAATGTGTTTACCATTTCCCTAACAGGGCATATAATAACAATAAAATAAATTGTTATTTGTAATAAAAGAAAACAGAACAAAAATTGAGAAATACAAATATTTTTAATGAATAAAATTAATTAAGGGAAAATATTTTGGTGAGTGATTACATTTTAAAGTCAAAACCTCCCACCATGTTAAAAAAACAGCTCATCCTTTAGTTATTCCTACCTGATGATACTCCGAGAGGATGGTGTGCATTTCCTCCACCTCTTCACTGGAAATTTCTTTTACCACCAAAGTGTGGTCATATGACGTCAGCAGCGGTCCCACAAATTTCCCCTCATCCTCTTTGAGCAGAGCGCTGCGGGCCAGAGAAACCTGACAGCAGAATTATGAATCCATTTCATCCAATTTTGCAAGCAAATTTTTAAATTTCACCTAAAAATGAGCTCATTGTGTGTGCTAGCTTTACAACAAATCTCGCCTTAATCTTGCACATTGATCAGCTGATACTGTGCAGCATGTTTCCCGCATAAGCAAATGTGCGCTCCTGGCGCTGGAGGAATACTCGATGCACCACCTGGCACATGCAAATGCGACGCAAAGACATGCAAATTTGGACAGGAACAGATCAATAAAAGCTTTCTACAAAAGGAGAAAACAGTTCACGTGTGCACCAGTGCACTTTTCTCCTTTTGTACCCTCTGTTTTGTCAAGTAATTGTGTTTTTAATCATTATTAGGACAGGATCACAGGATTTAATGGGGAATTTTCAGTACCTGGTAGTCTTGATCCTCGATGCCAAAGCGCTCTCGTAGGTTTCTAAACACCTGTGGACAGTACTCTTTGAATTTGAATTGTCCGGGAAGGTTCTCCCTGATGACAAAATAATAAGAAGAAAAAACTCTAAACGTATGTTTGGATAAAAATGTGTTTTTGCAGTTTGGTTAAATATGAAGATTTTATTTGCAAAAAAAAAAAAGGATAAAAGTAATTTTACCCAACTTTATTTCGACTGATATCCGCTGAAGCTAATAATAAATTAATGTAAAATTTTCTGTTTTTGCAAATGAATTCTTCATGTTACCACTAAAAGCAGCTTTCAGGTTGAGAACACATGTTTATTCTTCTCTCCACCTCTGGTCATGAAGTCTTTACAGGATTCCTGAATGGATTAAAGGATTATTGAAAGCTCCACTGTTTTATTCAATCTGTTGCAGCTTCACAGTGGAAAATTTGTTCAGCTCTGCTTCTTTGACTCCTATAAAATAATGTCACTCATCTGATACGAGCTGTTTACATTTACAGACAAACATGGCAGCGGTTGTGTTTCCACTGTTTGTCTCCATGTGCACCACCACTGAGATAACTTGCTGGGGTGAATCAGGCTGCAGACCTACTTTAGTGCTCAGCATCCTTTTATGTTATCTTATACTTTGACACATGCATCACTTTGTAAGTGTTAAAGGTGTGCTTGTTTCCCACAGGCTTTGCTGTTTTTGATAAGCTCGGGTGAATAATTCAAAAGGACCACACAAATCTGTGCGGCTCACAGGAAGCAGAGCTGAGAGCTTTACTTGTTGAAGAAGTGGTTGATGACTTTGATCTTGGTGCTGGCTTTGAAGTCGTCTGGAAGCAGCATGACAGGTACAGGCACCTGGCTCAGGTCGTTAATCTGCGCATGATCATTGAGCAGGGGAAAAGGGGAGAGCGTTTTCACATTCAGGTCCACATACAACGTTCAGCAGCAGCCCTAATATTTATAGATCTACATACCGAGTGGTTGACTCCCCACATGAGGACGCTCTGGACCGGGTCACTGGCTCGGAAAACCTCCACCTTCTGCTGCACAAAGTGCTTCTTCTTAGTCTTCCTCTTGGGCTTCAGAATGGGGATGGAGGAGGAGGAGGTGGGAGAGGAAGACATGGTGCTTCCTCAGGTGAAACGATGTGTGAGCAGGCTGCTTGCTGCCTGTGGAGTCCTGAGTATGCAAAGCAGGCTAGAGTCCGCCTTCGGGAGTCTCTGCAGCAGCAGCATGGACTGATCCAAACACTGCTGCACGTCCAGTCAGAACAGGAGCAGAAATACATGCTAAACTTAATCAGAATCACCTGTGCTCATGAGGGTTGATCCTGTAGTTTATTACATCTCTTTTCACGCCCTGCAGCTTTGAATAAAACATGCAAATTCTACATGAAAACATGAGGTTCAATCGTTTATAAAATGATCTGGTTGTTAGTAGCAATATGTTAAACCAGCTAAATAAAACTCACCCAAAAGACAAGAAGAATAAACACAAACAACAATAAGATCATATGTTGCAGGTGAGAAAACCCTTCTTCTTTTGGGGCTCTGCGGGTAGATTTCATCATTTGAAATTTAAACAGGTCACAGGAATTAATGGGCCATTCCCATCTGTACCGGGTCGGCCCGGGCCGGGTAGCCCCAGTCGGCCCCAGCCTGGCCCGGTTGATTCCACACATCCATGTCTTAAGTCCATGTGGGCTGATTCTACCCACCAATCAGAGGCTTGCTCTAATGGAAGGTGTGAATCTGCTGTCAGCAGTGGGTGTGTTGGCCCTGGTCGGCCTGAAGCAGACCCCCTCGAGAAGAGGGCTGAGAATGAGCCTTGGTTGGCCCGGAAAAATGCCAGGCCACCCAGATATGTAAACAACCTACGCTACCCGGCCCGGGCCGACCCGGTACAGATGGGAATGGCCCATTACACAACTAAACTGGTGCTTCTGTGGAGTTTACATCATCGTAGTTCATTTTTTGCCACAGAATGGTTACCCTAAGAGTTCATCATCATCATCATCACCTTTATTTCTATAGGACCTTCAACCACCTTCTCAGAGTCCCCAGGTCCTGTACACCAGCACAGTATAAAAAGAGCAAAAACAATAAAAAAAACTAAAAAAACAAGATAAAAATATATTTAAAAAAGACAAAGTACATTTATAAGAACAATTATATAAAAAAATGACTAATATATATATATATATCCATCCATCCATCCATCTTCTGAACCCGCTTAGTCCACGTAGGGTCGCAGGGGAGCTGGTGCCTGTCTCCAGCAGTCAACGGGCAAGTAGGCGGGGTACACCCTGGACAGAGAGCCAGTCCATCGCAGTAATATATATATATATATATATATATATATATATATATATATATATATATATATATATATATATATATAAACCAGGCATGACCTGGAAACTCCAAGGGACTCCCGACCAATAAAAAAGCATGATAAAACCAAGGAACTCAGGGGAAGAAGTCCAATCTATTAAAGTGTCTTTTTAAATGAGACTTAAAAGATTGGATGGAGAGAACCTGCTTCACAAGCAATCGAAGCCCGCTCCAGATGCATGTAGAGCTAACTCCAAATGAGCCCTCGACAACACTGGCTTAATCGTAGCGATACGTCGAAACCGGAACAATCAAGAGCGTATCACCATTTAAACTTGTGCATCACACCTGAGAGCATGATGGAATTTTATCCCTAGGTTGGTAACTGCTGACATCACCCATGGGGCCAATGAAGAGAGGTCAACCTCGGGGCCGTACTGACAGTCCTGCCAGAGGTGAGAAAAATAATCTCAGTTTTGCTTTCATTCAGGTGTAGATTATTGAAGCTCATCCATAATTACATTTCCCCCAGGCAGGCAAGAAGTGGTGTTTAATGATATCACACTATTTTTTAGATGTCTAAAATTTTTAAATGATTTAAACAAACTCAGGGTTGCACAGTGGTTACAGCTGTTGCCTTGCAGCAACGAGGTCCTGGGCTTGCATCCCGGCCTGAGGTCTCACTGCATGGAGTTTACATGTTCTCCCTGTGCATGCATGGGTTCCCTCCAGGTACGCCGGCTTCCTCCCACAGTCCAAAAACACGACTTTCAGGCTGATTGGTCTCTCTAAATTGTCCTTAGATGTGTGTGTGCTTGGTTGTTTGTTCTGTGTGTCTCTGTGTTGCCCTGCGATGGACTGGCAACCTGTCCAGGGTGTACCCCACCTGCGTGCCCGAAGACTGCTGGAGACAGGCACCAGCAACCCTGTGTGGATAAGGAAGTACAGAAGATGGATGAAAACAAACTCTTTTTACGCTTGGAGCCTTTTAAGTAAATGTATAAAATTTGCATCAAAATGTGAACATTTTTATCTTCTATGACTCACTTAATTTGTCATTTTAAAGGACTTGTGATTTTCTCTTAAATCGCCTCTGACTCCAGAAAGTTCACACCCAAGCAGCCATAGACTGCTCTAGCTCTACATCTTTACTAAGAGCTGTGGGCGAATGTATGTAAAACTTATCATTTCTCCTACACAGCACACTGCTGAAACATAAATATTCTCACGTGACCATTGGAATCTTCTGTCAAGATGTGAGAGACACGGGTTTGTGGTTCCCATGGGGACCTCAATGAGGCACTGATAGTTGTTTTAACATTTCTTTTTATCTTGGCTTTTCCTTACTCTTATAGATTTTATACAAAAAACATATTTGTTCCAGCATAGATTACTAGACTAGATGTCAGAATTTGATGTATTTTTTCAAAATGTCTTCATTTGTTTAGTTTATCTATGTCATTTAAAGGACAAATATATATTGAAAATAGCAATTAACCTGCAAATCTCTAACACCTTTAAGGATAACTGAAAAGATATATATTTTAGTAAAAGCTATGAGTTGATGTTACTGTTTTGTCAAATCAAAGTAAAATATAATTAAAGATAGAAAATGTCTTCTTTGTCAACTTTTTTTTTGTGTTTTAGATGAGTGTAACTATTTAAAAGTTCCTAAGAGATTAAGTGCTTACAGATGATCAATAGCACAAATTCTCCATTTAGTCCAGTGTATAAATATGTTCTTATTTTTCTTATGATCAGTGGATTTTTTTACCAAAATAATTTCATTTAAAACAAACATTTTAATTCATAGGTTTATAAAATACACAAAAATAAGTCAGTCATGGACAACGGATCAATCTTTAAACATGTTGAACCCCTCAAGATCTAAAAAGCAAACATTTAAGATCTTTAATAAGAGCTCTTAAAACCTCATAGACTTTATTGTCATAAATAGAAATATTTACAATAGCATAAATATGGCTAATGTGTGTTAAATACAGAAATAGTTATAAAAGTTTCAGATGAGGAAGAAAAATACTGAAAATGTATAAATGCATTACAAAGATATGTATTTGTACCTGACGTGGTTCATAGTTTGAGACATTACTGGACCTAAAAGGACCTTATTTTAGCAGGTTAAACAATATGTAACATGTTTATCTACATGTGTTTTCATCATGGGTTTAATGCAGTCTTGTTGGTATATAAGTTAATACAGGCAGGTGTGTTTGTGTTCAGCAGAGGGCGCACACAGACAGAGTTTCATCTCATTCTCAAACAAACTTTCCTGGGATGAAGTTTGCTTCAGTCTGATGAAAGATGACAAATGAGATTCTCTGTGTTCAGTTTGTTTACATTCCTTCATCTGAGACGCTCCATCGTTTCCATCTCTAACAACTCAAACTGCCCTTCTGTTTATTCTTTGGAGCGATCGGCGTGCCGTCCTCGTCCACGCACCAACACTTTCCACGTTGCTTACCTCTAGAGGACCAACACTGGGCACAGAAGATCAAGTAAAAATAAAAATCACAGATTCCACCAATCTCTACAGCAAACTACAGTTTAATTCCCTTTGTCAAGTCATCAGTATTTTTACAGTTTTTGCAAGCCTACCTGTTTCTTTTTGAAGAAGCCTCTCTTGTCACAGTTGGGCATGTAGATTTCATGATGAGACTTAAATAAATGTGCCTCGAGACCCTTAGTAAGTGTAGTCAGCAGTTTACGGCACGGGGCCTGCAGGAGGAGGCAGGTTTATGTAGCAAACGCATGATTCATTTCCTGTCAGAGCTGTGCTCTTTTGCTGAAGTACACAAAGTAATTTACCTCATTTGGATTCTCAGTAGGAGTTGGTTCTAAAATCAGAAAAAATATACAAATGAAATAGTTTAGTCATCTTTTTGTTAGCATGCTGTTTTACTCCGAATGTGCTGAGAAAATGTTCTGTAACATATTTTGCTTTAAGTACACTAGAAGCAATAAAGAGTTGATAGGCTAAAAGAACAGTTCAGATTTTCATATAAACAAAAACAGTCGTCCACAGAAAAGATCTTTTTTCATGTTGAGGGCCAAAGACTCGTGTGTGTGTGTGTGTGTGTGTGTGTGTGTGTGTGTGTGTGTGTGTGTGTGTGTGTGTGTGTGTGTGTGTGTGTGTGTGTGTGTGTGTGTGTGTGTGTGTGTGTGTGTGTGAGTGTATACCTTCAGTGTGGACCTGTGCAGTGGTGGCGGTGGCGGTGGTGGTGGTGGTGGCTTTGCTGCAGACTCCCCTGCCCTCCAGCAGGGCTCGGAGGGGCCTCTGCTCATCTTGTGGAGGCTCACAGCGAAGACCTTGGGCACAGCTCAGGGTGTAGACACCACATGGCTCTCCAACAGCCAGCGTGGTGGCATTTAAATCCGCAGGCGGCGGACCCTGAAGCAGCTTCCCCTCGCAGGTGGGACATCCTCTGGGTAGTGGGATCAGCACGCTACACAGAGTCCTCTCTGAGAGGAGCAGCACCAGGATGTTCGTGTAGAGGAGCATCCTTGCTTTTAAAGTTTTACAGCGATAACTTGTGTCCGATTCCTCAGCGCAAAGTTAATCCTCAGACTGAACTCTGTCCTTTTATTTGAGAGGATGGTTTAATTTCCTCAGACTAAGTGATGATAAGGCAGACAGACACCACTGGCAGCACCTTTTAAAGAGCCCAAAGGTATGGGAGGGTTCATGATGGAGAGTGTTAGCTTTCCCTCTCATTTCCACACAGCTGAGCACCCAACCCCTTCGACACGACTCTGACACACACACGCTCATACCAGCTGCTGTCTGTCATCCTGGACACTGTAATGTTTTCTACACTCATAAATCACAGCTTATCACGGTGTCTGCTGCTCCGTTGCTCTGCTTTTCCCCTCTTAAGGGGTCATTTATTTATGGAGGAACAGCTTTAATGTGATAAACAAGTCAAAGTACAACCATTACATGTATGAAAGTAAAGATATAATTTCAAGTTCTTCTATTGAACCAACACTTTTCATGTAGGTTTTATTTTTTAAGCATATTTTAACATAACCTCTAAAAAACTGCTATTAAACATTGTTGGAGTTCCAATAAATTACTTCATTATGTTAGAAAGGCACAATTTCTACTCTTGTTATAGTTATAGAACATTTTAACATACTTCCTATTGATGGTATCTTTATTTCAAAACAGCAGCTTCTGTTCGCAGAGTGAGTTCACAGCATTTAAATGCTGAGATAAAGAGGAATTGAGGTTTATGATGTTTCGTTGAAACCTCAGTGACTAAAATGGAAAAAAAACTTGTGTAATTAATAAATAATGGATAAAAATATCTAAATATCTAGCCAGCAAATTCCAGAGAATGACTCACATTACATTAGAAGACGGAACTTTATGAGAACATAAACCTAATCGGGGAGAGACTACGTTAAAATTGTTTATCAAATTTTATATATAGATTTACATATCTTAATCAAAAATAAATAAAACTGTTGTTAAAATAAAATAAAATAAAATAAAATAAAATCATAAAGCGGACGTGGCAGCGCCCCGCGTCATTTGGAATTCTAGGATGTCCAAGGAAGATCCCGCCTTTCTCGTCTCTGATTGGCTAGAAAGGCTCTACTATGATTGGCTATTTCGTTTGACAGCAAGAGCAGAGCTGTAGAAAGAGCTCAGTGCTGACTGTGTCCTTCTGCCACCAGCAGAAAGCTGTTTTGGGGAGTTTAGTAAAGAAAGTGTGAACTTAGCGCTATAATAAACATTCTGTCCTGGTGTGCAAAATATTTTATGTTCCATAAAAAACAGAAAAACGTAAAATGTGAATTTTAAATCTTGTTGCATTTATCAAACTGTTGGACTTACTTTATTTATCTTGGCTCTGAAGCATTAGAGTGCATAGGATAAACATATGTGCCTTACCTGGGTATGACATTTAATAAAACTTCCCTATTCTGCCAAGCTGTGTGCATCAGGTCTGTTTCTTCTCTAGAATAATGAAAACTGGTGAAAAATAGGTCTAAATCATAATCAGCTATAACTTAATTTTTGATTGAATGATACACATTTAATCTGATGATGAGAGGTGTGCTCTAACTTGTAAACAGCCTTAACCTATTAAAGCAGGATAGCTTAATAATGAAGTAATAAGATAACCCCAATAGAGCCAACAGATATAAAGTCAGTCTACAGTGTGATAAAATGCTACAAGAATTATTACAAGTTCACATTTGATGTTATTCAGGCTCTTTTATGAAAGAAACTGAACCTGGTTTGTTGCTAAACAGGAAAGGGTGTTTATTATAGCGATGAATTCACATTTTCTTTAAAAAAAACTCCTCAAGATCTGGCTGTAATCATAAAAACCTGCAGCGAGGTAAAACTGTTTCCTCTTACACGAAATAACCAATCGTAGAAGAGCCCTTCCAGCCAATCAGAGGCGAGAAAAGGCGGGATCTTCTTTGGACATCCTAGATTTCCAAATGACGCGCCCGGGTTAATATTTCCTCTCATTTGATTGGTCGAGGAGGCGGGACTTCCGGTTGTACATACTGGGCATAAAGCGAAAGAGTTCACCTCCTAAAAATAGGAAGAAAAACCGAAGAACGACGGATTACAAGTTATCGAACAGTAAGGAATCAACGCTGAAAGGGGAGACTTTGAGTAGTGTGTGTACACTCTTTAGTATTTTAAGGGTAACACGATATATTTTACCACACAGCGCGGTTACGTCTGAGAATGGCTAACCGGCCAAGAGTCCTGCGTGTACTTTACGATGCTGAGTTCAAGGAAGCTCGTAATTGTTTAAACTACACATGGTAACATGCAGCTAATTAAACAAAAATTCGAGTGTAATTTTGCCTTTTTACTTCACGTAACTTTGAATTCAACTGACATTAGACCTCTGTCTTTAGATTAAATCATATTTATTTATTGTTCCTGTATATTTAAAAACAGTTTCAGGTGGTTACAGCTTCGTAACAGTTTCAGGTGGTTACAGCTTCGTAACAGACGCCTTTGTTGACTGAAGTAAAAACATTTCAGTTTATTTATTCAGCAACATTAAAAGTTGTATCAGAATTATTAGAATTGTTTGGGAAAATATGATTGCACCATACTACCCTGTAATTTAAAGATACTTGTATCAAACAATAACATGTTGATAAAAATGTAAATTCTATTTGTCACAATAGGGTTGTGTTCTGAGTTGATATTTTTATGGTTTTTAGATTTTCAGAATAAAAGAAAAAGTGTTATATTAAGGCAGACTTTGAGAAGGTTTTGGTTTGCTTTGACACCTGAATGATAAATCTGACCACCAAAAGACATCCATTGGCAATGTCAAGCCTATATGTAGGCTTTAACTTGTTTCAAGAATGTGGGAATGAATGGGAATGTGAAACCACAACCTCCTCATGGGAAGGGTTTGTCCTGAGGATCTAATCTGCAGCCCTCTTGTTGACGGAGAACAATAGTGATTCTGTTGTGGTCAACTTCATTACCTGTCTTTTTGGAAATGAACTGTGCTGTTACACTGTGAGATGAATCATCAGTGAATGCAACCCCAAAGCAGGTTTCCTCTTTAACTCATAACAAGCGGTGATAAAATTTGGTCAAAGGTCATGTTTTGTTTGTTTGTTTTCCAGAGTGGAATGATTGTCAGACATGGACGACATAAACCTTCTTCATTATCGCTTAATGAACTGGAGGAGGCGAATTCGAGAGATTCGTGAGGTCCGAGCCGTGCGTTATCGGGAGCGACTCAAGAGGATGTTGAGAGATGGAGATGTACTCAGGTAGGAGCATTGCTGCTGAAAGTGGAGAAGCCGATTGGTCATACATTTCTTTCTGCTGAGTCAGAGTTCAGAATTGCATGGTTTATGCTGATATAACTAATGTCCTTTCTTTTATAGGTATCATGGGAATGCAGATGAAGTGGGCTGTTTTGTTGCAGCAAGGCCTTTGACCAAAAGGAACCGATACTTCGAAGTAAGAATTGATTTCTCTGAAATTTTATTTCAGCTATAAAGGTTGAATTCTCACTGGAGTACATTTTTAGTTAGTGCTGCAGCTATCGAATCCTCTGTCGATTAATCTAATATTCTCTTTCGAGACGTTTCAAGTGAAATGAGAATGTGGTCCGCTCCAGCAAATAGGAAAATAAAACAACAAAGGCTCAATAATGTGTATTAAGTTGGTGTTGTCTAGTTCCCTCTTTCCCATTTATAGTTAATAAATATTTTATGGAAAAAACGTGACCTACATTTCATTAACAATTTAGGTTTGTATTAACATCACTTACCCCAGGCAAACTGACACATCTAAATATTAACAGACATTAGTTTTGCTGTTTAGTGCAACTTACTTAAAATAAAATATTTCATCCCAAAACCGTGATTATATCTATCATCAGGTTAAAGCTCTGCCCCACATGGATTTAGGATCGGCCACAGCCGATTGCTCTATAGCTGCAGGGTGATGTTGTCCCACTGGACTCCTGCTGAGTCTCGGCCGCGCCTCCACCTGGCGCAACCACTCACCTGCTGATATGACAAGTTGGCAAAGGGAGACGCTCGCCTCCTAAAAAAAAAAACCTGTCATCCTCCCCTTTCTCCTAGTGATGGCAGTGATCAGGAAATCCTCTTTCCTGCAGTCAGTTTCTATGCTCTTTGTGTGTGCTCATGTGCACGTGCACACGCTTGTTAATGACTCATTTTTCCGACCGAGAAACTCTGAGAGTGCACGCAGTTGAGGAGGGTGCTGTCAATCATTGCCTCAGCGCCACCCTCTCGGTCCTCCTGGCAGCATTTTTTTTTCAGGTATTCTTCAAACAGGAAGTCCGGTTGAAATTAGTCTCCACCCATGGTGTTACTCCCTCTTTAACGCTTGATCCCAAACTTTAGACCTTTTCAGTCTTCGACAATGGTTTGTGTCTTTGCCACTGACCAATGACCACGTTGTGCGCCACAAAAATGTGTTCAGACTGTGGTGCGCACATTTAACGAAGCTTGGAATCCGTACAAAATAATTTGACGAATTTAATAAATCAAACCCTCCGATGATTTGTTTCAGCTCTAATTTTAAGTGCACCGAATAGTTGAGTTAATGCAGTGCTTAATTTGTAAATGAAACGTTCCCGTAACGCAAATAGTGACGTCAAACCAAAGTTCACTAAAGGCAAAACAGATGCCGCAACACGCACGGGGGTGGGGGGTTGATTCGCTGGAGTTTTTGACAATTTAAAATTGCACCCACATTTTCAAGTTAACACACATTTCTTTCTATAATGGTAGTTTTTGCATCTTTATTGTTCCCCTGCTTCAGCCCTCCCCCTGCGCAGCGGCCGCAAATTCTGATGCGCCTGCAGCCTCTCAGAGTTCCTGCTGCTCTAAACATTAAAATAATTATTTCATTTTCTGTTCCTCACTTCTGATTACCTTCAATGGTGTCTGTTTGTTGCTACCAGGTAGGGCTGCAACAACGAATCGATAAATTCGATGACAATCGATTACTAAAAGCGTTGGCAACGAATTGCGTCATCGATTCGTTGTGTCGCACAACTCTTCCAAAAGCGCCCCCCCCTTCCCGCCCGCCGTTGCGCGCAGACAGATCAGCGCGAGGGAGTGCCGGCAGATCAGAGCGAGGGAGAGCCGGCAGATCAACGCGAGGGAGAGCCGGCAGGTGTTTGGAAGAGGAACATGGCAGAAGCAGCGAGAGTCAAAAAAGTAAAAACTTTTAAAGTTTGGGAGCATTTTCAGTTAAATCAGGCGAAGACATTCGTTACCTGCAACGTTTAGGTCAGACTTAGCATGGCACGGGATGATGCAGCGTCTTAAACGCAAGCATGTCGGGATCATCAGCGAGGAAGGAGAGAACTCTGTGTCCGGGTAAATTAAAAACTTTTCAAAAGTGATTCATCCAAGTCCCGGATTATTACACAGGCTAGACATGCCCTAAGCTCGTAAAAAAAGAGTCTAAAGTCGTGAGCGCGACGCTTATTAGATGAGCGGGGGGAGTCAAGCTGCTGCGAACCGGTTTCGCCCAAGGCCAGATTAACTGAGCAATTGCCCAGGGCCCACGAACTCTAAAGGGCCCAGGGCACGAGCAAAATACTGTATCTATAATTTCCCGCTTTATGAGGACTATGGTGACCGTACGTTCCGTTTTTCCCGGACGTGTCCACTTTTCACTCTCTGTCCGGGCGTCCGGACTGCGGGTTCTTGTATTGATGAAAATGTCCGGCTTTTCATCCAGGAGCAGGGATCGAATTATGGGGGAGCTGTATATCCTACACATCAGGGGAGCCGGAAAAAAGTTTTCTATATTATATCATTTTTGGACTCTTTTGAGCAGAGAGCGGCACAGCGTGTTGTTGCGCAGCGCTCCAGGCAGCTGCTTCCAGCGCACGGCCCATTCTCAAAGTGGCGCAACCAAAAAACTATAATTAGCACACGATCGTTCATGTCTGCACATGTTCTCTATTTTCTGTCTTATTTGTGCCTGCAGCGCTCTGCTACTGCGGAGCTCATCACCTGTGCTGCGGCGATTTCACCTCACGCAGCATCGAAAACGCGCTCTGCGCTTTGCAGTCAGGAGATCCCTTTGATCTGCACAGAAGTAACTGATGAGGTGAAAAAGTAAGAATCCAGGCAGCAGTTTTTCTGGAGAATTAAGAGGAGATGCAGGAAGATGAGAGACAGACCGGACAGGAAATAGTTAAATAAAAACAAGAAAACAAAACAAAGTGTTGAAAAGTAAAATGTAGGTAGATTTATCTCCACTACACGTTTTTACCAGTAAAAACAATAAGTTATACACGTGTAGTATTTATACATCTGATACAATTCAGATCGCCTTCAAAACTCAGTCACACACCCAGGGCCGTTTCAAGACATTTTTGGGGCCAAGGCAAAATGCCCCCCCCCCCCCATAACTGGGCTCCCCAGAAGCCTCTGTGTAATTCATACCCTCTCCAGTAGTGTTAGTTATACAGTGTTTATAAAAGCCCCTCAGACATCACTGACATGTTCTAATATATCAGATGAAAAACTAAATTATCAGACATGCTGTCTCATCTGCTGCTTTTCTAAACTTGCAAAAAGTAACAAAACCATTTGAAAGCCACTATTTGTGGATTCTCTGAAAGTTTCCATGGAGTGTGTGACAGCTTATTTTTTCTGTCATTTTTGGAAATAGTGATCAATTTTGATTAATTCACAGCCTATGTTTAATTACATTTAAAAATTAGTTGTTTGACATCCCCAGTTATAATAAATGTCTACAGATGAGATCAAACAAAACAGATGAGAATTGCCCTTAAGCTGTTTAATTGGACCAAGCATTTTAGGTCACAGATAGATGTAGCTTAGGGTCTCTGTCTATACACCTTATAAGACAATTTAGGTGATGGCATGTTGTTTTCCTGCTATTGAACTGTTTTCTAATAATGTTGTGTTAAATAAAGTGAAGGAAGGAGAGAAATAACGTTTCCCTAGCAGTTTTTAAAAATTTCCCCATGTAATCCGATTAATCGATTAATCGTGTCGAGACCCCATCCGATTCATCGATTATCCAAATAATCGTTTGTTGCAGCCCTACTACCAGGTACAAAAACTAACTTGGTTTTATTTGACTATTTTTCTGTCCTGTTATCTTCCTGCATCTCCTCTCAATCCTAAAGAAAAATTGCTACCTGGCTTCATATATTTTCACCTCATGAGTTACCTTTGAACTGCAGTTCAAAAAGATATACCTACCACAAATATAGCGGAGTGCACGCTGACAGCACCGGTCGGTGAAGTCACTGGACGATACATGTGATGTGCTCCGCAGCAGTGAAACGCATCAGACACAAATAAAAGACAGAAATCATTAAAGGATATGAGCCGACATAAACGATCGCATGTTAAATTTGGTTTTGAGGTGGTGAAACTTTGAAAATGTTACTGTGGCCGTGCTCAGGACGCATTTGCCTGGAGCGCGTAAGAGCTCTGCGCCTCTCAGCTCTAAATAATCCCTGGAGAGTCCACATAAATAATGTAATATACGTAGAACCAGAATCGTTTTCGGGCTCCCCCTGGGTGTGTAAGCTGAGAGCTTCCAAGGGCGCCTGTCTTCCTTTGGGGTGAGCCGGGATCCCTTTAGCTCACCCGTAATTTGAACCCTGCGTGTAGAACAAGTTGGTCGCATGAGTTGCCGGATCCTAGCAGACAGTTGCCGAACGGTCCTTTCAAAATAAGATAGTTCCTGGGTCTTGTTCCGGCTCAAATTAAGCACTGAGTTAATGTAAAATCCTGGTTTGAAAACCTTATTCAAATTTTATCGTGAGAAGTTTTGTAACATCTAAACCTCAAAGTTTACAAAAAAAAGGTTTTTTTTTTTTTAACCAGATTGAAAAAAAAAATGTAAAATTCATGTTTTCAGTTCAGGGTTTCCCCCAGAAAATGAGTCGCACGCTCCGCCCCGCAGCGCTCCTCTGTGAGAGCGAGGGTGGGTTGGTTGCACACGTTCCGCTGCTGTTTCTCACCAGTATCAGCTGATGGAAGGCTCTAGTTTCGCTGCGCCGTTCATGTCAGTGGACACAGTAGGGGAGGGGGGCGGGGCATGACGCTTAGCATGACGGGTGGGCAAGCAAAGCCTGGCGGGTCGCGAGGCTTATAAAGCGCTGGGGGAAACCCTGCAGTTTTAGTCTTTGATCAAAAATACAAAATCAAAACACAGGCCGCAGGACCTAGTTTGATTTTAATTTGCCATCAGCCGGATTTAGGTGGACAGGTGTCATACCAATGTAGTTATTCCTGATAGAATGTGTCAGCGCGTGCCAATGAGTGAGGCAGATACAAGGATCCACACGCGGGTGAGGGAAGCAGGCAGGCAGACAAACCAGAATGAGTTTGGAGTCTTTAATAGTGAACACACGCTGGACAATGAAACAATGAGCCAACCAGACAAAATGGACTAACAGGGTTTAAATACAGGAGAAGCTGGGA